CATAACCCACAATCCACTTCGTCTAAACAGAATCCTCAACAAACCACCCTTCACATCATCTTTTTCAGTGCATCCAGTATCCATCATCAGACCATAAATCCCAACTAAGCACGCCCCTTTCCCCTCCGCCTCCCCTTTCTCCTCTCCTCTAGATCTCTTTCTAGAAAAGGTATCCACAACTGTATCACATACCAGGTATCACATCCCTCTCACACGATAGCGAGATACTGTATACAGTAACGATGTAGTTTAGTTCATCCTGAGTTCGATAGACTTCTATTTCCCTTCATTTCATTTCATTCTACCTACGTCCTCACGGACCATAGTACAGTACCTATCCCCTCAGCTGCGGTCAAGAGACCTTCTATTACACATCTACATATACACACCCACAAACAAATCATCAAGTACTATAAATTCAATATTCCTTTGATTCTGTTTTGTACCTCCCGCATATCATGCATGCATGCACTGAATACCTACCTACTTACAAAAATGAGAAAGATGTTTCCTCTCTTCCTCCCTTCCCCTCCCATCCCATACCCAAAAGATAGTTTCCCTGCAAGAACGCCATTCATCCCTCTCTCCCCCATCCCATTCTCTCTTCATTCCACGAGAAAAGACAGAGAGGAAGAACTTATTACCATGCCGACCAAAAAGAAAAGCAATACCATGCAACCAACAAAGCAAAGAGCAAACGCAAACGCAAACGCAGAAAAACAAAGGCAGCCGCCACCCAACCCTCATACCCCATCTCAAAAACGCCCGCTCGCTCAAAATGAAGAAGATACCAATGATTACAAAAATTCCACTCCCACTTTCCCCACTACGAATCACCCATCTCCACCCCCTCAATAACAACCCACCGCTTATCCGCCTCCTTAACTCCAACCCTCTTACACATAACCTCCAACGTATTCTTTACTGCCGCACCGGGATAGCCAAATTGTTTCTTCAAGACCTCAATCAATCCCACCTTAGTGAGATTGCTACCTTGGACCGCCTCTAGGAAACCAGGGATGTCCTTGGCGTCTAACAATTTCTTAGGTTTGGTGTCTTTCGTCGTGGCTTTAGCAGAGGGCGTAGGGGCATTGGTGAGGGTCATTTGCTTGACGGATTTCGTGAGAGCTGGTTGTAAGATGTTACCAGCGGGTGTGTTTTTCTTAACTAGTGGAACGCGGGGTGGATCCATGTTTGTTGGAATGGTAGAGGGCCAGTAAGCAGTTGAAAAGGGGTCGATAGATTTCGGGATTGTGTCTAATATATTAGTCGAGACCTATAAAGAGGGGCGCAAATCGCAACCTACCAAGAATAACCTCCATCCGATAGGGCATCATCTTCACGTTTGTACATCGCTTATGCTTATCCTCCCAGCACAAACCGGTTGAAATGGGCTGCAAATCATCATTACCATGGATGGCCATTCGTTTTGCATTCGCATTCGCCATATCATCGTTCTCATCGTCGAGGAATCCTGACATATCCTCTCCATCTTCGATATCTTCCTCTTCCTCACCATCGCTATCACAATTCTCTGCGTCCTCGTCTTCAACCCATTCAGCTTCACTGTCATAATCGTAATTCGCATCTGGCAAGTCCTTTCGAAAGGGATTTCTGGCCAATTTTGTCCTACCGTTTGCATTTGCAGGTCGACTTGTATATGTACCGCGATATGGAGGTCGAACGTCTTCTGCAAAACTCAAGATCTTAAGAGGGACTTTTCGTAGCATGTTGATATTTCGTGACGAATCTCCAGAAAGCTCCATAATTTCTCGGACTGGCTTAGAGTATTTTCCACGTCGAAAATGACTAGTCTGGAGATGAAAAAGAGCAACGGCATCAAACTCGTGAATTCTTCCTGGACTTCGATTGCCAAGCATATACGCATCCAGAGTATTTGTCGTTGATACAATCGCAGCCTCGTCTCTCTCGAATCGGTTGATCTTAGCAACTCGGACATCGGCGTGGATAAAAAACTCGGGGAACGTCTTTTCGTAATGCGACTTGACGGACTTGACTGGCTTCTGCGGAGTCGCAGCATTCGTGTCTGGATTCGAAGTCTGTGGACCAGGACTCATTGAAGTTCGAGATGCACTATCAACACTTCCTCGTCGACCACTACCAGGTGTAGAAGGTATCGTAAAAAAGTTACTTAGTTTCTTTTGTGCTCGTTCCTTCTTCAACTTCTCCTCCTCGGCCTTCATCTTTTCCTCTTCCTTCTTCTTCTTATCTTGCTCCTTCAGTCGTTTCTTCTCCGCAGCTGCAGCACGTTTTTCCTCTTGCGCAGCCTCTCTAACTTTCCGCTCTGCCTCCTTCTCTCCAACCTTTCGTGCCTTCTCTGCAGCAGCAGCACGTTTCTCCTCCGCGCTAGCCTTCTCCTTCAACTCCTTACCTCTTGCTAACTTCACTTTCTCTGCCTCCTTTAGCAACTTTGCATTTTCCTTTTCCGCAAACGTCAACTTTGGCTTCTTGGTTGGCGGCGCCGGCGGATGTCCATTCATCGCCGCAAAAGCAGAAGGAGCAGACTGTATATTCGTATTTGTATTCGTACTTGACAGCACCGCAGTAGCGACCATAGGCGAGTTCGCTACATCAGAGGGCACATCACTGAATTCCGATGCGGAGCTAGGCGCCGGACGGGCAGGTCGATGTTGCGCCGTGTGTGGGTGCAGTGAATTTGAAGACTTGGATTCGAGGTCTGTAATCCGTAAGTATCTCCATCTGGTAGCATAGGATGGGAATGGTAACTTACCTTGGAACGTATCGTGATCCCTCTTGGGAGGTCGTGGGGAGGCCTGGGTAGAAGCCATATTTAAGGGTGTGTTGTCTCGTTGTCGCGTTCAGACACGGGTCGTTGGTACAAGAGGGAACGCAGAAAGCAATACCAGCTTGAAAGGACCGGTAAATGTGGAATGTGGTGGAGACTTGAGGTCTAGGATATCCGAGACACCATTGACATGCGGGGGGTTGTGGTGTTGTGGGATTCAAGGATGGCGGTGGAGGTTGCGTGAAAAGGTCGTGAGAGGATAAGATGTTGGACGCGACTTCCGTAAAGTGGTTTGAGATTCGCGTTTCAGTCACGTGCACCTGGACATGCAGACTTTCAGATTCAACCTGGAAATTGCAATGGAATTGGTATTGTGGTAAAGCGGCAGGTGGCACCTTAATTGATATTGTCGCAACAGAGGTGAATTGATTAGCAGGCTATTGAATTGATTAGAAGACAATTGGGCTTGCGCCTGAAAGTCCTAAAGCATTGATTTTCCCCTCACCTATACGATTCATCACCTTACTCCACTTCACTTTCCTCCATAGCCATACTCACTCCAACATCACAGTCATTCAAAGTAAACCAAAAGCCTCAGCTCATCCGATCTTTCATTATTAATCTCCAGGTTTCGTACCATGAAAAAATATCTCATGTACAACTTTCTCGCCAATTCCCACTTGATCCATGCATGCAAATGCCGCTGCAATAAACAGAACCAAAAGATAAAGTGCCAACGAACGAACACGATCATCTTTAGGACGCCTCGCTGTACAACCGCTCCAGGCCAAACTCTCAGGAAAATGAGACAAAAGACGGAAGGAATTGAGTATACACAAGAGGGTACCATCCAATCCCTCTAGGAGCCAGCCAAAGAAAAGTTGAGGAAAAAATCAGACAAACCCCCTCCCTTGAAACGAGTGAAAAAGAACTCCCAATATCCAGGACCCTTTGCAACCAAAACGCCCTGAAAATGCATAGGTGAAAGAAAAAAACCTTTATAGAGTCCTCCCCTAACTGAACTTCCTTCCTTGCCCCGGGGTATATCCTCCACGCCCAATCGAAAAAGTCCTCTTTTTTATTAACCCCCTCAATCACTATCGGCATCTGGATTTGCAATGTACAATCGACCAGCGCTCAACGTCATCGTTCGTTCATCCACACTTCCGCGTCTTCTCAACTCTTCCGGATTTCGGACACTCTTTTCTCGTGTGACGGTGGACTTGAGGAGACTATTGCTGGCCAGTCGTGCGGCATCTGGACCACTCAATTCAGCCACGCTATCATTTCGCTCGCCACTACTACCACTTCCCACACTTCTTGTACCATCACCACCATTGCTTCCTCCAAAATAATCGTGGCCACGTTGTTGATGTGGGCCCGGCATGGGAGTTTCGGTAACATCAGTCAGGGTCCCGTTGGAATCCTGTCTTTCTCGTTCGCTTGGTGGTGTATTTCCCTGACTCCATTTGCCGGTTGAACTGGCGCCAGATTGACGATATGTAAGGCCTCTACGGCCACTCCGTCCACTGCCCACACTACTTCTTCCACTGCCGGATCGTTGGTGATACTTGCCACCAAGGTTTGTGGAATCTCCATCGTCATCGCTGTCCCCTCCTTCGACCTCACTCGCACTGAGACGCATGGGCACTCCTCCTACACCACCAACCAGATCACCTGGACTATATCCAACCAAACCCGCCTTTCCATGATGTCGAATCTTTGCCGTGACCCGATTGCTGCCAGCCAGGCTCCCAGATCCGCTCGCTGAGGATAATCTTTGTGGTTGTGCTCCCCCACTCACTTCCTTGGAGGCCTTCATCTTGGCATGACGTTGGGCCGCCAGTACCTGTGGATTCTCCTGTTGAGCACGATCGCACCAGACGGTCGCCTTTTGTTTTCGCATCAGCGCCACATAGCTGCTGGTTTGGGGAGAAGAACCCGATCTCGAGGAACCGGATCGTTGCAGGTCCTGAGATGCCTGGCGATTGGGCACCGGGCCATTGCCGCTGCTGGCGGTGGTGGAAAAGGTGTTGGTCGAAGGCGTCCGTCGTGAATGGTAGGAGGCGTGCACCTGCATGTGGTTGGGGTAGAGTTGCTGGTGTTGAGGATGCTGAGGGTGTGGAATCTGAGGAAACACGCTGGACGAGGTGGTTCGAGTGCGACTGTGTCCGGACATGTTGGGATGTTGTAGAGGTGAGGCTTGGTAGCCTAGTGGCATGGGTATCGGTTTTCGTCGAGGGAGGTCGGCCATCATAATGAAGGATTTCAATGTACAGCCAGTCCGGGTGAATCAAGTGGAGCTGCGGTAATTTTTCATTCACAGACGGAATGAGCGCCGTCAATGACAATTATGTTGATTGACGAGATGCGCTTGCTTGACTAGAAACGTTTCGATCGACTTCTTGGGTGGTCGCTCGAAGGTTTGGAGGCGCGCTTGGAGGGGAATTGAGGCCGCAGTTGCTCCGATCGCAGTACGTACGGCGTGGCCTTTGTTCCGGGTAGATTGTTGACGGTCTTGGTATGTAGGTTCAGCGAGCCGCGATGGTGGAACGACTAAAGAGCTGTGGCCGTGGTGGCAGTGGCCGTGGCAGTGGCGGTGACAGTGACCGCGAATTGACTTTTTTTGATTAAAAAAGTTGTTGTGGCAAAGCAGACTAGTGGTCGTTGGTGAATTTGGGCGAGCTGAGGGAGGAGGAAGATGGGTATGTCGTAAGCAATGTGCAGGTCATTTGTAGTGGGGACTGGACGTAGGAATTGTCGCGAAAGTGGAGGCTCGGTTGGGTGGGTTTGTTAGGGTGGGCCGGGTCGGTTGGTGGTGGGGGTTGATCGGAATCTTGCTTTTTGGATTCTCTNTGTCGCGAAAGTGGAGGCTCGGTTGGGTGGGTTTGTTAGGGTGGGCCGGGTCGGTTGGTGGTGGGGGTTGATCGGAATCTTGCTTTTTGGATTCTCTCTTGAGTCTTGACGCGGGATTTTCGGTGTTCGGGGTGGTCGAGGAGGGGTGGTGATGGTGATGGCGATGGCGATGGATTGAGGAAGTTGGAGGAGGAGTGGGAGAAGTGGGAGTAGAAGTTGGAGCGGGAAAGGATGAGGTTTTTGGAGGACCAAAGTACCAAGTATAGGTAGGTATAGGATGGTCAGAGTAGGGTTGGGTTGGGTCGGTAGGCTCGACAAGGCAGGGGAGGGGGAGGGACTTGTAGAAGTAGATAGATGAGCGTAGGGGGAGGATGGTGGATGGCGGATACTCGAGTAGCGTACGGAGGAGCGAGGTAGGGGGTACCGAGTCTTTTTTCTACCTACCAAGTACCTAGGTAAGACTTTGGAGGTGATATGATGCAGATGCCGTGCAGTGCAGATTGGTGGTGGATGGGATGTATGGTGGTGGTGTTGGTGTGTAAGTAGGTGTTTGCTGAGAAGGCCGAGTGACAGGACAGGAACAGAGCAAAGGGACGGAGGGCCAGAACTGAGCAACAAATCCCCCCCAGCAGTGCAGCAGTCTACTTCTACTAGAGTATTCTTCCCAAAGCACAAATCAGCAATCAGCATCCAACAACGGGGAAGCTCAAATGGGCACTCGACATGCGCATGGGTGTTAGTAAAGCACCTGCATTCAGACAAAGAGCCGCCGAGCGGTGCGAGCTGTGAGCTGCAAGCAGGCCCCGAGGGAGGCCCAGCATCCTCAGCACTGGCAGGTCAAGGGGGGGAAGGAAATGGAGGGGCAGCATCAGCATCAGCATCAGCATCAGCATCAGGCAGGGCAGAGCTAAGCTACACCCACAGGTACTCGTGCAGTAACGCCTAAACTCAGTGAACTACGAAGTAGCACGGTCAAGTACTGTATCAGTATTTTATTTTTACTTTCGTACTTCCCTCTTTCGGACGGGACATCTGATGAAGACATACTTTTCTTTCCTCTCTCGTCTCGTGAGTTCCGTTGGAAATGAAGGTCGTCCCATCTCATCTGCGCAGCTCATCCCGCGTCCAGGATATCCATTCCCGTCCTCATCTCCAGATTCAGACCGCGGGCGCTTCCTTCCTTTTTGGAAATGGATGGAAATTGAATGAGGACAATCACGTGGAGGTCCGCGAAACCTCCTGGCTCAGGCTGCACCTGCACATTGGAAGGGACTTTCCGGATCTTCGGGTGGCGTGATAGCCGTCAAACAACAATATACGGAGTGTAGTGCATCGCAGCAGCCTACGGCGGTGCCTTTGCAGCGCTTTTGCTTTGTTTTGATCCTGATGCGGATGATCGATGCAGTGTGGTGCATTGCAGCATATAGTGAGAAGAGAGGGCTCTCACCTGTGTCGAGGGACCAGAACCAGTAGCAGTATATCACTACCCCATCAACAACACCTTCAACTCCAACATCACAGACTCAGTACTTCCACTTCAGTTGGCTTGAGCCGTGAGCCCTGTGGTGTCAAGCCCCCCCCCTGGTACTGGCCCACGCGCACTCCGAAACGTTAATGGAGAATCCATGGTCCCTGCTCGAAGGATGTGCACATTGGCAGTCCAAATCAGATGTTTCTGTTTCTACGGCTGCTATTTTCTGCTACACGCCTACCGCACCAAAGGCGCAAGTCCCTGAATCCGACTCGTGCTCCTCTGCCAAGCCGTCAGCATTTCAGCGTTCAGCTCGCTCCAATTTCGCGAATCGGTCAGTCACGACTTTAGTGCCAAACGTGGTGTAAGAAGCTCGCTCTGCCACTGTCATTGCCACTCAAAACACTGATGCGGGTCCCGGTGGCGCCAGGTGGCAGTAGTCGCTGTACGTAGTGGCACTGGCACTCACTGGCACTGGCTAGCATCAACCATTACGATTGCGCCGTGGGACGCTGTTGTGTTCGGAGAAATAGACGCTGAGCATGCATCCGACTCACCAAAAACCAAAACCAAAAATTCAATAGACGATCACTCACGATAGCCATGTCGTGGTGTTGTCTGTCCCAATCTCACCACCGTACCTGGATCCGCGTCTGGAAAAAAGAGGGGTCGAGTCGGTTGGTATCGGTTTTTTCCTTTCCTTTGCCGCGCCGCGTACAGTACTGTAGCCTTGGCTTGGTACAGTACCTGTAGATGTGGAAAGGATGTGGATGTGATGTGAGGGGTCACATCTCCATTATTAAATTTCTCCCCCAGATGGGACGAGGATCACAAGGATTCAAGTTTCGACTTTCCAAAATTACTCTACCACTTGTCTCTGTCAAACATCATCTCCAGGTTTTGGTCGTCACGGTCACGGTCACGGCTTGGATAAAGGTCCCCTGTGACGGTAGCAAAAGACGTCAGTCACAACCAGGATCCTCTCTTGATCTTCTGTTATTCTCCGGGGCCTCCTATATAACGGTACGGCTTCGCCCTCATCTAACAGGACGGACGATGGAAGAACCGTGGTTCGAAGAGTTGTCAACCTGCTTTCTAGTTTGCCGGATGGAAACGATACCGAGAGGGTATAGCTGGAATAGAGGTTTTGACCTCAGGATGGAGCATTTGTTCCGTTCTTCGGCTTTTTTTGAACTGCCATCTCATCATCTCAACTCTCCCCGACTCGAGTACAGTACACCCCATGAACGACAATTTTCACCGCAACTCCCCCCTCCAAGGTACAAACCGAAAAGCGGGAAAACTCACCTGTCACAACCTACGGTACTCAACCCGATCCCAGGCTGGCTGGCATCGGCTACCTAACGGCTTCCCTCCCCGGCTCGCCTGTCCTGTCATCCGTCATCTGTCATACAAAGTACAGTACAAAATACAAAGTACAAAGATGAGTGAGTACCCGTCGTCTAGGTACCCGGATGAGCCGTTTCTCAAATCCAGATCATGAAAGTGACACCACCCCCACCAGCCAATCGTCGTTATCTTGCGGGACGTGGGGGGGCCGGGGTTAAGTATACAGAACAAAACGCGTTGTTTGATATCTGGTTTACATTATATCGTGGTAGGACAAGATAAGTACCGAATACCACTGTATTACTGTACTCGACTGTACGGAGCACTGCACTTCAAGAACGTTCATCCCACTCTTGCTTGTACAATAAGCGGAACGAGACGAAACCTACTTCGAGGTACCTCAAGATATCCACCCTGATACTAAGTATGCTGTATGTATGTCATATCCATACTCCAAAGTGAGTCGGTGGTAAAGTATATGCGAGCGGTACTTGAGCTCGGTACTGTATTGGACTTGGTGTTCGGTACAGATCAACGGTTTCACTTGACTCGGGAAGACGGGATGAGAGTAAAGTGCACCATCTCATGTCGCACATAAGTTGATTACTATGTGTGAGGACTGTCTATGTGAGTTAAGAGGGAAGTCAACTCTGATCCAAGGTTCTGTCTATCGCCTCGGCCACACCGAGGAATTCCGCGCAGACCACCATACTACGAAGTGTAGTACAAACCACGAGTCCACGGAGTTTAATCTATTAAGCTTTCCTTCTTCTCTTCCTCTACTTTACTCGTACCATACCGCAGTTTACATCCGAGGTCCATTCCTCACACCGTCCTGAGAGAGAGAACCACCGGTTTTCACGTTACTCGTGCAGCGTGCAAGAGATTAGATTACATTGTTATTACGCAACGTGAGTAAGGTCCTATATAGTACGAGTACAGTACAGAAATGATCTAAGCGCGCCATCCATACAGCCAGCCACACGCGGTAGCCTGGATGTAAAACTACGAGGTCTCTCTCGGTCTAGACCGATGATGTTTGGCGTGTTATAGCTACCCTTGATTAGTCAGCTTGATTGAATACTTTGGTGGTATTGTTTTTATAGAGGGCGAGGGGGAGAGAGGAGGGGACGGTAGGGAGGAAGTGAAAATTATGAATACTACCTAGGTATGGTTTAGTAAGATTACGTCTTTCTACGGGACTTGACGGTGTTATCTCGAGTATCATTCTCTCTTTCTCTCTTTCCTTCTTTCCTTCTTTCCTTTTCGTTCCTAGGTTTTTGGGGGGAGGGGGAGGGGGTGTTTTGGGGTATAGTAAATAGATGGATGGATAGGTGGATAGATAGATAGATAAATAGATAGATAGGTACTAAATATTTCTAAAAAGTCTCTTTTTAGTAAAATTAAGATTACCAGGTGTTTTTTTTTCCTTCCTTTTTTTTCTATTTTTAGAGAGGGGAGGAAAGAGGAGGGGAGGGGAGGGGAGGTAGGGGTATTATAATTTCTACTATATATATATATATATAGATAGATAGATAGATGTCACGAATCACGTGTTGGCATGTGATAAGCAAAGACCAGGCGGCGTCTTGACAGGTTAAGCACCATCAACACACTCTTATAGCAAATAGGGATGCTTAGGCTAGCTAAGCGATCCAGGGATTTCATCTGATAAAAGTCATGTGACCGTCATTGATCATTGGTGATCAACTGAGCAACGCTGAGCTGGATCATTGGGATCAGGGTGATCATAATGATCAACGAGCAAGAAGGTTCTATATAACACTGGCATGTCTGCCATTAGATAGGAGCTTCGTGCTCAACTTAGTTATCAATCTTATCATATTAGTTTGACATCTTTGATACAAGTAACGAGTTCACTTCCAAGTGAACAACCCGATAGTCTTCTTCTTATCATAGCATACCAACCAGCGAACACCCAGCCAAGTTTAGTTAGCCAGTTTGAGTATTCGTTACATCTAGAGCTATCTAAGGAACTTTTAATTTTATTCAAGTATTTAGGTTCTAGGCTATCAACTCTAGCGTCGAGGCTATTTATTTTTAACTTCTCTTACTACTTACTTCTTTTTAATTAGACTATTCTTATTCTCACTAATATAGAAGGGAATATCTAACTTATCTTTTAGCTATAGTTTTATATATAAAATACTTTCTCTAGTTTATGATAGTACTATAATACTACGGGATTAGGGACTCGGGCTTACTTTAGGAAGTCTTTTTAGCTACTTGCGTTTTTAGCTAATTTGGGTAGGATATTATATATAAAATCTATAGCTTAGTATACCCCTATATCCTTCGGGAGGCCTTAGGAAATCCAGCTTAATCTGGTGCTCTGCCCTACCGGTGAAAAAATACTACTACTACTACTACTACTCCCCCATCGTTCTTTTATACTTAGAAATATATTCTCATCCCCCAGTCTCCCATCTCCTAGTCTCCCAGAGGCAGGAGCAAAAAATCCATCCCTATCTCCATCTCCATTCCCATCTCCATCTCCACAATATTTCATGGCACGGTATCCACTACTTTACAGGCACAAAAAAAGATAAACTCGGACCATAATGACGTTACTGTACCTATATCTAGGATCCTAGGCTATAGTACTGTAGGATGAAGAAGAAGATGGGGAAGGGCAGGGAGGTGGGAAGGTGTTTTTTTTGGACGGGGGGAAATGGAATGAATTAATAGTTAGTACACCTTCCCACGGCGCTATCGTAGGAAGGTACACTGACTATTACCTCTACTAGGAAAATGTATCTTAGTTTTGAATTCTTTTGAGGTTAAGGGAGATGGGTTATAGTACTTAGATATCTACTCGGTGGGTATTCGAATGTACGGTACGAAGGGAGGTACTTTGGAGTTTAGGTTACCTGAATTAAATAGATTATAAATCTAATGGATTATTTCTATGTTTATTGTTTCTGTTGTTTCTTTTTTCTTAGTATATTTATATACATACCTTGATAGGTACCGTATCTATATAGATACTAAGAAAGTCGGGATTTAAATTGTATATTATTTATTCTCTATTATCTATTATTTATAAACTATCGAATCTACTTATAGTTATTACGTATTAGAGAAAGGGGGAGGGAAGAAGGATAGGACAACCTAAGGCTCGGAGTCTAGTAGTAGGGCTATCGTATAGTATAATCTACTTTTCTATCGCTTCTATAAATAAGTATATAAGCTTTTATTTTATCTTATATGATTTTCTATATTTCTTTCTTTCTTTCTTTCTTTCTTCATCGAGGTACTATAGTAGTCCTGTGATATAATTCGAATTCGTTACTCATTCATTTATTTGTCGTAGTCTCGTAGATCCGGGAGGAGGAAAGTAATAACTGGGTAGTAATGTACTTATATCTTTACCCTTAAATCTTACGATCTCGTTTCTGATTTTTCTTCTTTGCATTTGTAGGTTTGGAAAACCCTTTCTTTTATGGCATGATGGGTGTACCCGCCCTCGCCGCCCAGTAGTTGTTATGAGGGAATCGATAATTATTCATATGTGTAATACAATGACAGACTCCAAGTAGAACCGGTCTGGTAATTTTATAGGACGAATAAGAGGTATTACTATACTATACCGGTAGGAGGGTAGGAGCTGAGGTGTGTTAAGTAAGTGAGTCGCAGGAGGATGTTTGGTATATAGTGTGATATCGCGAATTTTGTTTTCCATTTACGTTTCGAGAAACTAGAATGAATTGAGTACTTACTTGGAGAAATATTGGGTATTGATTTAATCTTCTACATAGCTTTCACGGTGACGTTTTATATTGTAAGTATTCACACCAGAAAGACTAACTTATTGCAGAATCATCTATGGGTAGCCAAGCTGTCCAATCCTCTTCTTTTAGCTCGAGAAATCTACTTTTCTTAGTCAGTAGATCATATGTGAGAAAAGTCTACATTGTCCAGTTATAAGTCTTTAATTCGCTTGTTTAGCTGAAAATCGGGGCAGCGATATACTATGATCAGCGACAATGTCCAGCTTTAATTATCTACCCTCTTTGAATATCTCGAGGATTTGAACTTTACGAGTTCTTAACAAGGCAATAATTTCCGAGAATAAATCGTCGTTTAAATACAAATATACCGATATTGCTTAACTAAAACTAAGTAACCGGACCGACCGAGGCTAATTTAGGCATGCTATCTTCACTATTAAAGGGATAGAGGTAGTGGAGTAGAGTAAAACCAAGATTGTTAATAATAGGTTAGAAACCTCTCGGGATCATTGAGATTTTCCGGTCCGAAGTCACGTTACTACTGTAGGTATGTTACGTAGATTATCTATAAATAATTTACGGCATTAGATAATCGCCCAATTTTACTAACTACAATATCTCTAAAAATTAGGTCTATTTCGTTAATAACTCTGGATGGTATGTGTATGGCGTATAGTACCTCGTATACGATCCGACTTGTAAACTTATTCTAGAGCGTTTTTCCTTGCTACTAAATTGTACTACCACCAATGTACCCTGTTACTTTTATTTCTGTATATGATTGATTTTACTTCAAAGTATATTAATACGAAGTAGGATTTGCGCATAATCCTTGGTTCAGGTGGAAAGTCTTGGTGGCAGCGTAGATATATAACAAAGCGCACAATGTAGCGTTTGAAGCCCTGTACCGCACATCTTGAACACTCACACTGAGTGACTCTCCAAGCCATCTTTGAACTCCTTTCTGAGCAGTGTACCAGCTTTAAACCCAAACCTCATTCAAGCGAACTCTTTCCTCACTCAATTAGTCAATCAGTGAATCAGTTAATCATCTACATTCTACAAACATGCAATTCCAAAGCCCCCTCCTCCTCGTCATCATGGCCGGCGCTGTCTCCGCCAACTACAGCACAGCCTGGTGTGAAAATGAAGCCGGTACAAAACTAGTCAGAGAGTCTCAAGCGGCATGCGGCTCCAGCGCCACTGCTGGCTGCACGGATTGCCAATATGGGGTTGGTGCCGAAGGGCCCGCTTGCACCAGTGCAAGCAAGCCTCCCAAAATTGCATCCGACACTTGGGATGGATACTGTAAAGCAGCTGGTGCTTTCGCTGGGAAAGGCTTAGATTGGAAGTAGGGTCCGATTCTGGGGGGTTTATGAAGAAATGGGATATGTTGAGGTTGATGTGTATATTTCGCTGTATCGGTTGTGTAAGTTAAATTTTAGACCATATGTAGGACGCGTTGACGGGGAAGAGATAAAGGGGTGGGGGTTCCGAAAGCAGTGGAGAAAAGCTCTCTCGGGAGCGTGGTTGGACTTCCAAGACAAATTACAGGCGAAATACTAGTTGAGGACGTAAGGAAGGAATGCAACTCGTTCCTACATAATACAGGAGACTATGTTCAACGCGCATCTCTTGTATATTCTACACGCTTTTATATATGGGAAGCTATTGGTATTATTAGGGTTAGGGTAACACCAGATCGATTTTTAAAGAAGGTTCCTGCAAGTAGTGAAATATAAAGACGTAAACACTGTTTTATGCAAAACTTGTCACCTTAAATGAATTACAGAGTTCGCTCCTAATAGACCAGAAGGCGAAGACGCCATCACTTTGCTCCTTAGTGTGTGTTTTGACTTGAAATGCGCATTCATAGTGGAGTGCACACTAGGCGATCACATGCAACCACATGTAAAACTTCATTGGTTTCTCTACTTCTATCAAATACATACTCGTGGATATATTTGTATAGAATATCGTTTGACTGGAGTGGAGTTATCGTATAATCGTCGCCTATCTTAGTTAGCTACTACTACTATTATAATTTAACAATAATACTACCTACTACTTGATAGTTTAATAGCTAATTAGATTTTATATTTATAGAATAGGTAGGTTGGATTCAACTAATTACTAACTTATTAAATTGTAGGTAGTAGTATAACTCGGTAGGCTAAGCGAGTTTATAAATGTACCCCCTAAAAGCAAGTTCTATTATATATATAAGTTTTATATAGTACAATCGGAACAAAGTAAGATTACTATATTTAGTTTAGCACATACTTTTCATACGATATACAAGCTAAACGTTCTTTATACATGTTGCGAGTTAGGGTATTATTCAGGGTATAGAACCTTAATTAGTTTAGTGTACCCTGCATGCGCATTCTAGCCAAATAGGCCCTAAGACCTCTCGGTAACATAATCCTCAGAACCTCTCTCAGCCATTATCTTCTTGTTATAGTATGAAGGTTATAACGTATTCGTCTAATAGCTTCCTGGCTGTACTGATTATATATATGTTTCTCAGATCCTTAGTTATTGGATCTGGCCTCAAAGTGAAGATAGTAGAATAAGCGAAAATGCTAAGGTTGTTTTGCGTCCGAGAAAAGCACCTTAAATTATTCTTTACAGTACAGACGAGTGTTAAATGCGAAATGAGGTAACCTTTACTGTGCAAATAAGCGGAATTGTAAACCCAAGGCTCCCCTCCGAAGAACATAACAGGTAGTCATGCATCGAGCATGACCCATGTCAAGTTGGATTTATATAACACCTGCTTGATCCTTTCTCCAAATCATTCATATATTTTACCTATCCATCAAGAGCGAAATAGAAAATAACGACTCCATCAGATCAAACACTCGATCTATATCTTCCGTTCTCGTGTAAAGAAAACAACATGACATCCCTCACTCTTCTCCTGACACTGGCCCTCGTTACCCTTACGTTCGCGGCGCCGAATCCAGACGATTCCGACGAAAATGTACCAGAAGAACCATGTGATCAGCCAGGCTGCGTGACGAGCTGTGGAAAGGCGGTTAGTGTTTTCCTCGTGGCATCTTTTTCTTTCGTTAGTTCCTTTGGCTGATATGATTGCAGGGCGTTGCTATAAATGTTTGTCGAGATGGCGGAGGGACGAATTGTGTGTGCAAAAAGCCTGGAGAGCCGGGTTATGGAACTGGAAAGGGATAGGGCGCTGCGAGACGTTACTGTGTTTCTTGTGGTTGGTTAGATGACAGGGCTTGGGTTATTGAGAGAGAAATTATACTGCATTGATACTCTGGTATAACATGGCTTCCATATTTGGATTATCCTGTTCGTAGTTACAGTATGAAGCAAACGGTGAATATAATATGCACCATGCATGAACACTATCTCAATCCGATTCCTCGAACCTTGGATATGGCAATGTTTGTTTTGACCGCTATAATTAAAATACGTTTTCGAACTTGATAGTAACCATAGGAGAGATCTGCTTTAACGACAAAAGGGTTTTCCAGTTTGGTGTTACATTTGCTTTCATTCCAGCGAATTTAATGGATAGAGAAATCTGGCTACTCGTAATAGATATGGATAGGCTTCTAAAAGCTGGCCCAAAACCAAACCCTACGCTCTGTCACAACTTTCTTTAAAAGATACTTTAATCGCTAGAACGAGTTGCTGATCGTAGAGAGCGAGGCAGAGAATGTATAAAGCCGAGTAACATGTCGAAGCTAACGGACTATCTTGTCCTCCACGTTATGGGTGCTTTATATTTCGGAAGGTCTTTTAAACTTAAGGAACCTGGAGAAAATCAGTTTAGACCTATTTCCTCTATGGTGCGTGTCCCACGAGGCAATTATTTGGCCTGATTAGGGGCGTGTATAGTGGATTTTAGTAAACCCTATTAAAATATTTTATTTAGTATTATATATAAATTCTACAAAGGTTAAGGGAAACGTATATAAACTTAGGAATATCGTATTAACATATAGTACCACGTTGGAATTAAAATTTCGACCGCAGGATCCTTATAAATCTCTATGTAAAGAAAGATGCGTTTGAATCAGGGGCTCGCCAAACACTAAAATGTATCTTGGCGAGACAAGGGCCACGGAGGAGATATCACATACCATCGCAGCTTCCATGCAATGTATGTACCCGGTAAACACTTAACCCTAGAAGATTTCATAGCTGATGCTAAATGAGATAAATTTCTCTCTGTCATCTCAAGTCTTTGGGTCTGGTTAAAACCAAAAGGCATTGAAAGAGTATCTGCAAGCGTAATCTTACAACCAGAGAATGTGAACACATATTATGACTTCGTGGATCCTATGATAACATGATTCACTTGAATGAGACTAGGACTATCCGTTTAAAATTGTTGAGAAAAGACGCAACTCTTGTAGATATCACCATTATCTCGATCATATTAGGTAGTGATTTTGTAAGACGCAAATTAGCAAATGGTCGCAGCAACGACCAGCGTTTACAGTACACAGCTTGGTTCAGCGCTAGAAGTCTTCGGTACGGTAAATAGATTAGTACCTCCTTCCTGCGCCTCGAGAGTAGACTTCGTGAGAACAAACTGTTGTCTGGATTGGAAATATTTCTCCTGTTGCGATAGTGAACGAAGACCTCTTCGCTTGGCCTCCTTCCCCCTTTTCCTCTGATCGCTCTCGCTAGCACCATATTTGTTCTAATACACATCAGAATATATAAATGACATTTGAATCATCTCCTATCTAGTTTATGAGTTTCTAATACTTGTTATCTGCATTCTTTCTATGTTGTTAGGTGCGTTCTTCCTCCGCATCTCTATCTGTGTAAATAAATCAGACTGCCCGCCCCAGCCCTGATATCAAAAGTGTTGCTTTATGCCAAGATCCCTTTCTCAGATCCAAAAGACACCAGAAATCCCTGCCTATCTAAAACGCCCGCCAACGGCCTGAAAAACAAACCTTCGAACGCCAGAAAGTCGCATATGGCCAGGACGTGTGTCGATACCTACACCCAAACTCCACTGACCCGCAGAGTTGACGCCCACTCATCTAAGAAACCTCAATTCCATCAACTGTCTCCTTGGCTTCTTTCATGGCTCCCTTATCCCCCTTAACGTCTGCAATAGCACCACTCCTCATCGACTCCTGCTCATCAATATCCATCATCTCGCTGATATCCGTACTAATCCACTCCCAGCCTCTCACCGAGCCCCTCCGGAAGATCTTGTCATCCTTATTCGTAGCCTCCGCATTAGGATCCTCGTATTCCATATCCTCATGACTCGTCTTGCTAACTTCGATTCCCCGATCTCTCAATAACTGTGTGATAGCACGAACGTTAAGACGCATGATTCGCTCGGGTTCTTCAATTGCAAGAAAGCGTTTCGTTACCCAGGGGAACAACATCCCAAAATCGGATTGTGAGAGGTGGGCGGAGGTATTCGCGTAGTAGAAATGGGGTTGCTCGCGTTCTGGTTCTGCCGGTAGAGGAACTAGTGAGGAGGGGTCGCGGGAGAGGAGACGTTTGGTCATCTTTAAGTGGACGCGCCATTTGAAAAAGGCTTCGGATTCAATGGCCAGGAGCGCTGAACCACCCGGGCCGGTAGGTGTGTAGCAGGGGAAAGGTTTGTTCCAAAGCCAGGAGACGGAGTTACCGCTGAGGGGGAGGTTCCAGACGTCTAGGAGAATTACGGGGGTTTGCGAGGTAATTTGGAGGCGTATTGGGGAGTTGGAAGAGGGTGTAAAGATGGGTTTGTAGCTTGAGGGGGTGGTAGAGTCGGGTTGGTAGAAGGTGGATTTTATGAGTTGGGTTATGGTTGCCGCACCAAAACTATGACCCGAAAAAGCTATCTTTCCGGGTTCATGAATGTCCATTTTTGAGGCGAAGGGTGAGAGTGATGTGGAGGAGGTGTTGAGGTTTGTGAGAGGAGTTTCCTTGTCCAGTGCTAGTAAGCTCGAGTGAACCAATCCAAGCTCCCATAGCCGAATCTTAAGTTGTTTGTTTCGTCCCTCCTCGACTTCCGGCTTGAATACGTGCTCTAAGCGGACATAATCTGTGGTTCTCTTTTGTTTGGAAGTCGTGATCTTTTCTTCCGTGGAGGTTGGTGTTGGGGACGGGACCGAGCGGATAAAACTGATTACTGTAGAACCGTCGCGGTGTTCAGGAGCAATAACAATCATTCCATGGGAAGCAATGGAGCCCGCTAAGTGAGAGTATGCATTTCGTGATCCGCCGAGTCCATGGGAGAATATCATTACAGGCCATCGGTTATTTGTTGTTGGTGGGGAGAGGAGGGGCGCATTCTTGCTCGCGGGAATCTGTATGTAATGGAAGATACGAGGAAAGAATCTACAACATCGAATCAGTTTCTTGTGTTCTCTGTATCTGAAAGCCAGGCACTCAGTACTCACGAAATGAACTCTGCCAATTTGTTTCCAGCTCCCAGAAACCTCCCATAAGCGGCTAATGTCTGTCTTTGCGGCGCAGGTACCCAATTGACCGTTTTGCCTTTCGATTCGGGCTCGCAGGGATAGAAGATTCGATATTGAATTGTACCGATTGTCTCATCGGGGCAAGGCGATAGCGACTCGAGTTCAGATACTGGAAGTTCGACATCGATGGTACCGACTTTGTATGGTCCCGTGTAAGCCGGAAAGCCTGGGACTGGAGAGAGGCGCGAAAGGAAAGATGTCATCTCGACGGTCGCACACGCAGCGCAGGAGGAAGAAAGAGAACGATCGTGAAGGGATTAATGAGAGTTTTGGACCAGAGCAAAAAGTCAATCAGGTTGTAGGAGGGCAGATTGAAACCGACCACGAAACAATTTGTATGCTCGTAGCGTGGGCGGGATGGAGGAACGGGAGGTCCGAGTCGAGTCGTGTGCCTCGGTTCCTTAAAAAAAGATTCACCAAAAGTGTGTCGTCATAGCGCCACAGTGGCTTAGTTTCACCTTTATCTTCTCACCACTACATTACTAGTACTGTAGTAGTATTAGATAAGTTTTGCCGACTGTTTATACTGAGACTTTGGAGGTTTAGTTCCTTCTACTGTAAATAGTGGACGATATTTATATGCGAAAACTGTGAAACTAATAAACGCCATTTGAGAAGGCCAGAGAGGTGTTAGTACTAACAAAAGTAAGCTACCTACCTAGTTTCTATATGGTCCCTAAGTAATTAAGCGTAGGTTGAGCGATATAAGCCTTTGTATTTTGTTGCCAGTTTTTGTTTTTATAAAAAAGCTTACTAAAGTCGCACATGACTTGTATATAACTTGTAGAGGGATTTTGAATGCGCTATTTTATTATTTTAGTAACAGTTCGTGGTAGAATAAATTATCCATTACTCTGTAACTTAACAAAAAATGTACGTAGAACGTTCTAATTAGTTTTGGTCAGTAGTATTCAACCAGTTTGATTGGCGAGAGTCCTTATACCAAGCCTAAATAGAACGTTGTATCTAATAAGTTACAGAGTAAGGGTCCTAAGTGTAACGAATACTCAAACTGGCTAACTAAACTTGGCTGGGTGTTCGCTGGTTGGTATGCTATGATAAGAAGAAGACTATCGGGTTGTTCACTTGGAAGTGAACTCGTTACTTGTATCAAAGATGTCAAACTAATATGATAAGATTGATAACTAAGTTGAGCACGAAGCTCCTATCTAATGGCAGACGTGCCAGTCTTATATAGAACCTTCATGTTCCTGTGCTAGCTTGCTAGCCCAGTCGCCCTGTCGCCCCGTCTAGCACAGCTAGTCACGTGATACGAATGGAATGAAATCCCTGGATCGCTTAGCTAGTCTAAGCGTCCCTTTTGATAACTAAGTTGAGCACGAAGCTCCTATCTAATGGCAGACGTGCCAGTCTTATATAGAACCTTCATGTTCCTGTGCTAGCTTGCTAGCCCAGTCGCCCTGTCGCCCCGTCTAGCACAGCTAGTCACGTGATACGAATGGAATGAAATCCCTGGATCGCTTAGCTAGTCTAAGCGTCCCTATTTGCTATAAGAGATATGATAGTGCTCGACCTGTCAGGACACCGCCTGGTCTTCACTTGTCACATGCTTGCACGTGATTCGTGACACTAAGGGATAGGATTTAGATAAATATATAACTTCGCCTAATCTAGGTTAGTAATAGTCCCACCAGGTCCCTCTATTAGCAAGTTAAAGTAGGTTACGTAGAGGGAAGTCTAAGTAGCTTTAAATTTTATAGAGCCAGACTTAATTAAGTACTAATTTATAGGATAACTCGCCACCTAAGTGTCACGAATCACGTGCTCACGTGATACTTGTCATAATAAGAGGTGCAATCCTCAACAGGCACGTCCAGGTTTCTTATAGCAAATAGGGATCGTTTGGAGTAGCTAAGCGATCCAAGGATTTCTTAGAAGTTTGTTATCACGTGATTGGATCATTAGGATCATGAGAATCATGGAGTGATCCAAGTGATCCAAGGGATCCGGGGATCATCAGGATCAGCGAGTTATTGTAGTGATCCAAGTGATCCAAGGTTCTATATAAGACTGGCACTTCTGCCATTAGATAGGAGCTTCGTGCTCAACTTAGTTATCAACTTAGTTATCAATCTTATCATATTAGTTTGACATCTTTGATACAAGTAACGAGTTCACTTCCAAGTGAACAACCCGATAGTCTTCTTCTTATCATAGCATACCAACCAGCGAACACCCAGCCAAGTTTAGTTAGCCAGTTTGAGTATTCGTTACACTAAGCTTACTTAGTAACAACTTATATAGTTCTCTCCTAGCTCTCTAAGCTATCTTTATACCTTTGTATTGGGTTGAAAGGGTATTGGGTACTGAAGGTCATGGAGAATTGATTTTATTGTAAAGGGTAGCTATCTAAGGTGTTTATATAAAGAGTGTAAGGTTTAGGCAGACATGAAGCATTTAGGCAGCAGAACTATAAGTGGATCAATTAAGGAAGTGGAGCAAAAGAGAAAGTAGACCCAGCACAACACTTTGGTATAGTTATTACATAGCTTTTGTCTACCTTATAGAATGAACTTAACCACTAAATGATCTATGAACTCGGCGACAAAATCCGCCTATTAAAAGTTAAGGGCAAACTTCTCTGCTTATGAGTTCCTTGACTTGTGGTATTTGAATTTTTATTTGTATTAAAATTCTGAACGAAGATCACTGAGAACAAGTTACGAAGACTTCGCTTAATAATATGTGCTGTTTTTTTTCCCACCTCTTATCCCTTACTCCGTTGTAAACACAAAATGGTAGGCAGAAACGCCTAATCAGGTTTGGCGGGTTGCGTCCTACCTGTTTTGATTAGTTTCCACCAGTTTCGATTGGCGAAAGTACTAAGGTAAAACCTGATTAGGCGTTTCTACCTATTAGTTTGTGCTTGTTCTGGAGTAAAGGATAACTTACTAGGAAGCGAAAGGTTGCATCCTAATGCAAGCTTGATATAGGTATCTATAAAGGATAGCTGGATGTTAATTCAATACTTGCAAACAAATGCAATTCAGTATACGGTAGAGCCACGGATGTTACCTTTAACTCTACGTGCAGTCCAGTTCACATTACGGCTATAATCCACCCCTACCCCTCTTCCACGGTAGGAAAACCAGGTTTCAAGACTACTGGCCTGTTCCTGTTAGCAGTGCGCTAAGCTGTATAACTGTCCTTGATCTTTGAGTCAATTACTCCAATCGTCCTAGACTTTTTCATCAATTGGTTTCAGATCAATGAAATTTAATTTAGAAGTTTTGCGCAGTGAAACTATATACCTAGTAGTTACGGCCGCTTTGCGTCTCTACAACAAATTTCTTTGTGAGATTAGAAGAGAGCGTTACTAAAAAAACAAGCAATTTAGCAAACCATAAGAGAGATGTAGCTACAGTATCCTCTGCTTTCAATGGAAGGCCAGGTGCGAAGAATATAAAACATAACCCAGAGATGTAGTATAAAGTTTTCCCCTCTCTTAGCTTAGTGAGGAAATTTAACTGTTTTTGAGTAAGGGAGAGCCTCTCTCATCCTACAACTACTAGAAAGGCATGACAGAGAAGGAAAAGCAAAAGGCAACCATGGATGCAGCAATTGAGAACTTCAGTTTCTGAGTGAGACCAATTGTTTATGGAATAGATAACGAGGCGTTGAGGTTGTGTTGATTGGGTCACCCTTGAATATGGCAGAGATGGGTAATGGAAATGCGTCAGTTATTTCGTTGTGTACTCTCATTACAATTGGCAATGGCAAGTAGCGGGCAGATACTGGTATAACCTTGCTACTAAGTTCCAGTTGCAAAGAATTTGATTGACTTGCATCATCATTTCAGCTTTATAAAGAGTGAGCTTTATAAAGAGTGAGTCCTCATGCGTGAATGATGGTAGTAACCCAAGAATGAAAAGCCATTCACTTCAAGAACTTCAAAGGGCTGCTCTATGCTGCTTCCCAGGTAATTTATTCACGCATCTAACTCCCCTACAGCTTCCCAAGTTACAAGCCCAACAATGTCTACAAGAGATACTCACTATCCCAGTTGCAAGCCTCATGCAGCACACATCAAGCTGTAGTGCGAACTCATAAATAACCACCTCCCCAACCTCCTGCCAACAAAGTCACTTCTCATACCCCCATCAACCTTCTATACATCCTCTCAACACCTCAAAAATGAACCTCTTAGCCCGCGAAATGGCGGTCATCCAAAAAGCCCACAGCCTAAACCTCAACATTGCACTCAACATCCCCAACCTCGAAGGCTGCGATTTCAACCAGCTAGTCAACGAGATCGGCTACATGCGCTTCTTCCAAAAGATGCAAGCCCTAAGCCACAATCTCGTCAACAAATGTGTCATGGAAGAGCTTTGGGCGATCTTGACCAGAGCCAAGGCTTTAGAAAAATGGGGCGTGAAGTCGATTAAGGAGAGTAAGCTTGCGGATAAGAGGTTGGTTAGGAGTAAGATGTCGGAGATGGAGATGGCTTGTATTGATTCATGGGCCGAGGTACGATGTTCTTGATGAGATGGGGCCAGAGGAGGGAGGAAGGCAGAACAGGCTGATAATCTCTAGATCTTTAAGGGTGGAAAGGGTTATGCTAGGTACCGGGATAGTAATCGTCCTCAGATGGTAAGAAAGCTTGTTCTGTTGACTTCTCCGATATTATTAGTTGCTGAGGCTAACTTAGTCTGGACTTCAGGAAACTCATCACGTCGAGATTGAGGCGTGGTGGGACAAAATCAAGGATGATGCTTATAAGCGAGGTATCGTAATCAACAACACTGTAGGTACATCTCATCTAATGGTGACTGTCTTCTGGTTGATACTGGGCAATTCTGATTTCATTTTTCCATAGTGGGTCTTCAATGCGACATACCATCTCGACCCCGATCAGAATCGAGATCTGCAGGAGCATGCACTGTATTCTAAGGCTGCTAGTCGTGTCTCTGAGGAGGAGAAGGTCACTGAGGCTTTGGAAAAATTGGGAGTCCGGGCTTAATTAGTGATCACGCTGCTCGTCAGAGTAGAAGGGGCTTTTACTACAATCTAATTTGCTAGGCGAATTGTAGGCCACAAGATGGATGTCGCCAAGTAACCATTTTTGAAATGGGGATTTCTCAATGATTGGCGGATGAGGCAATAGGAATCATATCAGTTTCATGTCATGGATGACGGAGCTTATGCCAGCAAAAATGCAATCGCGGATGCTTTTCTTTAATAACCCTATCCAGTCGTTCTGGGAAACATACGTGACTATGAAGTGATATAGGACTTTCTGGCCGCATGATAGCTAAGCGAAAAAGTCCAACCCAACCTCCCCATTTACCCACCAACTTCGCCCTTTAATTTCTACCATAGTTTCTAAACAAAAGGCTTCTATGAAGGATTCCTCACAACTCTACTACACCTTTCGTCGCGGCAATAGACCAAACGATTCCCATCGTGCGGAGAATAAATCCTCTTACTTGTGCACCCCGCCAATCACTATTTCAAACCAACCCAACCCTTCCAATACGGTACAGAAGAGACCTTATTTTCATAAAGGATGTCCAACCCAACCAAAATCTACAAAATCCGTTTCCGTCTCTCAATTCCCGACCCAGAAATGCCTCAACCCCGCTACCACACAACACTTTTCATCCAAACACCCCTCGACACCCTCAATGGGACGGGCACCACTCATCACGTCACCGGGGATCTCGTGACTGGAATGGTGTAACAAAAACGATTCGAGACTTCGGCACCAGAGAATGATGAGATGTTCTTCTCGAAGGAGCTGCTGGGGTATACTAAGGATGGTGTAGATGAGGAGGGTATTGAAGGGGTGTCAAAGACGTTGGAACCGCCTGGGAAGCAGAAGAGGTATAATCATAAGACTGGTAGAACGGAACAGTTTAAGCCCGAGGGTGGATTTTATGAGGTTGGGGAAGGGAGGCCTGCGATGAGGAAGTGTACAGAGTGGATTGAGGAGCAGGCAATTTCGGCCCTGAGGGAGAGTGGTGTTTTGATCCCTGAGAAATGAGGTAGTGAATGTGCCTTTTGACGATAGAGGCTCCCTCATGCTGATATTGTCCGTTGAATCGCTCTTGCTGTGATGTATCCGATGTATGGCCGGATGCATTTGGGAAAACATTGCTTTACATCGCATATTACGGGTATAAACTACCGTCTACCAGATCCCATCGAGTTCATTACGCGTGAGTGACGGCTTTCTTCCCTCTAACCACAAAAGGTGGATCCTCATCACCAACCCCCAAGAACTTATGACCCTCATTCAAAACCACCTCCTCAACCCCTTCCCAACCTCCACTAGCCCAAAAATACCCACCCACCCACATTCTCTTCTCCGCATCACTCATACCCATCCAAGCCCCAATAACCTTAGTAGGAAAATATCGATTACTGAACGCCATATGCGCCGTACCACCTACCTTCAACACCCTCATCATCTCCTCGAAAATCTTAATCGGCTGAACCAAATAATCCACACTCAAATTGCAAATCACGACATCGATACTCTCATCCTCCACCTCAAGCGTTGGGTTCAGATTCAGATCTTGGACGCTGTATTTGGTGAGATGTGTATTCCGAGCGGGCTCGAGGGAATTCATTCCAATTCCAATCATGAATTGAGGTTTGAGTGAGGCGGAGAGATGAGAGACCCAACTCGAGCAGATGTCTAGAACGTGGTGGGTGGGGTTGATGATGGTTGAGTAGTAGGTTTCTAGCGTCGTAATGGCTTTTGCGTCGATGTGGTGGACGAACCTTTGCTGGGAGTACCACTCTGAGTCGTTGGTTTCATCTTGGCGTGTGAATGCTGATGGTGGGTAGGTTATTGGAGAAGGGTAGGAAGAACGTGGGAGCGGGGTTATTTTCATTGGCAATGCTGGAGGTGGGGTGGCCATTGTGAATGGACGGGATGTGATGGAGAATTTTGGTGATGTGTTCTGGAATTGGTTTGGTCGAGAGAGGGTCAGAAGCAAGCGTTGCCGTGGGAGGTGCATTTCAAGTGTTGTACTCCGTATCTGGGTGAGAGTGGTTGGGAAAGATGCTGTACGAGTAGATAATTGATAACAGTGATCGACACAGGGAGGGTCCTTGAAACAAATAGTGGAGTTTAGACGTCATCGAGAGCCTGGAGCGGGCCCCAAATTTAAGCTTATTTTGAGCCCCCACTACAGTACAACGGGGTAGAAGTATTTTTTGGGCGATGCATCCTTCACAGATTCCTACCTTTGAACATGCACACGGTTGTCCGATCACGCAGAATAATAGATGTGGTACTTTTATATAGAGATGAGCGTCAGGCAGAGGGCTCAATCCCTTTTATTCGTCCTTCAAGCGCAGTCATTCGTCTGAATATTCTCAGCCAGGTTGACACACAGAAGAAAAGAAATTGTTGTATTGGATAAATGTATATCGCTTACGAGAAAGAGGATGGCATTTCAGTGTCATTTCTCCATCAATAGTGAGTTACCAAGTAAGGGTTTGCGGGCTTCGGTGCTCGCAAACTTCGGTTTCCGAGCTGATGGACATGCATGTATTATCAGATCAAACGATTCATATCTAATCTCGGATCTAATCATACTGCATCAGCCAACGTGTTCTTCTTGTAATCACTGGTCAGTTTTCGTCAGCCAGATCTGATTAGAAATAAACGGACCGGAAAGTTGATCTCGGAGTTAGTGGGAGCCGCTGTGCTACCCGACCTCGAAATTACCCCCCGGGTATATATATTTTGATGTTTCCTGGGACTTCATCTGTTACTGGCTTTGTACTTACAAGATAATTCAGAATGGCGTACGAAAAGTTTAGAGCCGTGAGGAAGTACTTTCCAGTCCTCCTCGGAACTCTTTTCCATGGCTTTTACCGACGTACGCAAGCTTTCGTACATCGTTTTACTTACAGATTGCTTCCGGAAACCCAAAATGTTGTTGTGATAGGTGGTTCGTTTGCAGGAGGAGTTCTCTCCAGAAGTCTAGCGGAGTCTCTGCCTTCCGGCTTTCGGGTCATATTAGTAGAGAGAAACTCGCATTTCAACTTTACATTCAACTTTCCTCGTTACTCTGTGGTTTCAGGTCGCGAACACAAGGCTTTCGTTCCGTATAATGGATTGAGAGGCAATAACGCTCCAAAGGGTATCTTTGAACAGATTCAAGACACAGCAGTCGGATTCACAGAGAAGGAGGTGCATTTGAAGTCTGGGAAATCCATTCCTTTCAAATACCTCGCTATTGCCACTGGTGTCAAACAGTCACCCCCTGCGAAACTTTTGTCAAGCCACAAGGATGAGGCTTGCCACGAACTACAAGTCCTACAGCTGCGTATCCAACAATCTAAATCTATCGCTATTGTAGGAGCCGGGCCAGTCGGAGTTCAACTAGCTAGTGACATCAAAACCTTCTATCCAGAGAAGCATGTCACACTCATACACTCAAGGGAGCAGCTGCTTCCAACTTTTGGCAGGAGATTACATCTGTATGTTCTCGATAAACTACATAAAATGGGCGTGGAAACAAGACTCGGAGAAAGACCAACCATTCCAAAGATATCATATTGGGATAAGATGGAAGTAACGTTCAAGGATGGTGGGAGGGAGACTTATGAGCTAGTGGTTAGTCATCCTTGAAACCCAAAAGTGTTGTTCTGACAACTATAGATTCCATGCACCGGCCAAATTCCAAATTCGTCTCTTCTCGAGGCAATTTCACCCTCCTCAATCTCCACTCCAAATCATCGGATTCTTGTCCATCTATCTTTGCAGATTCAACAACATGAAAAGATTGATGGCAGTCCAGATCTTCGAAACGTTTTTGCGCTCGGGGATGTTGCTGAGACAGGGGGCCCCAAAATGGCCAGGGCGGGGTTGTTCCAAGCAGAGGTCGTGCGCTCGAACATCATGAGGCTCATTGCGGGGAAAAGGTTGAAAGAATATAAACCCATGGCTATGGAAGGCGCTCTGAAATTGACTCTAGGAAAGGTAGACATAATATTCTACTCTATTTAAAGTGTGACTCGTTTGCTAACAAAGGGTGCAATTAGGACGATTATGTGAATTACATTCAGGATCCCGATGGCAGTGATTTTCTTATCCCTGGGAGAAGCGGTGAGATCGATCTGGAAGTCGAGAACATTTGGAAGGTTTTGGGAGCGAAGCTGGAAGAAAGTATATCTCCTGAAGCCGCGTGATGCGGAAGTCATTATGGTGTTTTCAAGGGCTGGAGTTCTTGCGCAACTGTTACTGTATTCTTTTCGGTGCCCGACACGGTCTGGTATCTGTATCTCGAAGTAATTTGAATTCAATTGCTTCTTTGCTTGACAGATGCCTGTCTTGTGGATTTAAAACAGCCTAAGTGAAATCGGACTTGAACTAAGCATATAGTTTAAATGAATTTCAGCCAATGGGGTTTTATCCAAAGCCCATAAAGGACCGTGAGGATGTTCGAAACACTCCGTCAAGGGGTTTGTGGGAAGAAACAAACATGTCGCATCGAACCACTGCGTGGACAGTCAACGGCAATACCGCGAAACTCTGACAGTGTGGATTATGCCATTTAATACTGGTATGATCGGGAGTCATACTCTATGTCGTTCTGCTGGGACGACCGATTTGATAAAACCCCTCTCTCCGCCAACAGTGTTTCTTATTCCTCTTGCGCGGCAGATCACACGCTCTCCACCACTCTCTTTCCTATCTAATATTTTATTAATATACAGAGAAGCTGGTCTTTCTGTCTTTACATTCTATTTCTAATTTGAATTCATTATCAGTCATCATGCGGTTCGCTCGGCTTGCAGCCCTGTGCTTCATCGGCACGGCTCTTGCCAGCCCATTGGAACCGAGGCAGAAGAAGACCGACCCAATGTCTGTTAGAGTCGCCGCTGATGGCTTCAAGCGCGATGCCAGTGTTGTCTCCGCATCTTTGAATGCTCTCGGTACAGAACAAGATCCAACAGTCATCAAGGCTCTCGCCACCAAAGCGTTCTCTGCAGAGAGTGACGAGAATGGTCAACGAGCTGTTCTTGCCAAGGTTGCTGGTACTGCTGGTTCCTCACCCAATCAACTTATTGTCCAAAACACGCCCATCGTTCTCAACGGTCTTCAAGCAATTATGAACGATCCTACACCAGCGACTGCTATGGCTCAACTTAAAATTATCGAAGAGGCCAGGTAAATCTTCCTCTTCTTCATGCCTATCGGATATAGAAGCTAATACCTTTTTCGAAGGAATCCTAATATTCTTCCAAGTATCACGCAACTTTCCAACGCTGCTCTGAATAATTCAGGATTGGCACCGAGTCAGATTAAGTTTGCACCTACCCTCGGTGCAACCGCAGGACAAGGACCAGCAATGGGTATGGGTGGGACTCAAAACGGTGGAACGGAAAAACCACAACCAGAAGGCAATCAGAACGAAAAACCAAAACCAGAGGCTAATCAGGGCGGTGGTGGAACTGAAAAACCACAACCAGAAGGCAATCAGAACGAAAAACCAAAACCAGAGGCTAATCAGGGCGGTGGTGGAACTGAAAAACCACAACCAGAGGCTAACCAGGGCGGCGGGACCGAAAGGCCACAACCGGAGGCTAATCAGAACGGTGGCTCAGAAAAGCCAAAACCAGAGGCCAATCAAAACGGTGGGACTGAAAAGCCACAACCAGAAGGCAATCAGAACGAAAAACCAAAACCAGAGGCTAATCAGGGTGGTGGTGGAACTGAAAAACCACAACCAGAGGCTAACCAGGGCGGCGGGATCGAAAGGCCACAACCGGAGGCTAATCAGGGCGGTGGTGGAACTGAAAAACCACAACCAGAGGCTAACCAGGGCGGTGGGACCGAAAGGCCACAACCGGAGGCTAATCAGAACGGTGGCACAGAAAAGCCAAAACCAGAGGCCAATCAAAACGGTGGGACTGAAAGCCCAAAACCAGAGGCCAATGGCAATCAGAATGGTGGGGCCGAGAAACCACGACCAGAGAACAATACAAAAAGTGGGACTGAGAAACCACAGCCAGAGGCCAATCAAAACGCTGGCACTGAGAAACCACGACCAGAGAGCACTTCCAACCAGGGACAACAGAGCACAGGGAATACCATTCAATACGGGGGAACTGGATCGTCGACACAGTCCCAAGGAAGTAGCACTCAAAATCAAGGCAACGGCAACACCAACACCAACCAGAACAGTGGCCTCTACAGCACCAGCAACAAAAACTACTAAAGAAGCACTGGTACTGCCACTCGAAGGCAATAGAACAGCAACCAGGGCGGAGATAGTGCGCAAAGTCAGACTAGGAGCACAACTCCGAGAGAGCAGAATTGCCTTCAAGGGACTACTAATGTCAATGCAAACACCTGGACCCATTATCAAGCTTCTGTTGATGCTTCTCCTGCCCCTGCCGAGAAAACACGTGTAACGGGCTTCTGAGAGGTTATGAATTGCTTTTTTTTCTTTTTGATTGCTACTTGGCGGTTACCCTGTTGTCTTATTTGACCTTTTCTTCTCAAATCCCTACCAATATTCTTTATATTGTATTATTCTTTACATTGTATATATCCCATACATTCTATTCAATTCCATCTTAAATGTCTGACGCAATAACCCGGTCCAAAGTTTTCGATCGCAATGTCAGATGGAGCGACAATTGCTACTTCATCTAATGTTTCCAAACACGCTCGCAGTTTTGAATTGGTTTGAGGTGAGGCAGTATGTTTCAAAACAAACGATGGGCGGGAGGCCGAGACGAACCAGTTTACATGGGTCTTGGCGGGGTTCGCTTATTTTAAGAGGCGGGTGAAGCTAGGCGAACCGGCTGAGATAGCGGGGAAGAAGAGGAACGTGGAGTAATTCGCCTCATTTTTCTAAACTCTCGGAAAGCGCTGTAACGGTGAAAGTTGAGTGAGAGTTCTAAAATAAGTAGAATAATTGTTCTATATTTGTGAAATTCTTCAAATGGGCTTGAGAGAACACAACGGAGCAATCCATAAACTGAAACTTTTCGTCTCTATCGTGAGGTATATGTGGGAAGTGTTTGCAAGATGGAAAGTATAACTCTTCAAATGATGTATCATGAATAACGGAACATTTCGAAGTCATGATTGTGAACTGAGATTTTGTACCTTTGTCCTCGCCGGTTCGAGTGGGTTTACTAATTCTTCTGTGCCGCAACGCTCGGCACATGGAACCATATTCCATGGAATTCCAGGTGGAATATTCCATATGGAATCCTTCTAGAGCACCTATAAAATGGAATGGAATCCTTCCATCGATTAGTGTCTGGAATTCTGGTCGTTATTCGAAGGTCGACCCATCGCATCCTTAACCAGTTGCCCAAGGGTGAAAGACAGAGTTTGGAGAATTCCGTAGAGATCTTGATAATCGTTTTCCTCGCGAAGCAAGTACTGATTTTCAGGGACATTTGCCCGGTTGAAATTTCCCGCTTCAAGGAAGAGGCGCTCTGAGAGTTGTATTGCTCTGCGGCCGAGATTAGGGACCATGAGATTTTCTCCGACTTTAGGTGGTGGGAGTAATCCTTCAGGAATGCCTACAGTGACACATTGCCAGCACGGAAATCCACGCATTGGTCTATGAGGAATATCTAATGTTAGCACGCATTTTGATAGTGCCCGTGCGGAATAGTCAGCGAGCCAGGCCGACTTGTTGCCGTGAGTCAATCCATCTCTGCAGTCTACCACAATTAGCTGTTTTTCTTGACGGCAAGCTGGGCAAGAAAAAATGTATGAGCGACACATTGCACCATTTTCCCCAGATTAAGATTTCAGACAAGGGTTTTTCGTGGCTCCCAACAAGAGAACAATGAAATTTTAATAGATACGAGATACGAGAAAAGATATATTAATGCCTAATGATATAAGGGACGTATTAATAGGAATACTTCTAAGTGATGCCCACATAGTAAAAAGATCCCCTACAGGAAACTCTAGGTTAGTATATGCACAGACAGCTATAGCTCATAAAGCGTACTTTGAATATGTTTATAGTTTTTTTACTACTTTCTGCGTTAAGGATTATATACCACAATCTAGAGTAGTCAGGGATAAAAGGACTAATAAAATATATAGTGCTATATCTTTTACCACTATGCAACTCCCTTGTCTTAATGTTTTTAGAGATTTATTCTATTTACCAAAGGAATGTGGTTCTTTGTTGTTTGTATTATACACGAAAACGAAATACAGCAAACCATCTTTGTTCTTATTGCTGTATTTTGCAGCTATGGGAGTGTGTATGGACTTTACGAACACAAGTCTATGAGTGACCATCCGATTTGATAAAGTATGCCGTATGAAAGGTGTGCACATGTAGGATGGATAAGCGGGAGCTGGAGTAGAAGGCTGTCAGTAGGAAAAAAAGCGCCACTTCTTGTCGTAACTTATTTCAAGCATTGAACCATTTTACCGCTTTCAAACAATAGAATGAATTAATCGAGAACCTAGGGGGTAACCAAAGTGAACACCCCCGAGAGATTTAAAGTAGTTATCAGCGTCCGACCTCAAAAAGAAAAAGATCCAAAAATACTCTTCTCCAATTCCTACCCCCACGCCACTACGTGGCCTAAGAATCCTTCAACCACACTCCCAACCTCCACAACACTCTCAACCACAAACCCACAAACCCACAATCCCACACACAACACACTCTTCAACATAACCCTAGGTATCTCACAAACTCCCCTTCCAATCATCCTCCACAAGCTTCAAAACCGGAACCAAATTCTCAGGCTGCACCCTCTCCCACAAATCCCCCTTGCCTGCTTCAATACCCTTCTGATTCTCCCTCCGAAACCACTCTTCGACACTCTTAATTCGATTCGGATGGATCTCGTCTAAGAGCTTGTAATCTCTTTTGAGGATTTTGTGTTTATAGATATTCCACTAGTAAAAGTAGTCAGTTCCCGAATTTACAGAGAAGGGGAGGGAAAAAGAAGAACCAAAAAACAAAAAAAGAGAAACCCACAAAACCCGTAAAATTCTCCCTCATACTCATTCCCCCCTTCCCAGCACTATACCCCGCCAATCTCTCTCCCCACTCCCTCCTCCCCTCCAAGTTCCAAAACACCTCCATCTCCACATCCACATACCTCGCCTGTCTCCCCGTTACCCTTCCAAACGCCTCCGCCAACTCCGCGAACCCAACATCCCCAATCGCGACCTGGAGATCCATGCCATCAGCCCGCACCCGATTCTCAAAAAGCCATCGAACATAATATCCACAGTCCTCCAGACTGACCGCGGGCATATACCCATCCCCCATCGGCGCCCTCCACGTGACGACCCCGTCTTCGATAGTTGGCGAGAGCAGCGTCCGCGAACTGATGCACATCTCGATATACGGGCCCGTCGTGAAGAGTGCACTCGCCATAGTCTTAGAATTCGTCCGATTCTGGAATAAAATCCATTCCCCCACCCTCCCTTTCCCATCATAATGACCCGCGCGGAACCTCTCATCATACCCCGTAAGTTTCCCCACATAGTNTAGAATTCGTCCGATTCTGGAATAAAATCCATTCCCCCACCCTCCCTTTCCCATCATAATGACCCGCGCGGAACCTCTCATCATACCCCGTAAGTTTCCCCACATAGTCCAAATTCGCGTACACAAAAAACCGAACACCGGATCGGAGAGCGATTTCATAGCACCGAATCGCCCAGTACATCTCCGCTTGTTCGCCGGTGTTGAAGCCGTCGATGTTGATGAAGGCGCCTTGGCAGCCGGTGAAGCCCTTTTTGAGGACGGCTTCGTTGGCGAGGGAGCCTTGGAGGAGCGAGATGGTGGGGAGGGTGAGGAGGGATTGGGCCCGCGGAGAGGTGGTGTCGCGGGTTAGGACGAGGATTTGGTAGTGTGGTGCTAGGGCGTGGATGATGGGGAGACCTTGGGCGCCGGTTCCGCCTATGATGAAGATTTTGGTGATGGGGTGGGTTGCCATTTTGGAGAGAAGTGTTTGATTGGAGTGATTCAGGAGGATGGGTTTGAATGGTTGTTTGGAAGATGCAATTGGACTTATTGTAAATGAGTTATGAGGGAGGGACTGATATCTAGAGAATAGGAGATTCTCCGAACTCTTATAACTAACATCCTCTTCATCTTCCAAGTATATCTTGAGCTGATCAGTAATGCTGATACATTCAAACCAATCAATTGATTTGCCCTTTAGTTGAGTAATCAATGTGAAGTACACGACTATCTTCTCGTGCAACCACCCCAGGAAGAATTGGCTCAGTAATCAATATCAATACAAGAGATCTATGCTGGCGGGTATAGTGATTGCGGGGTAAGTTGCTTAAATTACCATTTTTGGCTTCATACGCTTGCCTCTTCTTTCAAAAAAGAGTGATACAGCCTATTAAAGTAAAACAATGAAAGTATGAATAATCACATTCTTTCAGTATCATCATGTACAAAAGCACCAATGTGTATACGGTATGGACATACGCAAGTCAGAACTCGTTTAGTATCCAGATATAATTGACCTATCTGCGTTCTCTGATTAACCAAATGTGTGATTACAACAAGATCAGATATGCTTGATAGTTGAAGGGTACATCAAAACAATATTGGCATCACGGACATAACTAGCCGGGCACTTGCCAAGCATACCGACTTTCCCATGGTGTGATTGAAAAAGCTGCGAGCCAAAGAGGAATATTCTTTTGTATGTCCCATGCGTAAATATACAAAAATCATGATATTACATTTCTTCCAATGACCGCTCGATCATAGGTATCCCGTAGCCCAGAATCATGCAGACCGCTGACGATTCGATACCCAACGCTTCAGAACAAATTCCCTAACTTTATATCGCGCCAGAACGCCACGAATATCCAACTGCTCTTCCTCCGCGGCAGTGATAGGTCTGGGAATATCCACATAGCACAAAATAACCGTTTTCTTGACCTGAGTTATGACCCTATTAATACAGCTCAGCCACGCCCAGGTTCGTCTCTCATTTGCTTTGGCAGCTTCGTTATTATCCCAATATGAATCACTATATGAAGGCAAAATAAGAACCGCAAATTCCGCATGAGAGAATGGCGGGCCACGAGTGTATAGCATAAAATCGACCGAAAATTTGACTCCTGACCGGACAACCCAGCCGAGAGAGCGAAAATGATGATATACAGAGTAATTAAGCATGAATGGGTCGTCCGGGGCGAGTAGGGTATCTTCCAATAAAGGTGGGAAGTAGGATGTGCGACGGAAAAGGGATAATAGATTTTGGTTCGAGATTGCACTTCTTGTTTCTGGGTCGTAAATAGAAATCGCGCCGAGGGCGTAGGACAAGAAGAATGCTTCTTCCAAGGTGAGTTGGGTATGCTCTTGATCTTTGATGGCCAAGGACTTCACCTCAACGGCAGCCGCGGGGAGGATGACCTCGTTGATAAGACCTGGACTTGGTGGTTGATTTTGCATGAAGGTGTTTTGCTCCACAGTGGGTGAAAAGCGAACACTTTTCTGACGTTTAAGTCTTGGAGTGCTATCAATTTTAAGACCTTCAATGGCTGTATCTTCTGTGTTTGACGAAGCCATCGAAACCTCGTCACTGGTAACGGATGTCGAAACAGTATCGTTAGCTTTAGTGTAACCGTCCAGAAAAAGCCCATCGTGATGTATCGAACTATTGCCAGCAGTATCTAGGTCTCGAGTGATAACATTCCCAAGAATTCCTTGTGCCGCGGGGGTTGCTATAGAGGACTCCAAGGGCATCGCAGGTGCTTCAATATTGCATGCAACCAATGATGTGGCTGAATTGGGCAAGGCTAGAAGTTCTAGTGGACCCACAGGTGCAATATGGCGGATGATGCCGTCCAGTTCTGGCGACTGCTCAGAAGAAAGATTGATCTCAGTCACGAAAGGCTTTGTGCCATTGAAGAGAGAGACGAGTTCAGCCTCGGAATTCGGAAGTTGTAACAGCTCGAGAGGTCCGACAGGGGAAACGAAACCTCGAGGTGTGGTAGCATCAGAGGCATCGTCACTGGTACTTAATTCCGGGGGAGTGTCCACAGCAGAGACGACGGAAGAGATCTCTACATGCAAAGGAATTCCATTGATGGCTACGTCTGGTCTATTGGCCGCCTCGGCTTCCTCGAGTAATTTCTGGTCAATGGCTTCTTTCTGTAACCTCGCCCGCTCCCATTTAACCTGCTGCCTTTCCCGGCGTCTTTTTCGAGTGAGCTCTTCACTTGTTTTCGCCTTACTCGAGCCTCTTGCCTGTTTCTCCTTCTCAGCCTTGAGCCAATTGGGCTCACTTCGACTCAAGTTTCCTTTGCCATAGAACCCTTGATCCCACAGTGCCTTGGCAGATCGAGGGTCGATGACATGTACTGATCGAGTCTCAGCAGAAAACCAACCTTGATATAGAGGATCAAAGCCGGAGGACTGTGGACTAAGTGTTTGAGAAACCCAAACATAGAGTATGTGCAGAAGAGAAAGAGGGTTGTGAGGTACAAACGTTGGAAGCGGGAAGGTTCGCAAGGGGGCGGGCAAAGCATAGCGCTTATTCAACATCTGAAATTTGGTCGGCCCCCGAGGCGGACGAGGAGCTGTCGCCGTGGGCGCGGCATTTTCGATCTTAGGTATCTGTATAGCCGGATCAATTGCTGTGCCATTGACCTTCTCAATTGAGGTTGGCATTGCGATCGCGTCCGCCATGGTGTAGCTATGCTATCGCCGAGTCATTTCGCAGGGAGGACCTATGAAGCGCGAGCTGGTCAGCAGGAGCCTTTTGGATCAATCGTCATCCTCATCTTCAAAATTGTGCATGGTCTGCATTGCTCAGATACCGTTGTAGTCTTCCCGAAGGAATTGAGCCAGCATTGGAGAGAGACATAAAGTCAGAGTCACATCTCCTAAGCATCGTTTGGTGTCATCACCGCAATGTGGCAACCGCCTAGCTGCATCGATTCCAAAGAAAGGAGAAATGTACTTACAGCTTCGGATTGGGTCCTCGAGAAGTGTTGAGGAGTGCGCGGTGGAAAAATATGAAGACGTTGAATGGTTCAAGTGGGGGGAGTGCGGCCTTTTTGAGCGTTTTCCGTTTTTCTTCTTGCGCGAAATGCCGGACCTTTTCCGCTAACGTGCACGTGATATTATGTAACGGCGGCCGCTGGTGGGAGTCGTGGCAAGGCCCCTGGCCGAGGTTCTTCCAGACTCTCCCGAATCATTGCTATTTATTCAGCGCGCCCCCTATGTCTTTTTTATGGTCAACACCTGAATTGTTTGAGAGCTGATTGAATGTTCCTTTTTCGTTTTTTATACCTTTCTTCCGCCTTCGCGACTGCCAACGCAGCTCGGGCTGTGGGAGGAGAAGATGCCATTCCAACTTGGCTCTTCGCCGTCTCGGCTACATGTGGCATCTGGTACTGTTTTATCCTTGCCGTACAAGCAATCGGACTCACCCAATTGTACAGTAACACCATTGATATCTTGTCTTGACCTTTACTTATTTAAGCCCAGATTCCGTCGCTATTCATCCAAGCCTAAGCCTGCTGTCTCTCCTACACTGAAGGTCGAAGACATACCCCATGTTACAATTATTCGGCCTGTTAAAGGACTAGAGCCCCAACTCTACGAATGCCTTGCTGCCACTTTTCAACAGCTATATCCTTCCGAAAGGTTGACCATACACTTTTGTATATCTTCGAGGGATGATCCAGCTTTCCCAGTACTCCAACGACTGCTAGTAGACTTCCCAGCATTTGATGCGAGGATATTTGTGGAAGAAGAGGATCCAGTTCTCAGTGGCAATGGAGGAAGCAGCAACCTTGGACCAAACCCCAAGATTCGAAACATGAGTCGCGGCTATAGGGAGGCCAAAGGGGATATAATATGGGCTTTGGACTGCAATATTTGGATTGGGAAAGGCGTTGCTGGAAGAATGGTCGATAAGCTCTGTGGATACGGACCAGACGGGTCAAGGACCATCCCTTACAAATTTGTTCACCAATTGCCACTTGTAGTCGATAGCGTAGGAGCAAGTGTTGGAGAGGAAAGGAGAGGCCTGCTTGGAGGTTATGGAACAAATTCAGCAGTCACCACTGACAACCACGATTACGACGAATCATCTCTGAACACAATCTTTCGAACTGGTGGAGGACGCCTTGAAGAGATGTTCATGGCAGGTTCCCATGCCAAATTCTACACAGCTATCAATACAGTCTCTGTAGCTCCATGCATCGTTGGTAAGTCGAACATGTTTCGTAAATCTCACCTCGACTATCTCACTTCATCCTCAACCGACTACGCACCTGGAATCGATTTCTTCTCTGAAAACATCTGCGAAGACCATCTCATTGGGGATCTTCTCTGGAGAAAAAAGGTCAAGGAGGAAGAGGAAGGTATCAAATTCTACAAACACGGACTTGTGTTCGGCGATCTTGCTATTCAGCCAATGGCTGGCATGTCGGTACGGCAATATATCGCTCGCAGAGTGCGGTGGCTACGCGTTAGAAAGTGGACTGTGACTTTGGCAACCTTTGTAGAGCCTGGCGTTGAACCTCTATTATGTTCGGCATACGGAGCTTTTGCATTTACAACCCTACCTTGGTGTTACAAGAACCTCGCTGCTCCCAATACATGGCCCGCATTCTTTCTATTCTGGCTTAGTAGTCTACTTGCCTGGATGACTCTGGACTTTTTCGCATATCGAAAGCTTCATTCCGGCTCTTCTGTCGAACTAGATTACGAAACCCCATCCTTCGCACGGCCTGCAACACCAAGAAGACCACTTGGTGAATGGGTTCTTGCCTGGTTTGGGCGGGAGTTTCTTGCTCTTCCTATCTGGACTTGGGCTTGTTTTGGCGGAACGACTGTCAAGTGGCGCGGAAAGAAGTTTCATGTTGGTCTCGATATGAAAGTTGTTGAGATTAAGGAGAAGGGGAGTAGAACTGTGCTGGCGACGGCGTCCCCGACTAATAGCATGAGATCGCGGAGTAAGGATAGACAAGATTAACGACCTCGATACCCTAAATAGATTGAAATACACCTAATGTTTAATTCTCACATTTGTACAATCGTTTCATTTTTTTGTCATTCTTCTCCCCTTTGTCTGCCAGCTACCAGCCTCAGTGTGTAGTCTGGTTTCCCGCATCTATGATCAGTCATTGATACGAAGTAGTTTCTAAACCTGAAAGCATCCTCTCTTCAATTTATCCACCGCCATCAGAGGTACTGTATGTGCGTTGTCTGTGTTTTCAGATTGCACGATACTGCTGGGTATACTCTCCGTCCTCAATTGAACTTCATCCTACTATCTGGAGCTTACCGTTTGATGAGAAGACTTTGTAAATGTGTTTTTATTTCAGTTCTACATGTTCCTCACTTTTGCCATATTGCTAGTCAAGAAACACATCACATTCCCCAATACCAAAACCTTAGTATGCCTTACCACATCACCTACAAGTAAGTCTTACCAGTCCATCCACCAGGTCAGAGCCTAGCCGAGCTTACTACTATAACTCACCCGCCGCATCCTCCTCTACCCACAGTCTATCCCATCACATCGCAAATTCGACATCTCCCATCTTGGGCAGAAAGCGAAAGCCCATCACCTCATCAAATCACCTACACCAAACGTCATATCATCTTCCCCCCTTCGCTCAATAACCCACACAATGATCCTACATTCGGTCTATGTTTCTGGGTGTGCTCTGCTGTGTGTATGCGGTATTACGTGGCATTGCTTGTTAGGAGGTACAGTATATGATTACTGTAGGCATACTGTACTGTAGGCATCTTCCCCTCTCTGCCACCCACCGCCACATTATTTCACGTGGGATAGGATAGGATATTCAGATTTGTGCTTGTCCTAAGTTCGCAGGATGAGATGGTGGATGGAGGTTCCGATTGGTGGGCTCGCTGTTTTCTGAATTAGGTTGGCTGCATGCATTTTTGTGCGTCCTTTTTCCTTGATCTCCCTTTTTTTTTTGCTTTTTTTTATGGATGGGCTGATGAGCTTGCATATGTACTGTACAGTAGTAGTTACAGTACACCTGTGGTGTTCTGTGGTGGTGGGGGCTGTTCTGGGCTGTTCGAGATTCGCATATTGGTGGGGTTACAGTAATGTAAAAGCAGGATGACGGTGGGTGGGATTGAATCTGTGGTGTGGTGAGGCCCTCGGTGTCAGCATGGTGCCTGGATTTCTACCTTAAGAACGGGACCGTTGGGTTGTGTTGTGGTGTAGGCTTTCACGAATGAGGTGTGTTGATGTAATGCTGCATTGCATGGTGGGGAGTTGGGATTGGGCATCAATGCTCGTGGGCTTTTTGTTAAGGATTGCTGCGCTGCGCAGTGGGATAACTCCATGGGCTATGCGGGGGGGTATATGTGTGAGTGTGAGGCATTTTGAACTAGATGAACTTTGTGTATTTGTTTTGAGATTCTTATACATTACAGCAGTGTTTCATCACTGCGCAAATTGAGGATTGGGTTTGCGATCATCTTGCCAGGCTGAGTGAGGACAATGTCCAGAAAGGAATACACACCCCGAAAACACAGACGAGAAGGAGGAAGAGCGAATCCCACCCACGAGAGTGAGCATTCCAGGTCTTCAGACAAGAAACCAGAGGCGAAGAAAGAAAGCGAGAAGGGTGGGAAAGAAGAGGGGAAGGAGGTTCTACCAAGCCCCTGGTCTGAATGGCTATGGGAATCCGAGGCATGGTATTACTGGCGAGCGAGGAAGGGGGATAATGGTAGGTTTCTTTCCTACTTTTGATATTCTATTTATAGGTGATGGATGAGTTGAGGTTGAGTCTAAGAGTGTGGCAGGGAAATGGCAGTATGAATTCGAGTCCTACGGCCCACAGGCTTTAACCGAGTCCTCCACCTCCACCTCTCCTCCTACCACAGATGCAAAACCCAAAGACAGAGAAATCTCCTCGAAACCTGTGGAAAATTTAAACTCGGCAACAAATGGAAACGATGGCGATAAAGCTCCGGACGGTTATCAAACGGGTATTGAGGGACTATTCTACAACTTCTACGCTCCATATCTTAATGGCATAATGGACAACGCCGAGCAAAAACCTCCGGAACCACCAGCGAAACCTCTTAGTCCGCCGCTTGTGGACGACTTGAAAGAAGTGAAAGAAGGTAAGGCAAAAGAAGATGAGAAGAAGCCTGAGAGAGTGGAACGGAGGGAAAGAGGGAGGACGAGGGAGAGGAAGACGGATTTGGTGACGGAGTGGAGACAGATGGTTGAGAAGGAGTCTGGGGGTAAGAGTGATGAGGGGAGTGAGAAAGCTGGTTAGTTCTCTTTTTATTTTCTCTCTTTTCTTTTTGGGGTTGTGATCTTGCTTCCTTCTCGATGCGGAGGTTTTAGTGGGTTGGTAGGAGTGGGATTCTTCTGTGGGGACTGCGGTCATTGTTGGCGTAATTTTGAAAAATGTACATGTGCTGATCCGGAAATAGCACCTAAATCGAGGAAACGGAAGGAGAAATATTGGTATAGGGAAAGATCTTATTATAATACGCCGTCTTACTCGGATTATTTTACGTTGTCGGAATAGAGATTTGAGGTTTCTTCCGCTTTACTTTTTCTTTCTCTCCTTCTTGTTGCTAGGCATTGGGCGGTATCTTTGTGGTGTTTGTTACTTAAATGTGTAGGATATATGAGTGGAGTGGATTTTGTCTTGTGTGTTAGCTAACTTGGCTTAATTAAGGCTTGGGATATATGTAAGGAATGATGTATGTAGCATTTGATATGTTAGGGCTCTTTTGGGATAACAATGAGTATGAGTGAGTACGTAATGCCATAATGTTATTATTCTTATATTGGTATTTCTAAATAGTATTCAAAGCGTCAAACGCAAAATGGAAAAGGCCTTATTAATCCAATCCTTTCCTTTCCAAGCCAAAAAGATAGCATCAGCATTTCTATATCCCCATTTTACTTTATCGGACCAAATTAGTTGTACTATTATTACATTCCAGCCATGTCTCGAGACTTCAGCGGATTGGAATTCCTATAGTAGATGCTTATTCAATCCTTGTCAATATCTGGTAGTTCAAACCTGCGCATTTGTATTAGTGCTTGATATCCGTGATTCTTTTGAACCGTCCTGGAGAAAAGAGATTGATAGTACTCCACTATAGGTCTTTTTATGTGCCTAGGTCTGGTTTGGAAGAAGAGAATGTGTGGAAAGAAATGAAGGAAATGGGGCTGTTCTAATATTTTTACTGGCCGCTTTTTAGGTGGGGTGGGGTGGGGTGGGGTAGGGAGTACCTCGCTTAAGTTGCCATATAGATAAGGAGTACTATTCATGATTAGCTGAGTTTGTAGGGTGAATGTCGATAAAGTAGATTTTGTATATATTTTAGATGGGTGTTTTGTGTATATATTCTATATATCATGAGATTATTACTTAGTATACACCTATGCCGGTACTGAAGAACCTTAATATTTGGTATACTCGGACAGGCTGTTCAACGTACGTCTCGTTATACAACAACGAGTTGTAGGTTCACAGTACTTGAATGACAATTTTCCGAGGAATTTCTTGAAATTTTGACCTAGTAGTTTCTGAGGGATGGTGTATTTCGATCACTACGGTCTCTCCGGTTTTTGGTCCTCATGCTATTTCACTTATACTAAGAGATCTGTGCTAGGCGCAAGAAATATCAGGAGGCCTTTTGTAGGGGTTGAATTTGTATACTGTACGTCCCACGAAGATATCAACCTATTGAGGAAACCGTAGAATAGTCACACAACCGAGATCTAGAAAAGCTCGTATCCCACCACCACGCTATTCGTTCTCATACAGCACGTTTCTGGAGGGACCTTTATTTCCCTTGAAAATGTCGACCAAGGTGTACCTCTCTGTGGTACACAAGGTGGTCAGTATTTTAGTGGTTATCCTCGCCATCAATAGCGCCGTTTGACATTTCGAGACATACCTGGAATTCCCTGTGCTGCTTTTAGACAGGTGTTTTGTATGCTGAGCGCTTCGAATAACACGGGATCGTATTTTTCGTTCCTGGAATAGTGGTTAGCTACGTTGTTTCAATAGTTCCTGCATTGTTTATACTCATCGATCAAGAAAACAATCTGATCCCACAAGGCGCAAAAAAGCTGAAATCGCTGCGTCAAAGTCATTCCGCCTTGGCCATGAAGATTTTCAATCATTGATAGCCATTGCCGTTGTGGGGGATGGTCATTATCGAGATGGTGCCGCATATCTCGCATGGTCTTGTGATAAGAGCAAGCAATACGAATGCAGTAAGACATCCCTATCTCAGCTTTCTCATGATGAACAAGGAAGGATTCTTTCACTTCTCGAAACCGATCAAGTGAGTTTTCAATATTTTGAATCAGTAGTAATATTTCTCTGTCGAAGTCTGGAAATAATCTCAGTCGAACAGAGGTGAGGTTGCCGAGGAGCTGAGCGGAGTTTAATGAATCCAAGTATGCTTCAACTAAGTCTCCAGGAAGAATCGGGGACAGAGTTATCTTGCAGAAGATCCTATATACTCTTTCAGCATCTGTCGATTCTGTCATACTGCCAGTGTGTGAATCTTTCTGTGAATTTTCTTGAGGCTCCTTGGTGTGGTTGTAAGAGGCGTTTGTCACGTCCGGAAAGCCAGTACTCGAATAATTCTTTTCCTCATCCTTGATTTCTTCAAAGGAATCAGAGTTCATTGAGCAACCGCATTCATGACAAACTAATCGACTCTCAGTATCTCCCGAGTGCCACACAGGGCTCTCACAGCCCGAGAATGGACAGAAAGCGTTGGCGATAAGTAATCGTTTGAAAACAACTGACATTTCGATATGGTCGTTTTCTCTAATAGGAACATGGTGCCAACTTCGCTCGTTTGCAATCCTCCCAGTCCTTGTATTGATGATCCGAAACATACCCTTATCCACTCTGGATTTCCCTGGTCGGCCTTCGAAAATTGCCCTTAGAATCATCTGAAAGGAAGCCCATTGTAGACATGCTTGATAAGGTAGGGCGAAATCTATCCCTAAAGCATCGGTAAATCTCACAATTGGAGGACAGATTCTATCTGCCAACTTTGTCTCCAGCCGTTCGAGAATGCGAAAAATGCGAGTAAATTGGCTTATCATGAATACGACTGATTCTCGCATGTCACTCGTAAACTTCGCGAAAGAGGAAACAAGATCTCTGATTTGGACTGCAATATCTCGTAGAGTCAAAAGGCCCAGTGTCGCTTGGAATAGTGTGTTGGTAGCAATGGTCAACAGTTTTTGTCTTTGCTTCGCGGCTATGAAAGATTCTGTGGTCAGATCATGAAGTCCCGAGGAGGTAATCTCTGTACGAAGAAATACTTCCTGTAACGCTGCTTCTTGATGCTGAAGTCGGCTTCCCATCTCTGCTTGCATGGATGATGATTCGCTGACCGCATCCTCCACTTTCTCCAGCCTCCTCCTATTCTCCAAAATCTTCGCAAGTAAGCCACATTTGGTTTCTTCTCGTTCGCCGTCTGCTGCGGTAATATAAGCCACAGCCTGAGTCATAAGAAGTAGATTTATTGTCGCTACGAAACTCCCAAGCTTTCCCCTCAATTCCTTAACATCATCTCTGTATGCCAAACTCCACTGCAAACGCCTTGGTAGCCCTCGAAATCTGAGATTCCTCGCATTCGCAATTCCTAACGAATTATCAAACTTGGAGATCTTCTTCAAGAAGGCTTGAAGTGGAATTTGACAACTCAAGGCGGCAGCTCGGATGGCATTGAGCCTCAAAAAGTCAATTTTGGCAGGCTATAGAGTTTGGAGTTGCTCTATGGCTCGTTGAAGCATGTCAAGTTCTACGAGAAGAAGTTGATACTCTGGTGCAGCTTCGCCATTCTGTGTGCATCAGATGAGTGATCGTCTTTGTGGTATAAAATACCAACCTGGCGGAGCTCTCGCGCAATTTGATGAACCAGCTGTCCAACTACAATAAAATCCCCAGCTGAGAAGCCAAATGATGCTGCCATAGCATTTGAAAAAAAGCATATGATATTCTTTTGGCAATACAAAGTCGTCATGCGCCGAATAACATCTTGAATAACGGTGCTTTTTGTATCGTGGTTTTCATGTGTACAGAATATGGGACAGTTACGACGCATAGAAAGATGTGAAGTTGCAACAGAAAGGTAACTCCTATATTGTAACCCCTGTGTTCCTATGACAAACAGTGGGACAGTTTGAGGTTTGCCTCTTGCTGTGGGGTGGGGGCTACAAACCCCTCCACGCTCCTTACCTACCCCAATTCCTAACCAGTTAATAATAACCAGTCTACGAACGGCTGTTAATTCTGCCTAAATCTAACACCTTCCAGTTAACAACATACCTGCAGGTTTGATGGAGATTTTAATACATTTCAAGTATGAAACCTGGTCAAAGCTTTCCAGTCTGGTATGATTATACATAAAGGGCTACAGAAGCTACATCGCTTTTACATGCCTGTGTCTACCCGCTTAAGATCACAGTACATGGAGTCGATCAGCCTTACGAGCTCTCGCAATTTCTTTTACCTTTAATATCCATTTTCTTCTAATGTTAAGGCTCAAGTCATATCTCATAGCTCTCCAAATCTGGCCATTGAAATTTATTCATAGATATTCTGCCTAGAGGGAGCATGGTACTACTTCCCTTCCTGATGAACTTCAATTCTCTCTGCCTATTCTGTAGATATCAGGCTCAACTTTATTCATATTGGGGGTTATAACTGACCCCCCTGAGCCCCGCATCTCGTCCGGATGTTCCCCGAGAAGACCATCGATACTGTATGCACGTTCTGTGCCGCATACGAATTCACGAATTCCCCACCAATCATAAATCACTCATCCAGGAAAGGAATTGTATAACAATTTAGGATCTCAAAATTCTCATTTGCCAAGCTGATTCTCTGTGATACCTGGATTTTGATGGTCAGCAAGAGCTTTGTAGTCGTTGACGTGGTTAACATCAAATTATAAATGATCGAGTGCATGAATCTTCCAAACCAAAAAACGTGACTTGATGGAAAGACAAGATTTGATACCTGATGAGCTAGGTATTGGCAACCACTTCGTCGTTAGGAATCCTTATCAGCTCCTCAACGTGTAACCTTTTTATTTTTCCCAGAAGGAATGGTACTCAAATATGCAGTGATAATTTAATTTGTGCATAGCCTACCAACCGTATAATACACACTGTGGTAGGAGGGGGTTCGTGGTGTTCATGAGGATTTCGCTATTTAGGAGAGGTGAGCAAGTAGTAGAAAAGGGGTTGTAGTTGTAACAGTATTGAACGTGTGTCTCAGGCGATTGCCGTAAAATCGATATCCTCCCCTGCAAGATCATAAAATTCCTTGATCTGTTCTCGGTAATGGAGTAGCTCCAACACTATATGTAATAAATAGCTGCTTGCCGTCCTAAGTAAAGTGTCTGCGCTTATGCTTTGGACGAGGATTCTATGACACTCATTCATTCTATACAATATAGTTATTCGTTTGCCAAAATGCGCGCTCCATGGGCAATGAGATACCTCCGACCATGATAATAAACGCCGCCTGACTTGAGGTGCAGACCAAGAAAACCTAGAAATGAAATTTTGGTTTGGAGATCATCACATCTCTAATAAATTGTCTTTGTTTACTTTGCCATCACTTTTCTGTGAGAGTGAATATAACCGATAGGTTTAGATTAAGAAAGTCACCCGCTTATACCCGCCAGAAACTCGCCCCAAGTCCAGCCTCAAACATTATTCCATAAACACATTTCGTTGGAGTCAGATGACAAGCATACTTGAGATTAATCTCATTCATTCATTCGAGTAATCTCATTCATTCATTCGAGGTAGGCTTAAATAGTCATCCGCAAGCTCGAGACTCTGAAATCAAACAGTTCTTGGGGGAATCCTCTTGACTCCGAAGACCATTATGAGTGTGCTTCGCTTCATTGAATTTAATCACAGACCTTTGTGATTCAGATTTAAAATAAGCTGCACTAGTCCCGAAGAAGTCAGACCAAGCGCTGGCAGTCTATATAAGCGCGACGTAGAACAGACTAAGATCGAAAACTTCAGTTTGCAACAACTCAACCTTCCCTACACTGCTACCTGTACCCATTTTCCGAAATAGCTTTGAAAGCACCACAGCTCGCTCAAAAACGATCACAACTACCACGCAACTCGCACAAATATCTTCACAAGTAAGCGATCTCTTCTGAGCAGCAACAATAGCCAGAACTCAACCACCTTTTGCAAAGCTCCTGTTCTTAACGAGTCAAGAAAGTTCACACATCAACACCACAACAATCGAACAACTACAATCCAAATTGAGGAATTAGTTCATCATGGCGTGGCACCCGTTACCAACTCTTACTCCCTCCAACCAACGTCGTTGGTTTCGCAATATGCAAATCGCTTTGGAAGGCAAAGATCTTTTCTGGATCACTAGACAAACCAAAGCGGAGTTTGTGCGCTCTTTCGATGAGAAAATCAACTTAAGTAAGGAATGTTGGCCCCTTGGCCACGTTCCCTGCAACGGACTTGACCATAATTTAAAAATCGACAAGACGAATAGGGAGAAATATTATGAAGTAACAGAAATCAAGGCTTTTGCATATCGCTGGCAAGGTGATAGTTTGAGTGAGGAGGACAAGGACGGTTACGACCAAGAGGAGTGTCAAGGGGAGCGTCCAAGCTTTAACGCCTTTTGGGAAAGGTTGAAGAACAAGTACCAAGAAAAGCCGTCGACTACGAAAGGCGAATTAGGGGATGGGGAAGCAGCTCCTTCGTGTACTCCCTCTCCTGCTGCGTAAGTCTTGATTGCACACAATCTTGACTGAGTCGAGTGTATTGAAGCTACATGCGGAAGATGGCTGAGCCCCTTTCACTTGGCTAGAGCTTTTGGGTCGCTGGTACGACCTTGGTCTTTTGGATAGAAATAGAGTATCATCATCCATCATCCACGGACTCACTATGACTAGATATTTTCATTTCAATCCCATGAATAACAACCACCACATTTTCTGCTCGTTAACTAGTGAATTTGAGTCAAAGATACAGTTCTCAAAGTACTGTACCCACTCACCCCCTCGCTTAATTCACTCCCATCCCACCATCAAAACCACCTCCAAAAACCACAAAAATAAAAGAGAAACCACAAAAATAAACAAAAAAACAGCAAAAAAACAGCAAAAAGTCCGCACTACCCACTGTATTTCAAGTGGTGGCGGGTAGGACCAGCTAGCCACACTATTCTCGGAATAGCTACTCCAGACTAATGATTTGCCTTGCAATGAGACCACGTTAACCAGCGAGCCACTGGGAAGTGGCGCGCTGCGGGATTTATCCTTTTGCATGGTGGTGCAAGGCTTATTTGTGGATTTAATGGAAAGGATCACATTGTGGTGACAAGGGAGATGATGAAAGGGTTGTTGAGGATGGATGTTGGGAGAATTTATCTTCTGTTTCTCGTTGTGTGTCTTTGATGGGTACGTCCTTTTATCTGCCAAAGGGGAAAATACCTCTCGTATTTTCGAAGGACAAAAAGATCAGCCCAACTTGTTGACTTTTCTATTCTATACTCTGCATGGCTTCCCTTACAGCTTTGGCAGAGAGTGCTCTACTCTACACGAAGAGATTTTCTCTTTTTCCAGATGAGCGAAGAATACTTTCCCATCTTCCATAAGCCCGCCAATTCCTCTTCTTTATTATGACATAGACATTAAACAAGCTCCTTCCACCCAACATGATATCTCCCACCCAAAGCCCTCGAAACCCGCCACCACCGAAAACCATGTCCCAAATCAAATCAGAAGAGCAACCAGCAAGCCCTCGAAAAATCGTGCCTCTCAAGAAGATCCGTCTTTCACCTGACGGAGAGCACGCAGTCAAAAAACAGAAGATGGAATGGGAAACCGTCCAACCTACAGACAAGATGAAAACTGAGATGAATGAAAATGACATAAACCGTCCATCCTCAGCTCCCGCCTCAGATCCAGTCTCCCCACTTTGCAAGATGCCAAAGAAGAGAATCAAAACTGGTGAGGAGACAGCACAAGATGAAGTCCCTGAATTTCAGCCAAATCATAACACGAAAGTGCTGCATTGGATTCAAGATCCCAAAAATCAGCACATCCCCACTCCTGTCTTGCCTAAGCATGAGGGTTCCTCTTCACCATCTACACTTTCCTTGGGCGAATATAGAGAGGTTCCTGTGGAACGGGAGGAGGGACGTCTTCCAAGTGTAGGGCCTAAATTGGATCAAGGTAAAATTATAGAACTTGCCTTGGAAATCCACCAAGCTCGTCGTGTAATTCAGAGTGGATAAGCGAAAAGAGCACAGAGATCCTTGAGAAGCAAGAACGTCCTCAAAAACCACATCGTTCCGAGAAAACAACAGATAAAGCAGCTTCTATCACAAAGCTTCACTTCTCAGAAAAGGCGTTGGCATGCAGATCACCACCTGGCACGAGAACTTTCTCAGTAGCGACGTCACCTGCTCAATTACTCTCCACGACATGTTCTGCAACGCGTGCAGACTTAATTACTTCAGAGCAGACTTTCGTAATAGACGGCAAAGCCTTCTGGGTTAAGTTAGTCAGAAGACCCTCTAGAGATACTTACACTTCAGAAAAGCCGAACCACTCAAATACAAACGCCATGTGGAAAAAGTCATTCATAAAGTTACAAGAGAGACTCGGCAAGAAAATGTCCAGATGGATGGAGGAAATGGTTGCGAAGCTTAAAAGATCCGAACTCGCACTGGACTACGAAGGAGATGGAACTCCGAAATACACGTGTGGATGTGGGTATCCTTGCTATCAGGTCAGGGAGAAATACGGTATTACCACGCCTCCACTTACTAGCTCTGAAGATTGGATTCCACTTGCTAGCTCCGAACCTGGATTATCGGATTCGCCGCTCCCTTCCAGTGATTCGTCGTCTTCTGGATCTGCGGGCTCGATTTTGGATTATGTATCTGACAACGAGGAGTCTGATTCAGAAGAGAGCTTCGTGACTGGAAGTGAGGAGGAATCGGAGGGGAGTGATTGTGATGATGAGAGCTTGGTGGATGAGGAAATGAGTGAGAGTGTCGTTAGCGAGCTGGAGAGTCTTCTGGAGGCGGGGGATCTTGATGTTATTGATGGAATTGCTTGGATGAACGACTCTTCTGGGTCAATGTATCCGGACTCGATGATTATGAGCTCAGGAGAAGAAAGTGGGTAAAATTCTTTTGGTTGCTTGAGAGAATCGTGCTTGGATTTGCCTTGATATTGATGTATTGCCGTGAAGAGACGAAAAGGGGTAGCAAAAGAGAACTATGTACTTGCCTTCAGAATGGAAATAAAACATCCCACTAATCTCTTCTCCATCAACTCTTCCTTCCATCCATCCTAAAATCACCCCAGACCCCTTATTATTTCCACCACCCTTTTCAAAATTCACGAAAAGCCAAGAAGACCCGACTCCCTGAGCACCACAAAACCACAAGACCACAAACCCCATCAACTCAGTGACTCACCCATCTTTTAAAGTTCGATACCAGACCCTCATCCAATTTCCAAAAGATCTTTCAGAACCGCCAAGGGACAGACAACAAATACACTCGTCATGAGAACGGGCGCTTGGAAATTATGTTGCACATCGTACATTGGGAGCCGCGGGCCGCGGGCGGTGCATCAACCGTTGTTTTTGCGTCGCGACGGGCACGCCATCATCATCCTACAGCAAAAAACCCGGAAAAGGCGATTTTCGTTACGGGTATGGTTGAAAGTTATTTTGATTAGTTCTATAAGACTGCAAAAGGTGTTAAAGTCATTGAATACGGTTTTAATGTTGGGAAAGTCTTGTTTGAGGCGCGGATAGCAGTTTGTGGCTATGTTTTGACGACCGGTGGACTTGCTTTGATTCGACATTGAGATGGATTCATAGATGTGTAATACAAATTGCAAATATAGCGATGTTCATGGAAACTTTGGATTCGCAACTGGAGTTGAAACGAAACGGAAAATAGTGGGGCATGGGGCGGGAGCCGGTGAGGTGCAGAAAGGTGGGGGGGGCTTTCTTTGGAGCTCACTCTTTGTAGAAGTGTGTATATAAACCAAGAAATACCACAAAACGACAGGCAAACGATTCTAAAATGTTCCAATTGATTCATAGCGTGAAAGGTGGGGGGGGCTTTCTTTGGAGCTTACTCTTTGTAGAAGTGTGTATATAAACCAAGAAATACCACAAAACGACAGGCAAACGATTCTAAAATGTTCCAATTGATTCATAGCGTGTTTACAATATAATACGGTTTAGGATAATGTCTCTTTCTGGATGGGAATAGTACATTAATAGAAGCTATATTACAGTATTAACCTAGATGCCTCGAAACAAGACCAAACAATGAATATATTATTATTTGGTCTTTGAAGAACTATATGCGGTATCCAAAAATTATTGTAATAACCATGAATTATTTAGAATGCTTGTAATAAATCAACTTTCCAAACTGCTAGTACGTTCAAAACGGCGGCCCCACTTCGTCTTATCTACTGTAAACTCCAAGCTATACATCTAACGCAAAAGAGGCATCTTTACTTGCTTTTACTAGTTTGATCGAAATGTTTGATTTCCTCTTTTTTTCTTACTTGCAAGAACTAGATTATGTGCTTCAAATGTCGATGTTCCGTGGCAGCAATAGCCGTTAGTGGGCGCATTCGGCTAATGTTTACTGCCAAAATTCAGTGTGTTGGAAGCGAGAAGTATCTAAGTCGATCCATTTAGGGTGTAGCAAATATTCGCGATTATACGACTTAAATACCCTAATTTCCGGGTCCCGCACGACTTCACTACCTTTTCCCCTATAAAACTCTCTTCCGTCCCTTAAGCTACCCTCGTCGTATACAATTAAGGGGATAAATACGTCTTAGAGCTAATTTGGACCCTAGATTTCAGTGCTACTTTTCTTCTAAGCTATAGGACGCCTAACCCGGGCGTCACAAGGCAGGAGCAAGGGGGGAAAATAAAGCTATTCGCAACTTTGAAAGTACTTAGGATAATTAAGCAGTTTGCGAGTAGCTAGGTAGCTACCTCGTCTTACGTAGGCAGGCATAAACAAAAATACGATTTATTTATATAAGTGTCCTAATTAGTCTCCCCTCGCTACCTTTCAACCCTGTAGAGGACTACGTGTGAACTACAAGATAGCTAGCTACCTATACTTAATTCCTCTTGAATTGAAGACTGTTACCTGTAATAGGAATCAAGCTACTACTACATGTGTCCGTACAGGAGTAAAGGTTCTTTGAAAGCAGCGTGCCAACAGGGGCAGGGATAAAGGTAGCGAAGTCGTGCTAATCGGGTATTGAAGTCGTATAATCAATATTCGCGACTCGATACTACTCAGCCCAAGGCGAAATGGTTGCAACTTCTCAGGGATTCTCACCCTGTTGCAAACCTTGACCACCCCAGGAAAGTTACAACTATTTCGCCTAGGAGGAAGTTCCAAGAGTACCCAATTTCATACCAAAGATAATACGAAGTCCTAATGAGCAAAAGCAAGACCTCGATGCTGTTAGGGTGATTTTGCCAGCGGTTTTCAGTAATAGTAATATAGTTTATTAGCGTGTGGATAATTAGGTTCATAACTTATTAACATGTTTGGTAGGCGTAATCTAGTGACGAGTTACTATCGAATACAGAGAACGCAAGGACGATTTCTAATACAAATAAAATACGAGGAGTCTATCTAGAACACGAAGGCTTATATCGCTCGACCTGGGCTCAATTGAGGACAAAAAAGTAGGATAACATGTAGATAAACTTTTATTAGTACTAACAACACTCAAGCCTCTTCGAACCACGCTTGTTGGTCTCAGGATATTCGCACTGATATTGTACGGAACTCGTCCACTTTTCAGTATAAACCTAACTTCTAAACTCTCACTAAAAACCGCTAGCAAAATCACCTTAATGAAAATTAGATGGCTACAAATATTACCTTGTTAAGTTTAATAGAGTGATTTTGCCGCCGATTTTTAGAAATAGTATTATAGTTTATTAGCGTATAGATAATTAGGTTCATAACTTATTGACAAGTTTGGCACGCGTATTTTAGTGACGAGTTAGTTTGAAATAAAGAGAACTCAAGAACGGTCTCTAATGCTAATGCAAATACGAGGAGTCTATCAAGAAGTAGAACACGAAAGGCTTATATCGCTTAGTCTAGGCTTGATTGAGGACTAAAAAGTGGGTTAACTTCTGAATTAACATCTGTTACGGCCTGTTCGGCTCAAATTAGGGTGAATTGGATTATTCGGTAGCGTACCCTGGGATTCACAAAAACTTACTGACCCCTAATTCGTATAAGTCGGAGTCTTGTTTTTTAGGTAATTCGAATTATGTATCGTTCGGATGGAATTTCCTAGTTTTTATTCCACCACTTATTCCACCACTTATTCCACCACTTATTCTACCACTTATTCTATTACGTGTATAACTAAAGAAAGGATTTCCTAATTTATATATAAAAGAGTATATGCTTACATATATCCTTTCCTGACGCGAGAGGTATGTGAAAAACGTGCACTCTAAAGTGGAGTAAAAGTGCCGCAAATCCAGCACGTTACGCCTACGCACGTACTTTTAATGCTGTCCTGGATCTATATAAACCCACATTCCAAGCATTTAAACCTCGTTTTTACCCAGTTATTGTATCTACTTTGCGTGCACATTTTGTAGATACCTCTCGCGTCTAGAGGGGATAAAGTAGTAGACAAAGTAGTACTGTTTACGTTAGGTGGGTTAAGCGAGTTAGAAACACGGACTCTAAATATAACCAAAAAGCCGTTTTTACCTTTTATATAAGATATTTTAAAATAATTTAGATTACGATATTCGGAGTAGTATTTACTTTAGATTCGATTTATAAGCCGAACGGTTTTTATACTTAATACGAATTAGAACTCGTATCGAGTACAAAACTTCAATTTGTATAGTGGGGTTTAGATATAGATTCGGGGTTCTTTTGAGCCGAACAGGCCGTTAGTATCAACGACACTCAAGCCTCCTAGAATGGCGCTTGTTAGTTCCATAGTATTTGCACTGATATCGCACAGAACTCGTCCACTTTTTAGTATAAACTTAACTACAAAAGTCTCACTAAAAATCGGCTTCCAAATCTCTCTAATATTACCTTGTCAAGGTTTAATATAGCAACTTAGGATTAAGAAAATCAGATTGTGTTCTGAGGTTTATTAGAGTTGTAAACTTGTAGACCGTGTGCAAAATGTAAGGGCTGTCCCACGCGCAGTTTGACACACTGGTGGGGGTTATCTTTTTGGAGCCCTCTGTGAGCAACACACACTTCTACTTCGAAGTACTTCGTACTTTACTTTACTTCCACTTCCAGAAAGTCTAGACCCTCAGTGGAGTCAAGAAGGTTTGGCAGTAGATCTCTCAGTGGATGGAATATGCCAACCGCATTTAAAGTTTTGCGTTTCAGATCACACAGCCATCCATCACCATCACAGCCCCTTTTGGAGTTTGTTCATCAATTTTGTAGAGAATCAAGAGGTTGCCCAGGCGGGAAGGCGGGTATCGTAATTTATTCAGCTGAACTTGTTCTTCTTGGGTTTCCTATTGTCCATGAAGACCCCGGTTTAGTATGGGTACCGGACAGCATCACAATCAGCATCTTACGCTACCAAATCTCAATTGGCTACCCACACTCGGTTATGACGATGGGAAATACCCGTTGGCGTAGGATTGTGATAAGCCTGCCGCCTCTCGTCTCGTCAACATACCTAGTAAAAGTACGGACATACTCCGTCCAAATCCAAAGTTTCTCTGATAACATTTATCCATGAAAACGTTTGTTAAAGGGATCCGGATGCAAAACTGAAATTCGCGATGGAAACCCAATCCAGCTGAACTGGGGTTTGGCGTAATAATTCATGTTGTAACTTGCATGACGATATGTGTATTCATGCTGCACGATGATACAGGCTGTGGCCGCTTCCCAGTTTGTTTCTGATAATTACGCAGTACCCATGCCAGTACGATTGGTCCCGTCTAGAGTCGCTACGCTGGTGGTTGGTGGATTCAGGGGTGATGGGCCAAGCAATACCAGGGTCATGTTCTGGAGCTCTCTTGGGCCGCAGTCGCAGCTCGCCGATGTCAACATCAGATGGATCGTCAATAGATCCCTCGATATCCAGGTTTTCTGTCCCATCCAATTTCAGTGCTGGTCTCTCTGTTAAAACGCATCGACCTCCCCAGATTGCCCATGACTACTGTACCTCGAACCCAACCACATTCATCGTTCGACCTGGAACTGATGTGATGTGAATCAATCCGTTTGTTGTGTCACATTAAACCCGACCAGGGCCACGGCCAACCACCACCAGGCACGTCTACCCAGCCAAGCGCCAAGTTTTATAAAAGCAAGCCGAGAGCAACGCGGAAAAACAAGCTCTCTCCCCAAGTCGGTAGCCAAGTGCACCATCAATCCAACTTCTTTGGCATCTCTCCACGCAACAATGTCATCCCAAAGAACTAGTCGCAGGAGCCAGAGTAACAACATCGAGACTCCATCCAGTCCAGCAAAAGCCCACACTACATCCGAAAAACACCATGCTCATATCCTCCCTACCCACCACCGAAGAGAACGACCGACACACAATCACAATGGCCACAAGATCACCAGAGGCATCAAGCCCGAGGGCGAGAGTGGCAGAAGAGGCATTCACCCTTGGCACTTCTTGCGAATCTGCTTCAGATCCTCCTGCAATGCCTCTCGATTAGTGAACATCCTGTGGCCGGTGGTGCCCGCTGCAATTGCAGTTCGATTTGCCTCGCATCACACACATACGCTCATATTTATCCTCAATTATATTGCCATGCTTCCTTGTGCCAATATGATTGGGTTCGCCGGTCAGGAATTGGCGCGGAAACTGCCCAAGGTCTTTGGCGTGCTTTTGGAAACGACGGTCGGTTCGATAGTGGAAATTATCTTGTTTATGGTTCTCTTGAGGCAAAACGCATTTCTGGTTATCCAAGCTGCCATTCTAGGATCCATTCTAGCAACACAATTGTTATGTCTAGGCCTCTGTTTCTTCGCCGGTGGAATGAGACGGGAAGAGTCCGAGTTTGAGGGTTCTGTCAGCGAAGTTGGAAGCAACCTTTTGTTGACTGCGTAAGTGGATTATCCTGTCGATTGAAAATGGAAATTAGTACTAATAATTCTCATAGCGGACTCGGTCTAATCATTCCAGCCATCTTCTACCAAGGTGTCAAGCAAACTGGTTTCGTCCCCGAAGTCGAGCAGCTCACAGCCTTGGTGGTAAGTGTATCGCGTGTCACATCCATCTTCCTCATCGTGGCCTACATCTTCTACATCTGGTTCCAAATGCGAACTCACCACGGACTCTACGACGCCATCTTCGAACAAGATGAACTCAGGGACACAGACCGTCACCGCGATCTTGCAAAAGACAAACTAACCCTCACCGAATGCATCATCGCCCTCGCTATCTCCGTCGCTCTTGTAACACTCATCGCAATCGGTCTCGTCGACCAAATTGAATTCATCGTCGAAGAACGCGGGGTCTCAGATCTCTTCATGGGTCTCATCCTCGTGCCTCTAGTCGAGAAATTCGCCGAACATATTACCGCCATCGACGAAGCATGGGATAACCAGATGAACTTTGCACTTTCGCACGTCCTTGGTGCTACCATTCAGACGGCTCTCTTCAACGCTCCGCTCACTGTTCTCGTCGCCTGGGGCCTAAAGAAACAGATGGATTTCAACTTTGACATTTTCAGTATGGCTGTCTTGATCCTCGCCATCTTGGTGGTTGGAAACTTCTTGCGGGATCAGAGATCGAATTACCTCGAGGGAGCGCTGTGCGTCATTGTTTACTGCATCATTGCGGTCGCGGCATTTTACTTTCCTAATAATCCGCATCATCTCGCGGGCGGTGAGGCTGGAAACGCTGCTCATGCTGGTGTGGGTGAACATGGTGGGGCAAGTCCTTCTGCTACAGTTCATTACATTAATTGATCTTTAATGATTTAAGGCGTTGCTGCTCTTTTACCTTTTTACGTTGTAGGATATACGGGTATTCAGTGCCCCTTTCCTTGCTCATGGATTCACCTTCTGAGCTGAGCTGGATTTCATACGGAGTTTCCCTGGAATATAGTTGGGAGCGAGCGAGCGAGCAATCTTTGATGGCGTGAAGGACTTTATAGAATACATTCGGGAAAAGGGAAGAAAGAAAGTAAATTCCCTGGAGTTCCGTTTGGGGGTACTTTCTAATTTATGATGGTCCATCTCTTTTCTTTTTCTTTTTCGTTTTTCTTAAGTAGCATACCAGCCTACGTGTATACAAACGAGGCTTGAGCGGATACCAGACGTAATGAATATTCGGGTTTTTTCTTAGGCTTTCTGATTTTTTCGTGCTGATATATGTATTTATCTTATAGGCACTGTTCTGTATAATTGTCTTCTAAACAGCAATCCCCGCCGAGGCACACAACCTCACCTGCACCAGGGCTTCCCTCCCCCCTCCCCCTCTCCTAATTCTTTATACTTCACCCCCTTTGTATACCCCCAACCACAGATAAGCCTCTGATTCATTGTCCCATACTGTACAGTTCATAAAATATGCTGCAGTCGCTGCTGGGGAGCCAAGAATAGCTCCATTGACTCTGTGATGAGCCACCTTATCAAAGTCGATACTTCCCACAAAAGCTTCAAGTGTATGTAGCGCAGTTATTTGCGACTCACCATACATCATCTCTGGCGTGAAACCAAGTAGTTTGTCGGCATTCAGCTTGAGGAGACTTTCTTTCCCAGGGAAGGCAAATTGCACGCCGATCTTTGCTTCCAGGAAGGAGAGTAAAGCTGGAACCAAGACCTCAAACCCAACATGATCGCAGGCATTAACATCCCATTTTTGAAGTTGGAAATCCAGTGTTCTTTGAGCTACCAAAATTCTGCTCTGAATGGTGGAATAAAGTGCTGAGTTCCGTTCACAGAGATCCGCTGTGTCATGACAACCCAGCGCGAGAAGTGCGGCTGCAGTGTTTATAATCCCGTCGACCTGGGAGGCATATGATGTCCATCCACCATCTGGTGACTGAGTATCAAGTATGTATTGAAGGCATTCTGGGAAAAGCCAATGTGTCCCGGAAGAAGTTGTGCGGGAAACCATACTCACCCAGGCTGAATCGTATACAGATGGGGATATTGAGCCTGTTCCGTAGCGCCGAGTCGCTTCATTCGTTAAAGTGCTGATTAGAAGTGAGGCATCTTGGTCGTCGTTACTTGAAGCCATGTTTGTATCTGTGTTTCTGAAAACAGCTTTCAACTATGCTGTCAGCCTTCGGGGGATAGTATATTTGACAAATAAACATGAAAAAGCACAGGGGAGAAAGAGTCAAGTTGGGACTTAGGACTAGTTAAAAATGAAACATATATATTTACTGTATTTTTATCTCAAAAAGAAAGATACGGTATACACTATCGTGTAGGTATTCTGATAGACCAATTCTTTGCGTAACTATTATCGCGAACTTTGTGTCATACAGTAGCCGAATAGGGAATTTTCTCCGAGGTGAGCTTCGGAGGCACTCGCCCAGCTGCATGCGATTTCTAATTGTTGGAATACCCCATACCAACAATTGACGGACCCGAACCATAGAACCATGAAGAGAATCCAACCGCATAATGCAGCTCAAGCACATTGTGAATGTAACGCAAACATCTTCACCGAAGTGTCGGGTGACAGGAATGATAACAGATATCGCATTTCGCGTATCGGCGATGGAAATTTTGTCAGTGGCAATAATCAACATTCCCCATAGTAGAATACAGGGTACACGACGTTGGGCACTTCAGAATCGCTTCGATCGCATTTCTGCTGTTATTTTTGCTTGGATAATTCCCTCGACGGTTGCAGCCTTCTAAGGCCACTACACAATTTGCAGAATGAATTTCCTTCCCAAGGATGATTTTGATCGCTTCGTCTTTTGCACTGGATTTTCGTTAATTGCTTTTATTTTACAAAGTCTGTTTCTCAAAGGTCCTAAACTCAATTTACCCAGAATTGGAAAATCTCCCCATGGACTGTTTGGACTGGCAAATACTAGAGCGGACTTCATGATCAATGGAAAAAGCTTAGTAGAAGAGGGTTACAGGAAGGCAAGTGACCTAGTTGTACGTTTTGGCAGACTTATTCGTTGTAAACTAACTGGGGTTTTACAGTACAAAAACTCAATATATGTAGTCCAGACAGCAGATATGGAGCGGATCATCTTATCGAGCAAATATGCCGACGAATTGAGGGCGTATCCAAAGGAGGTTTTAAGTAGTGTTGATACACAGTGTGAAAGACATCTTGCCTCGTGGAACACCTTGGACGTTGTAAAGAAAAGTGACCTTCATGTTGACGTCTGTCGAGTCCAACTCAATCAACATCTAGGTATTGTTCTCCGAACATGCTTGAAATAACAAAAGAAATGCTAAGAATCGTTCTTTAGGTCGTATGACGGGGTGCTTAGCCGAAGAAGTTGAACACGCAATAGCGAATGAGCTCCCAGCTTGTCAAACCAGCGACGGTAAGTGAGATATGTGTCAACTTCATAATACGGGTAAAATGCTAATCCACATCCAATCTAGAGTTTGAATATGTTACAGCGAATGCTATGTTTATGAAAGTTGTATCACGGACGGTCAATCGAGCTCTAGTCGGCTTCCCACTTTGTCGAAATGATACTTGGTTCAAGACGAGCATGGCTTATATGGCGGATGCATTCGTTATATCCAGCACACTTCGACCACTTCCATATATTTTGCGCCCTTTCAAGTTTATGTTTCTGGGCGCTAGAACCAGCATCAAATCACACATGGCTACAGCAAACAAACTCCTCAGTCCTTTAATCAGTGAGCGAGTGCCAAACGACCCCAAACATCATGACGTTGTTCAATGGATGGTGGACGGTGCTAAAGGAAAGGACAAGAACCCCGAAGAGATAACACACAAGATTTTATTTCTGTGCTTGGCATCCATGTCATCGAGCACCATGGGTATTACTCATGCTTTATTCGACTTCTGCTCCATGAGACAGTATATTGAGCCTATGAGGGAGGAGATTGCCCAGGCAATTGCGGAGGAAGGCGGTTGGAAACTTTCTGCACTTCAGCGGATGAGAAAGCTAGACAGTTTTCTCAAATAATCTCAACGTATCAACCATCCTGGACTTTGTAAGTATATCATTTTACCAGCTTCGGATGCCTTAGAGCCTTACTTGCCATACTAGTAGTTAAGACTAATTCATTCCAGTTTCTTTCCATCGAAAAGTCCTCCAGACAGTAAAATTGTCAGACGGCAACGTTCTCCCAGCTGGGACTTTTATCTCGATGCCTACGTACTCAATTGCCCGTGATCCCGCCTTCTACGACTCGCCTTTAGACTTTGAACCCTTCCGATATTCTGATATAAGAGAAAGAGATCCCAAGAATACGAATCGATACCAGTTTACTAGCACTGATCCAACCAACCTAGCCTTTGGCTATGGTCATTCCTCGTGTCCTGGCCGTGGGTTTGCTGCTGTTGAGATGAAATTAATATTAGGTCATTTGATTTACGAGTATGAGTTTCAATTCCCGAATAATCAAACTGATCGCCCGGATAACATTCATATGGATGAGAGGATTTGGCCTTCACGCGAGCAGAAAATTGGCTTCAGAAAAAGGCAAGGGGTTACACGAGAAAGTAACAAGTGATAAAGGGGATAGTTTGTAACTTAATATTCTTATTGATTAGTAAATTAACGCTCATCATTTCTCTTTTCATCGATCTCATATTGCCGAGAGTGGATGCGTAAGAGCTTTGCATATCTTTCCACTAAGATAATCCGAAATGAAGAAAATGAAATTTATTATGACAACTCGCTGTTTCACATTTGTTCCAATAATGCGGGCGGTCGATGAGGAAAACCCCGATTTTCTCGGCTAAACTCATTGGAGCCAACTTAATTCACCACAGAGACCAAACAAACCTCAAATGGCCTCTCATCCACAACAATATATGTCTTTTGATCAGACCAGACCAACTTACCAGCAGGATTGTCGACAGGTCTTATATCAAAAGAATACACCATAGAAGCAAGCATCAGCCTCAACTCAGCATAGGTCAATGACTGCGCCAGGCATCTCCGAGGGCCCACTGAAAACTGTTGGGAAGCATTCTTATCGTCATTAATGAAGATGGAGGAAGGATCCGTGTGGAGAAGCCAACGCTCCGGGTGAAACTCTTCCGGGAGTACAAACGCAGCAGGTGAACGCTGAAGAGACCATGAATTTACTTGCACTTCTGTCTGAACCACGAAAGAAATTAGCATGAAACGGTGGTGGTTCTAGAGCTGGAGGGTACTTACTCCACCTGGAAGCCATTCGCCGCAGACCGTATCTCCGCCAGGTGGCACACATCGAGGTGGACCTGCTGGAAAAGGCGGTGCGATTCGTAGTCCTTCCTCTATGACTCCATTGAGATATAGAAGTTTTAGAAGACTCGCGAGGGTGATATCGTGTGACGATTGATAAGCAGAGCGGACTTCCATGGCCAGTCGTTGAAGGCAAGCAGGGTTTTTAACCAGGTAATTTGTGATTCCTGACATAGTAGACGACGTATTATGGCTACCACCTACACTTAGTACATTCATCGAAGATTGGATTTCTGGTGCCGTCATTCCTTTTTCTCCGTTGTTACGCATAATGTAAGACATAATGTCGGGGCGACCAAGCCCCTTATTCATCCTACGTTGTGTCTTGTCGACAACAGCTTGGTAGTGTTGTTGGAGGTCTTGCATCTTTTTTGGAATGCAACGTAGAAAGATTGCTTCCAGCCATGGGAAAAACCTGATACATGCCAAAAAAGCAGATATCTTAAAAACATTGAAAATACCTTCAATCCACCAGTGATATCTTCCATTGCTTAGACAGTCGAAGGACTCGTCGAAGTTTAGATCTCCGATAATGTCAAACTATTTCCTCGGGTTAGCTTTTGCACTATCTTTGTAAAGGGGCTTTTCTTACTGTGCAGTACCGGTACCAATCCACAATATTAACAATCACGCCTTCATCTCGAATTTGAGCTTTTTCTCGAAGCCTTTGAATCATAAGCTGAACATAGCGTTGAAAGATTGGTTCCTGTTCTTTCAACGCCTTTTCCGAGAAGGCATCGCCGAGAACACGGCGCATACGAGCGTGGTCCTCAGGGTTTGCGGTGATAAATGAGCTAGGTTGTCCTGGGGGCCTGCTCCACCAAATGGGATTACGGTAAAACTCCTGATGGCCAGGTCGATGGGAAAAGACGTCATTCCATGCTTCCGTTTTCGCGAAAGAAAGCTCATTGGGGCCGATTCGAACAATCTCACCATACTCTCGATGAATTCTTGATACATCTCGAATGTTGTACCCACGAAGCATTGATTGAACAAAAGCAAGTCTTGTTATAATCTACAACTTTGGTCCAGGGAATCTAGAAAGGGGGTGGAAATGTATTCTGTATACTGCAACAGAAATTGCATACTAAACACTCATCATCAGGTCAATTATTCGACTATAAAAGAGGATGGCTTTGCAAACGTACAAATGATAAGAGAACGATTGGAACAAAGATCCATGGGAGTGGAATATCAAACACCTGCATCTTAGGAAACAAGTCGTGGAGCATGATGAGTGTGAAGTTATTTGTCAACTTGTGGAAAAAAGGGGAAGTCACAAGATGAGGTTTTAAAGGACCAAAAGAGCATATGCTATTCTCACGATTCTCTACTTTGTTCATTCGAGTTGCAAATGAGCGGCACAGCTCGTCACCCAACTCTCGAGAAGCAGTCCTCGGAGGCTAATACCTGATCAAAGATCTAAATTAGTATTGATTTGGCCCCTCAACCTGTATGTTGGTGGCTGTGGTTGCTGCCTCAACTATGCTTCAGGTCTATTACGGATCTTTTCTACCGGTAGGCAGGATTGTGATGGTAGCTGCAGATGAAGACCTCTGGATGATTCTCTCTTTCGCTTAATAGCCTCTTTGAGAGTGTCGTTAATATTTGGCGATCCGTCTCCATATTGCCTAATGCTCTTATCCCCAGTAAGGTAGCATTTTAATTTTCCATACATATTTCAACCTTCCATTGAAGACCTATTCGGTGTCGTCCGACATAAAGGTGAAGAGTTTGCAATCCAATGATCATCGCTGTATCAGTATCCTTCACTGTCATTTTATTTCACAATTCCTTGGTCACATATTAGCCGCCCATAATTTCAGCTTGCGTAGCGCGAGACGCAGCATCTGCAAATTCAGGGATTAGAATAGCTTCGGCCGAATTGCCATCCAAGTGTCACGAAAGTGGCGCTTTTGCAGATCTGTTATAAAGGGCGATTGCAGCGTTGCATTCCAGTAAAGAATACCCAACAAGTCACCGGGATACTTGGACCATATATTGACCGCTGCCTTATTTTCGAGTTCCAATATCTGTGTATGCCTGTCATAGAATGCCGCCATTAGCGCCCCAATCCTCAAGTGACGATTACGCGCTTCGTCGGGACTATCTTGCATCCTCAAGGTCAGTATAGACTAGCCACAAATAACACTAATGATACCATTCCTGACGGCTGATAAATCAAGACTCAATATTCAGTCCCGCCTATGGAGAGATTCTCTTGGATATACAATACACCCCTGTATCCCCAAGTTACAGGATGATGCTCGTATAGCAGACATTGGAACTGGTACTGGGTAAGTGATGGCAAAATCGTTGAAGAGGCCTATTCTGACTATGCTTGCAGCACTTGGATGGTTGAATTCGCCTTACAAAAGCAATCCACAACCATTCAGCTCGACGGTTTCGATATTGACATATCGCAGTGCCCTCCATCTCAGTGGCTGCCACCAAACATAGAGTTTCGTCTGTGGAATGCCTTTAATGATGTCCCTACAAGTCTTCATGGTGTATATGACTTAGTTCATATTAGATTGTTTATGATAAATATCAAAAATAATGATCCTTCAGCCATAATTCAGAATGCTTACAAGATGCTGAGTTTGTTTACCTGATGAATACGTTTGTCGATATCTTACTAACGAACCATATGCGTATTAGAGCCAGGAGGATGGCTTCAATGGGAAGAAGTTGACAACACAAACAATCATCTTGTCAAATTAGATGACTCTCTGGAGGTACCAGCGATGGAATCGCTACTGAACTACATCCATGTAGGATCAAGAAACCACCGTGGAGGTGACGAGTATGTTACCAGTAGTAGTCTTCTGATTTTGCTGATTCTTCATAGATGGTTTCTAAACATAGTGAACACCCTCGGGTCCAGTGATTTTGCAAATGTTACCTTGAAACCTCATGAGGATCCCCCAATCCTTCGACGCTGGGTTTTTGAAACGTGAGCTGATATGTATTCTTTTTAATGATAAGATGTTAACATCGCGACCTCTAGCTGGCTTTTGACCCTGGAAGAGTTTTCTACGACAAAATTGAGAGGAACAGAGCAGGAGACTACCAACTTGCGACTCATAAAAGAGGCATATGAAGAATCTAAGCTGGGGGCAGTCATTCAACTTGGAAAACTAGTTTGCATTGCTCAAAAGCTCGGGTAAACAGTAATCCCAGTTGAAAATAATGAGAAGAACTTGAAGGCAATAGACATCCTATTCGAATTCCATGACGATAAGGTGATGAATCTTGCGATTTAACAGACTACAATACCTTGAGTGAAGAAGCCACGGCTAGTCCAATCAAAATAATATGAGGAAACGCCCACCATGTGCCCCAGTGACGACCTTTCCCATTCTCGGCATGCTCTTTCCTTGTGTATCCTAGAAGATATAGCACGCGCGCAACAGACCAGAGACTCCCAAGAACAGCACTCAATTTTGGGTACTTTAATCCAGCAATCAACAGAGCGCAGACGAAACTTGTATGGTTTTCGGTAAGGTTGGCGTGGGCTTTCTGGGCACAGTTGAAGCGATATTTGTCTGTAGAGACAGCTGCCTCGGCTGCAGAGGCGTAGGCGTTTGGGTACTGAACGCCTGATTTAGCTCGAAATGCGTCGGTGACATGAGTATGATAGCTGGGAACGAATGTCGACAAAGTTGCCGCAAGGAGCACATATCTAAGAAGAATGAAGTGGAGATCAGCAAAGATTTCCCCATCATGGGTGTCTGGAATATGTATACCTATAATCGCTTGAGATGGTAAAACTAGCCATGATTTCACAATTTTGCAAAGATTTGACCTTTGAAACTATGACGCATTCACGGGAGATTTTATTGGGGGCAAGAGTTGGAAGTTGTCGCCTCCTCAGCCAGAGTAAGAGCAACCCCCTGCCACTGTACCTGCACGCTGCCCCGCAACAACATTTAATCACACGTAAACGCTCATTCTGCTATTCCTGCAGCATTTGTCGATCAATTCTTGCATGATTGCTGCAGTATCCCATGCATGGACCCCAACACCAACACAAGAAGTGACGAGTTGAGTTGGCGAGGGTTCTGTCAAATGACGAACCAGAACACGAGATCTACGAGAGCAATAACTTCAGCCCTGACACCCTATTCAAATCCACAAATTTGCGTCTTTCGTCTTTCGTCTTTCTTTCTTATTCCTCTGTGGTTCAAAAATCAAAATAATGGCAACTCTTTCACCTTCCCAACTTCTCCAAGAGCTGCAGGCCTTGGCTTCCAACCCACCAGAGATAGAAATCACCTTGAGGACTAAACTTGCCGTTGCAGCAAGAAGTGCATTCCTCTCGCTTGAAAAGCCAGAAGACGTTGTGGCACGAGTTTTGCTCTCACAGGTAATCCTCTCACGCTCTCCGTGGTTCCTAGATGAGAATACCTTGTCTGTGCTAACCTATTGACAGCAAGTGGAAGGTATTACGGTCAGAATTGCTATTGACCTCAAGCTCTTTTCGATCCTCAAAGATGGAGAAAAAAGCTTTGATCAGCTTGTAGAAGCAACCAAAGCCAGTCCGGTTCTTTTGGGTAGGTCTTGAGTGTTTGACGCGTTCAGATAAGGGCCCTCTAAAATACTTTTTAGGTCGAGTTCTTCGCAGTCTTGCGGTAAGCGGCGCAGTTAAGGAGATTGGAACCCAACACTTTTCTTTAGGCCCATAATTCTCATTGTTCGCAAATCCTGATTTTGCGACTGGTATTGCTCACTGTGCCGACTTTCTCAACCCAGCGTATCTTGCCCTACCTGGTTTTCTGGCTTCCACCAATTACGAAAGCCCAGGGGACCCAACCAATACAGCACTTCAAAGGGCATTTGATGCTAAGGGAAAAGACCTCATTGGCATACTCATGGAAAACGGTAACGCAGCTCGCGGTTTTGGGACTCTTATGAGCACCTGGGGCGAAGGCAACTCGCTCATCCAAAATCTCTACCACATGAACAAATTGGCAAACGGTTTTGATCCAGAGACACCTATGTGGGTCGATGTAGGAGGGGGTTATGGTCAAAAGATAATAGCCTTGAAGAAAGCTCATCCAGATCTCCCTGGACGGTTCATTGTACAGGACCTGCCTGGAACGGTCCAGAATGCTCCTAAAAGTGATGGGGTTGAGTTCATTGCACATAACTTTTTTGAGGAGCAGACAGTCAAGAGTATGCATTTCAGACCTGTCTTCTTGGGGTAGCCTTTACTCACATTTCTTCTAGATGCTCGAGCATACTACATTCGTCAATGTCTTCATAACTGGCCTGCCGAAAAATGCTTGACTATCCTGACTGAGCTTCGAAAAGCTATGAAGCCCGGATATTCTAAACTGTTTGTGCATGAGCTCATTGTCCCTGCTAGGGGAGCTTCCTCGTGGGTAGTTACGCAAGGTGGGTGTCGTTTTACAACCTTTTCGTTTTTGCCCTTTTCTGTTGCATATCTATGAATGACAAAGGTGACTCTGAGAAGAATTTAATATGATGAAATTATGTGCTACTTTGGAGAGAACAGAGGAGCAGTGGAAAGAAATCTTAGCTGAAGCGGGTCTCAAAGTGGTGGAAGTGTTTGCGGCCCCTGACGGGGTTTCAAAGGGCGTCATTATGGCAGAGGTGTTGTAATGGTCATCTATATCTAGTAATTTCTTGCCTTACACAAATGCACTAGCTTTGATATATTTAGCTGCTCTCATCTACCAGGCAAATATGACTGTGGTATATTTCTAGGCCGTCCTTTCAAGTAACTCAGACTTCTGTGATTGCTTGATCATAAAGAAACCACAAAAAATGAACTCGACTCTCCTAAAATAGAAGGGCATACGATTGCACTTGGCGCTTCGACTCTGATTTCTCCGCAAATCTATTCAGTACGGAGTACTCATGGGTATCTGCAACTCCTTTTTTGAAATGAACCCCACTTTCATTTTCTTAGCGAGCTTTGTGATGGGGGACCTATTATCTTCACCACTAGGATCATTGCCGCTTATCCCCTACCCCACATACACATCAGACCTGATCTGGTGTGATGCAGTCATTTATTACTGTACACCACTGGAAGTTACATGCATATGCAAGCGCCCGCCCCCCCGCCAGACTACAAATACAGACTCCGCCCACCTTCCTGTTGGCTTTTGGTTATCTTTGTTGGTTTGATGGTCATATGCATCATTCTCCGAGCTGTGCCGCACTCCCATCCCCCGGGCTTCCTCTTTAGGTGGCCTAATTCAGCCCCAAAGCCACTGAGACATGCTCAAGAGCCGAAATTGTGTACCGACAGACCACATTATTTCATAGGTAGAAAAGAAACATCGCGGCTCGTCACGTTGCAGAGGAAAGTCAATGATCTAATATCCCACGATTTATCATGATTTCTGCGAGCCTCAATCATCCTATCTGTTCACAACAGTTCTCCTCTTTCTGCTTTGAGCGACCTCCAAACTTTACCCACTATTTCCACCACATCTTCTGGTAATGGGCCTCGCCGAATGAGTTCTCCATTTTCCTTGATCTGCTGCAAATTTGTGCATCCGGTGATAACGCCATCCTCCTTCTCCAGAGAAGAGTGATGAAATATCCACCTCAATGCAACCTCATGCACAGGAATGCCGTGTTCCACCCCCGCATTCTCTATCTCCAGAAGCGCTTGATGTAACGCTTCATTATCATAACGCTCGTGAAAGACATGGTGTAACGGGTGGTCGGTAGCGTATCGCGTTCCAGCGTATTTTCCATGCGTAAAGTTACCAGTAAGAAAGCCTGCCGCAAGTGGGCAGTGAGCGTAATAACTGATGCCTTGAGCTCGCAACAGGGGAAGAATCTTTTCCTCCATTCCGCGTGTAAGGTTGTTATACTCCCCCTGATAGACAGTGGGTCTAATACGATTGTTGATTCTGGCTACCTCTAGAAAGTCTTGCAGCTGGTCTGGCTGGAACCCTACTACACCCAACTTGAATCCGTTAACGAAGCCTTAGTCACTCGAAGCGGGCTGCAATACCTTTTTGAACATCCCCGCTTTGAAGCATTGGTCTAGACCTGCAGTCTGCTCTTCAAGTGGTGTTTTTGGATCAAACTTATGACAGTAGAAAACGTCTAGCTGTTTTTGCATTAGATTGCTCAGCACGGGAAATCCAAGCCATCGGTAGTGACTTTTGATTGTGTTTAAAAGCCGAGACGATATTGCTAGAAAGAGAAAGACTCACTTGAGTAGATTTGAGCCTAGCCAGAGTATCGGAAATTGAGATTTTCACATTTTCGGGTTCCAGTTCACCGGCACCACCTGGAGTAGCTAGGACCTTGCTATCGATCGAAAATCCCTTAGCTTCTGCATTAGCATTTCCTAGCAATCTTTCAGATGTACCACGCTCAAATGGCGGGTATCGTGGCGCAGTATCAATATGATTTGCTCCGTATCTCGACAGCGTGTCTAGGACATCGTCAACAGCGTTTACATCGTTGAAGCTCATTCCAAGAAGTGCAGCGCCAAAAATGGCTTTAGGTTGAGACATGCCAAAGAATCTTTGACTTTACAAAGTTCTTGTTGTCCTTACCCATATTTCATCTGCGACGATATGCCTTGTTTTGTCAGCAACATAAACCTGGATATGCATATGGTTGGAAAAGATTGTGCAGAAGTTCTAACCGCGCAAAATGGCAAGCATGTTCCACAGTTCCATTCTCAAGTCGTATTTATACGTGTTGGTTGTTGGAATAACCATACAACTTTATTCGCTGGATCTCCAATGCCACAACTCAACCTATTTAGGTCCATTCAATGATAAGACAGGACGAGGTTGGTGGCTTCAGGCAAATCTCCTACGTGAATGTAGAACTTTAACCGAGTGATGAATCTCTTCACAGAATGCTGCAAGATTTCCTTGTTCAGGCCCCCAAATCTATTATCAGCATATAGGAGGCGCGATACTTGTGCGAAGTACTAGAAAACCCTTCTCATCTCTTTCATCAAATTTTTATAACAGAAAATAAATATTCTTTGGCCAACTTTGCCCTCACGCACCGAAAAACCAAGCCAGTTCGTTAAAATTCAATCATGGATTCCTTCCCACCAGCCGAGGCCGCCTACGAGATGGCTCATTTGAGTGACAACCGCGGATATCAACAGACGGTTCCAATCGCGATATTCGGTGTTTTCGCATTTCTTTGTGTGCTCTTGCGACCAGTCGCACGTCGTTCGACCGGAATACCTTTGGGCCTAGACGATTGGCTTATCATAGTTTCAATGGTATGAAATTCCGATAAATAATTGATGCTTCAGAACTAAGCTGTTGTTTTCATAAACAGGTGTTCGCGATCGCTCTGGTAGTAGCCACATGCATGAGTGAGTTACTTTTCTTTGTTTCAAATCCGAAGATTTGTATAATAACCAACCTCAAATAGCGACCAAATTCGGCGTTGGACGCCATCTTCTAGCGGTAATCATGGATAATCCCGGAGATCTTGTTAACTTCGGGAAGGTAAGCGAACGATACTGCCCGTTTAGTTGTATACTGGTCTGATCATACTTAGGTCAACTTTGCTCTTCAGGTTGCTTATCCAGGCACACTTGGTTTCGCAAAACTTTCTATTCTCGCCCTATATGTACGAATATTCCGCGTTGCAGGGGATCCCTTCATGTTTGCTGTTTGGGCTACGGCAACTTGGATAATCCTCTGGATGATTGGTGTTTACTTGGTTGTTTTACTTGGTTGTATGCCACTTCACACATACTGGACAGCTACCTGCCGTCCAACTTATCCAACAAGTGTCACCACTGGTGTGCTCAATATAGTATCAGATATTGCAGTTCTCGTTTTGCCTCAAGCTCAAGTATGGGGTTTACAAATGCCAATGAGAAGACGAGCTGGACTGAGTGTCATCTTTCTACTCGGAGTTCTGTAAGTCCCAGTAAATCCTACGTCCTATTGTGAGACTAAGCTGATCCTTTTACTCATTTAGGGCAACTGTGATGAGTATAGCAAGAATTCCGATACTGAAAATGGGCAACGCAGGTGGCTCAGTTGACATTACATGTAAGACGAAATCTCTCTTATCTTGACCACGACTAATTCAGAACAGACAACCTCATTAGAACTTACGTCTTTACCGTTTTGGAACCAATGATTGCGATAATATGTGCTTGTTTACCTGTGCTCCAAGGACTCTTCGTCAAAGGCTATACAACGGGTTTTGGTTTCTCTTCCATCTGGTCACTTCTACAAATCAAAACAACAAAGACACAAGATAGCAAAGATTCATGGAGAAAGATTAGCAAGGAGGGTACCAATGCGACCCAGTGGCAAAAGACAACTTCACAGAAGTCATTGCAGCAAGACCAGAACTCGATGGAACGTGGGGAATACGAACTTGGGAATATGTCCGCAATTTCGGCAAGAGCAAACTAGCCGCGCAATGGGGGTCGTATTGACAAGTTGAGCAATTACTTTTCTCTGGAAGAACAAGATATAATCATACTCAAATAAAATATTCTTTTCAGTTGTCTTCGAATACCGTAAAATTCCAAAGATTTATTGACAGAGGACCTTGATTTCGTTGTTTCAATACACCAAAGCCATATAGATCCATTACCCTTTCCCAGATGGTAAGAGAAATTCAGAAGACCTTACTTGTGAGATGTGTAACGGGACAGATAAAGAAATGAAATTATTCGAATTGAAGTGGATCTTGGTCATACTGTACTCAATTTGTGGGGTTCGTAACAGCACCACCTACGGTGCCATAGTTCAAGCTTCTGACATGAAAATCCTGGCTTCATTTAGGGGATCACAACACCAAATAATCTGATCAACACCTGTGGAAAATTGTGAGAAAGACATGTACGAGTAACGTGGTTTATCAGCGAGTCGATCATATCACCGAGTCGATCACTTTTTCTTGGCACAGAACTTTACACCTAAATAAATCAACCACAATATATTAAATTAATTATCGCTCTCTATATCTGACGAACTAGATATATCTATAACTTCTTGACAAGTTCGCGCGTTATGACCAGCTTTTCCACAAGTTCTACAGCGCCGCCTAGAAGGTTGCCCCTCCTTATAACCAACCCCCGCCTCACGCATGTCGCGTCGTACTTGCTCATCTACATCCTCCTGAGCTAACATATCCTGTACATCCTCTACTATAAGTGCCCCTCTTTGGCGGACACGAGTATTTTTAGCCCTACGGCGTTTACTTAGGGCTTCATTTGCAGCGCGAAGGGTACGGACCTCAGCAGACAAAAGGGTCATCTCATGTGCCATTCGCTCTGTACCCTTTGCTAACGCAGCAACTGTTTGAAAAAGTGGAGTTGGCGAGCTTCCTTGATGACAGGCTATACGATTTCGTACAAGAGTTGATTGTGAAAGGGCTTCAGTTGGGTTGGAAGGGGTCTGGGACACCCTGTCAAGGTAGGGAGGGGGTTGATGAATAGATTGTTCGCAAAGCTCTCCAGTCTACAGTTCGAAGCTGAATTACATACAACAGGGGTGGTCCAAGCACTCCCCGTGACTTCCAAAGCTACCATATTCACTTAATCAAAAACCTTTGCATAAGGTCCCCCTTTCCTCCAAATCCCACTGACAATTCCGGCCCCAAAATTCTAGCTCAGCTACACTCAAATATGGGGTTCTACAGACACGTCCACCACTTTCTTATGCTCCTTGAGAGCCTTTTGACGCTCGACCTTGGTAGGAGAAGGTTTATTGGCGAAGTCCTTCTCGTATTGGCGTATTGATTGGTGTGCGTTAATAACGTTTGATAGTGGCTCCCAGGAGTCGTGAGTCTCGTTGTAACCCCGCCAGCGGATCAGATACTGGAATTTGCTCCCTCTTCTTCTAGAATTAAGAATCTTCTCAATTGCCCACAGAGTCTCACCACTCTCATCTATTGCGATTGGTGGTGGTGGGGGGTTATACTGGCCAGGGAGGGGCGTTCCCGCTGCCGGCCGAAGTAGGTTGGTATGGAACACTGGATGAATTGAGTCGAGTTCGCTAGGCAGTTGTAACTTGTAAGAGTGTGAATTGATGATTTGAATTACTCGGAAGGGGCCAATATACTTGGCATCAAATTTGGGTATTGGCCTGGGGGAAGTAATATTTTTAGTGCTCAAAAGGACTAGGTCCCCAATCCGGTATGCTGGTGCTGGTTGTCTATTTGCGTTTGATGAGCTTTCCATCTGGTCTCTCGCGGCTAGTAGATCAGTGCGTAACTGGCTGAGAATCTGTTGCATCTTGAGGGCGAAAGCCTGGCCATCGATATTCTTCTGGGATAAGTCTGATCTAGGCCGAGGAGACGAGAAGCTAAGGCGTGGGTGATAACCGTTGTTAGCGAAGAANTGCATCTTGAGGGCGAAAGCCTGGCCATCGATATTCTTCTGGGATAAGTCTGATCTAGGCCGAGGAGACGAGAAGCTAAGGCGTGGGTGATAACCGTTGTTAGCGAAGAAGGGTGATATGCCAGTAGAGGCATTGACAGTATTTCTCATAGCGAATTCGGCAAGGGGCAGGTATTCAGCCCAATCCTTCTGGGTAAAGCTAACGTAGTGCCGTAAGTACTGAGCAATAGATTTGTTCATTCTCTCCGTTTGACCGTCTGTCTCTGGATGGTAGGCAGTAGAGAGTAGGACTTTGATCTTAAGTATAGAACACACAGCTTTCCAAAAGTCGGATACGAACAAGGTTCCACGGTCAGACACTACAGAGTCTGGTAGGCCGTGTAANGATGGTAGGCAGTAGAGAGTAGGACTTTGATCTTAAGTATAGAACACACAGCTTTCCAAAAGTCGGATACGAACAAGGTTCCACGGTCAGACACTACAGAGTCTGGTAGGCCGTGTAATTCCATACCTCTCGAACGAAAAGACGAGCGAGATCTGCAGCTGTTGTAGTCGAATGGCAAGGTATAATATGACAGTCTTTTGTTAAGCGGTCCACTACTACCNTCTCGAACGAAAAGACGAGCGAGATCTGCAGCTGTTGTAGTCGAATGGCAAGGTATAATATGACAGTCTTTTGTTAAGCGGTCCACTACTACCATTTGCATATCGAAGTCCTCGGATCCGGATGCCGGAAATGGGCCCATAAAATCGACTGATATATCACGCCAGCGCTGAATTGAAATTGGGAGTGGTTTCAAGGTGCCTTGATATCGGAGTTGTGAGTGCTTGTGCCTAGCGCAGGATTCGCATGCTTTGCAAAATAGCTTGATGTTAAACATCAATTTTGGCCACCACCAGTCTCTTGAGACTAACTCAAAAAGCTTGTTTTTCCCTGGGTGACCACTCTCTACAGAATCGTGTGCTTGCTGTAAAATCCATACCCGAACTTCTGTATCTGGAACGTAGAGTCGATCGCGAAAGTATAGGCGTTTGTCCTCGATTCGGCATTCTGACAATGCTACTTCTTTAGAGTGAGGGATATGGTCGCTCTGGTTCATTTCCTTTGAAACCCGTTTGAAAAATGGATCCTCTTTGTAGCCTTCTTCAAGGAGCCGATTTAGTTCATGGTCAACTGGCTCGTCTGGCTCTGTTGGCACGTCTATCTCCAAGGGTGCTAAGCGAAGGCACGGGTCAAGGTTCTGTGGTTTAAGGAGTGATTNGGAGCCGATTTAGTTCATGGTCATCTGGCTCGTCTGGCTCTGTTGGCACGTCTATCTCCAAGGGTGCTAAGCGAAGGCACGGGTCAAGGTTCTGTGGTTTAAGGAGTGATTGTTGGCAGTACTGAATTCGTGGATCGAGCTTGGTTTGAGGGAGGTCCTGGGAGCGGCGTGTAAGTGAGTCTGACTTCCCATTGTCCTTGCCTTTGACTGTCCTGATAATGAACTCGAATTGAGTCAAGAACTCGCTCCATCGTACTTGGCGGCGGGTAAGTTGCTTTGTAGTCATAAAGTACTTCAAATTCGAGTGGTCTGTGATGACAGATACTGGGTGCTCTACCCCTGAGAGCTCTGACCTCCAGGATTCGAATGCCCTCACAATAGCTAAGAGTTCTTTGTCGTAGATTTCGTAATTGCACTCTGCAGGGTCGAAGACTTTTGACATGAAGGCAACTGGGTGTAGTACTCCGTCGTAGTATTGTGAGAGTACTGCTGCTGAGACATAGTCAGACGAGTCACACTCTAAAACTACTTCTTTCTCTGGGTCGAAGTGTTTAAGTGTAGGTGCTGAGATAAAAGCCTGCTTGAGTTCTTGGAATGATTCTTTTGCAGGAGTACTGCTGCTGAGACATAGTCAGACGAGTCACACTCTAAAACTACTTCTTTCTCTGGGTCGAAGTGTTTAAGTGTAGGTGCTGAGATAAAAGCCTGCTTCAGTTCTTGGAATGATTCTTTGCAGGTGTCAGCCCACTTCCACCTTGTACCTGATTTTAATAGTAGATTCAGGGGTTTGACTATCCGGGAAAAGTTCTTGATAAACCGCCGATAAAAGTTGGCAAAGCCTAGGAAGGCTTGAAGGTCCTTCAGATTTGAGGGGGTGTTCCAGCCAGTGATACAAGATACTTTCTCCTTGTCCATTCGTACACCATNAGTTCTTGGAATGATTCTTTGCAGGTGTCAGCCCACTTCCACCTTGTACCTGATTTTAATAGTAGATTCAGGGGTTTGACTATCCGGGAAAAGTTCTTCATAAACCGCCGATAAAAGTTGGCAAAGCCTAGGAAGGCTTGAAGGTCCTTCAGATTTGAGGGGGTGTTCCAGCCAGTGATACAAGATACTTTCTCCTTGTCCATTCGTACACCATCAATTGATATATCCATACCCAGGTACTTGACTTCCTGGACTTCAAACGCGCACTTGCGTATATCTAAGCGAAGACCACCAGCCATGAGAGCATCGAGCACTTGGTGAACGTGTTTCCGGTGGGATTTTAAGTCGTCCGAGTACACAAGCACGTCATCCATGTNAACGCGCACTTGCGTATATCTAAGCGAAGACCACCAGCCATGAGAGCATCGAGCACTTGGTGAACGTGTTTCCGGTGGGATTTTAAGTCGTCCGAGTACACAAGCACGTCATCCATGTAAGCTGTACAGAAAATGTCTAAAAATGGGCGTAAAATATCGTTGATTCTGGCCTGGAAAGTTGCAGGAGCGTTCGTGAGTCCGAAAGGCATAACTAACGTCTCAAAAAGGCCGTACCTCGTGTTGAATGCTGTGAGCCATTCGTCTCCTTCTTTTACGCGAATCTGATTAAATGCTGATATAACATCTAATTTTGTAAAGTATTTAGCTTTACTCAATCGCTGAAGGGTTTCTTGAATCCGAGGAATTGGGTAGCGGTTCTTTATTGTGATAGCGTTCAGCTGTCGGTAGTCAACACAAAAGCGTAACCCTCCTCCTGGCTTCTTTGCAAACAGCACTGGTGATGCAGCTGGCGAAGTGCTAGCTCGAATGAACCCTTTGTCCAGTTGCTCTTTCAGGTACTTTCTAAGCACTTCCAGCTCTGGCACTGACATGTTGTACAGAGGTCCGTATGGTGCCTTCTCTCCTGGTTTCAGTTGAATGCTAATGTCGCAGTCTCGGTGCGGCGGCAGCGTGTCAGCGTCCTTCTGACTAAAAAGGGGCAGATGTCGCTTAAATTCTCGGGGCAAGAGCGGGTCTAGGTCGACGAGGGTCTTAGGAGCTAAGGCCTTTTCAATATCGGAGAGTGATATACCGCGTAGGTACAGCTCTGCTGCTCTTCTATGCCGGTCAAGTGGGGGTGGTGGGGGGTCTAGCTCGGGTTGTTGTAAAATCTGCTCCATGCGCCGAGTGCCGGAAAGGCCATCGTCGGTACGAGGCTTGTACAACTTCTTGTAGATTGGGGGGGCTGGGGCACCGAGGCTTATTAACCTCTGGTCGAGGTCAAATATTGATAGAGAGAATACCTCGGTCCCATGAGTATTTGCGATAGTATGAAAGGCGGCGGCATTGACTTTTCGAGGAATACGAGGAGTGCCGTCGGCGCTCCTAGTACTACACTTGACGAAAGTGNACCTCGGTCCCATGAGTATTTGCGATAGTATGAAAGGCGGCGGCATTGACTTTTCGAGGAATACGAGGAGTGCCGTCGGCGCTCCTAGTACTACACTTGACGAAAGTGATATCGAGTCTCTTTGGCATACAATGTTTAGTACAGAATGGCTTGTTGAATGTGACTGTATTCTTCTCCCAGTCGATAGAGGGGTTATGTTTCGAAAGCCNTCCTAGTACTACACTTGACGAAAGTGCTATCGAGTCTCTTTGGCATACAATGTTTAGTACAGAATGGCTTGTTGAATGTGACTGTATTCTTCTCCCAGTCGATAGAGGGGTTATGTTTCGAAAGCCAGGGTTTCCCAAGTATAATACTGTGAGACCCAAGCTTTGTAGCGTAAAATCGTTGCTGGCGGTCGATATGACGGCCAACTATCAAATCAAGTAGAACAAAATGTGTAACGTCCCCAGCTGATGAAGAAGTTCCATCGGCGGTACGTAGGCGGCGGGGCTTCGTAAGGGGGTAGAAGACACAGTGGTTTTGGTGCGCATAATCAGAGTCAATAAAAGCTTCGGCTGACGCGCCAGAATCAAGCATAAAGTGAGTGTTAGAAGTGTGTTTCTTGTCCGTATGTTGTACCACCTTACAGGGAACTTCTAATACGTTCTTCTGCCTCTCCTCTAATGACGACAGCTTTAGTAATTTCCTCCGGATACCACGTCTCTGAGGGCGACTGTTCTCAGAGACTACGCTTTTCCCGTATCTCTCTCGGCCTTCTTCTTCTTTGCCTTCGTAAGCTTCTCACATCCCTCCATAGTATGGTCTTTATCGTCGCAGTAGTAGCACAAGCTATTAGCAAGTTGGAAAGCACGACGAGCCTCTTTCTGTTCAGGAGTCTTAGCCCAAGTCTTCTTCTTCACGTCGTCCCAAGTCCAAGCATTTCTTGCGGTGGCCAGCTTCATAGCGTCAAGGTCCATCGCATTTGGGTCGGCAGTAGTCGTGGTCGGTTGATGNCTGTTCAGGAGTCTTAGCCCAAGTCTTCTTCTTCACGTCGTCCCAAGTCCAAGCATTTCTTGCGGTGGCCAGCTTCATAGCGTCAAGGTCCATCGCATTTGGGTCGGCAGTAGTCGTGGTCGGTTGATGATAGGCGGATATGGCAGTGGTCGTAGGGAGGTACTGTGTAGAGGTTTGAACAGTCTTCTGGTTGTAGCCGATGTTTGGAAGTGTACGAGTATAGTCATCGCCAGAGACAGACTTGTTAATACGGTCGGCGTCACGTATAAGCGTAGCTAGGGTTTCGAGGGAGACGTGACGGTTATAGGCTGGGTTAGTTAAAACTCTATCGCGAATAGCGGAATGAGCAAAGAGAATAAGTCGCTGAGTACAATCGAATCCAGTTGATCCAGAGGCCTTAGCCAAAGCTAGATGGTTAGAGAGGAATTCCGCTGTTGGTCGTTGGCCCTGCTTGTCTGATATAATCTTCGCATACGCTTCCTCTTGGCTAAACTTGTTGCTGTATGTGTCTTCGAGAATTCGTGTGATGTCGCTAACTGAAGTCAAGGTGGTAAAGCTACCGTTATTGTCCAAATAGGGGTTGATGTGATTACGTGCTTCGCCTTCTAGGGTAGAAACAACGTAAGCCATCTTATCGTATTCAGTGGGGTACCAGTCTGCGTTTCTTCGAAGCTTGACATTGATGTCAAATAGGTAGTTGCGGAGGTCTTCAGGTGACTTGCGGGTGGCGCCGAAACGAAGGGGGTCTGGGAGCTGGGGGGATCGGACAGTTTGAGCAGGGGCAGGAGGAGTTGTATTGAGTTGGCTTGTAGCTTCGGTGAGTTTGTCTTGTAGTTCCTTGATGATTTTGTCGCTCTCCTCTTGATCGGTTATGGCCGTGACTTGAGCTAGCTTTTCGCGCTTAAGAGAAAGCTTCTGTTGAAGTGTAGCTTCGTCAAGGCTATTAAGTAAAAAGGCTAAACCGTGTGCGAATGTATCATCGTGGGAGGTGATAAACTCGCCGAGTCTCTTCACGTCTTCAGGTTTGTTGGGGTCGCCGATTGCAGCTCGAAGCTCTTCAACCGTGAATTGAGGCATAGTGAATACGGTGACAGCGTCAGTCGTATGATTTGGTGTTTGTTTTGGTGCGTTGAATTCGGGAGCGAGGGTTTAGTACGACGACGGCGTCGATCGTACGAGTGTAGATGGCGAACAATATGTCAAGGTAGGGAGGGGGTTGGTGAATAGATTGTTCGCAAAGCTCTCCAGTCTACAGTTCGAAGCTGAATTACATACAACAGGGGTGGTCCAAGCACTCCCCGTGACTTCCAAAGCTACCATATTCACTTAATCAAAAACCTTTGCAATTTTGCTTGCAGCCGCTTCCTTGTTTATTGAGAAAGACCGACTCTCTGCTCATGTACACTCACTATCTTTAGAAGTGGGAGGATGTCTGAATCGCGATTCTTTGGCTTCCCAACGGTTTGAATTGGTCCTGGCTGTAGGCTATTTTGTCGAGGTGTAACCGGTGCTTTCCTGTGAAATAGAGAAGGCAGCGCCGGTAAACATGCGCAGATAACACTGACATGAACCTCAATAGTACTCCAATAGCCTACAGGAACATAGTCCCCTTCCTATATGGTTAGCTATTATATACTAGGGGAATAAAAAAGTCTTACATGTTATGTTCTGGGTATTTGCAAACTTGACAAGCATTGTGAGTCGTAAGATACTAACAATAATAACCCTTAGATTTTCTAAATTAGTTATGATTCTTAGAAATATGATTTCTAAATACTAACAGAGATCCGAGGCCAAACATTATTAGGGTCTGAATATTTTGTTCCCATGACATGAGAAGCCTCATTAACATGGGTAATGGAAGGATGATGATAATAGCGTGTAACACAATGTTGATAAAAGCACTCGACCATCCGACCGCATTTGCATTAATGCATTTAGCAGGAACTGTGCCATCCCACCTTGTCCAAGCAGCTTGGACAGGAATACATTGAAATACCGAGGCAACAATGAAAGCTATACTATAAATAATATTTATTGCTATAATAGCATATATTATTCTCTTAAATCCTCTCTGAGGAAACATTCGAAGATAAAGGCATAACATCGACAGTCGGATCATCATTAGACTTCCAAGATATAGTACCTCGTCAAAGTAGTATATCTACATACTTTTAGAATAATTGCGATATGTTTTAGATATTAACTTACATATAGAATAGCTGTAATACTTTCAAATGGTATAGACCAAATATCCTTTCCAAGTCCATGACCTGCAACTGACCTATATATCAGCAACTATTGACTTGGAACCCAATTATATTTAACCTACGAACAATAGCCAGAGCAGAAAGTGGAATCACAAACCGCTGTCTTAGGTAAGCCTTTGTAATACTATTATAACTTTCAATTGTAGGCATTGATACCATTGCAGCTACCATAGCCCAGTCGTCAATTCCAGGTTGTCGACTCTTTAATCGTGATAGTAGCCGTAGCATTGTAGCTAATAAATTAAGGGAAAACCCTACAATGGCGGTCATGGAAATGGTATTGGTTCGATTTCGTAGTGGCCGATCACAGATAACTTCAGTGATGTTTTTTGTTTCTACCTATATTAGAAATATCCTAAAACTCCATTGCCGAAAAACATACTAAGAGACTCTCTGATTGTGCAATTCGCACTTACGCATAGCTCAAGACTGTCGCTTAGCTGTTGATCAGCGCATATATGTGATTTATTTGCGAGAATTTTAGGGAAAATTGAATTTAATTCGGCCACGCATTGAACCTATCTGCTTAGTATACGAAGAAGAAGAGGTTAAAAGGCTAGCTTACAGCACATGGAGGCAGAATTATGTTTGTAGAGTTCGATTGTACGAAAATAGGAGCAGTTACTAAAATAGTAAAGACCCCAAAGACCTGAAACTTTTGCATTTTAAGTAATAGACAAACGTGAAAAGTCGCAACGTTACTTCTTATCCAGTTTTCTAAATATATTTGTTACTTACTTTTGTTTTAATAGGCTTTTATTGAGCTGTGATGGCGAACCATTGTAGCAAGGGGGGAAGGATATAGGGGGTGATTAGACGACCATCGTTAAAGTGCCTCCTGGCCAGGAGTAACGACGGAACCCAGGCCCTCAGTTTAATGACGGGAATCTCGTGTATATTAAGTTTATACGAACGTAGGGGAAAATCACATACTAAGGCACTCCCCGATCTAGATAAAGGCCTAAGTGGGATAGTAGATCACACAGGTTGGCAATGCAAATGATGTTGAGTTGGGAAAGAAATCATTACTATAGATTATCATAGGAATAGATGATTAGAAGAGTTAGGTGATGTTTATGAAAATTCCAAGAGACATGAGTTCCCATCCGAATTGAGAGTGTGTGTACCGATTGAAATGTTTCTCCAAGGAAGGTTATAGTATTATCCACGTCCACAGATGCCCTAGAAAGTATCTAATGAGATAATTGCTTATTCAATAATTACCTATTCATGTATTCCGCCCCCCTCATGTCAAAGTAGTAGATGGTCAGGCGGAGAATGACCAAGGTGGAGAATGACCAAGGTGGAGAATGACCAAGGTGGAGAATGACCAAGGTGGAGAATGGTCAAGGTGGAGAATGGCCAAGGTGGAGAATGGTCAAGGTGCAGAATAATCAGGGTGCTTAGCGAGAAAGAATCATTATCTATAAGTGGGGTCCCGGCAGCGCATTCACGAAGGTAGCGGGGTAGCGGGGGTAGCGGGGGTAGCAGGGTGTACTTGGCGTTATCAAATCAAGAACTTTAAAGTTATAAAGAGCGCTTAACTCGATATTCACAGCCGCTACATTTATACCCATTGCTACTACATTCCCCGCCTCTTTATCAATCTCATTTCTTGACTTAATAAAATAAGGAAACGAGACTAAAGCCATGACAGGTCGTAACGCTTTCAATGTAAGATAGAGACAACTCTAATCTAGATATACATGTACTAATTTAAAAGAAACTTACTCAGACAATTACAGATATGGTAGAGATTGCGCCTGAAACCAAAGAGAGAATGTCAAAGGAGTGAGTTAATCTTTATATAAATTAGTTTTTCTAGGAGAACGATTACTAAAAATATCTAGCTTACCTACTATCAAGACAGCTAGAGGCTCAAAGGAACAATCGAACACTCAAATACCGCTCGCTCATGTTACTTCAGGTGGCTCGGAGCACAAGTCTCACTTGTCGCAAGACTTTATTCCCACCAATTTGGGTCTTCATACAAATAATTCCGACGACAAGGACTATAAAGACCCTATAAATGGGAACGACCTTGTAACTGAGGGCCATGGAGTAGACAAAATAGATGATGAGAGTGCCCAGATCATAGAAAATATGTCTTCCAACTATAGCTTCTTGGAAGAGGTCCTTCGAAAATGCGATTTGTCGCTTGGGATATCATTGAGCGCAGTTGACGCCCTCGAGAAAGGAGAATCGAGCAGAGAGCATCTGAGAACGCTAAAACTTATGCTAAGGTACTTGAGAGTAAATTTCAAGAGTCTCTTGTAACGAATACTCAAACTGGCAAACTAAACTTGGCTGGGTGTTCGCTGGTTGGTATGCTATGATAAGAAGAAGACTATCGGGTTGTTCACTTGGAAGTGAACTCGTTACTTGTATCAAAGATGTCAAACTAATATGATAAGATTGATAACTAAGTTGAGCACGAAGCTCCTATCTAATGGCAGACGTGCCAGTCTTATATAGAACCTTCGTTCCCTGATTGATCGCTCTAGTCGCTCACCCTGATCGCTTCAGTCGACCGGCGACTCAGGCGACTAGAAGAACCTTCGTTCTCTGATTGATCGCTCTGCTCGCCCTGATCGCTTCAGTCGACAGGCGACTCAGGCGACTGGATCACGTGATTTTCTAACCAGAAGAAATCCCTGGATCGCTTAGCTAGTCTAACTGATCCCTTTTTGCTATAAGTCCATGGATGTGCTTAACCTGTCAGGACGCCGCCTGGACTTCCTTTGTCACATGCATTGCTACACGTGATTCGTGACAACCGGTATAAAGTTTATATAGATTCCGGAACTAATATAAGTCTTATTAATAGAGAATTTCTTTAGAAGATTTAGCCTTAAGCTAAGCTTAAAGTTTATACTAAACTAATTAATTTAAGAGGAATTAGTAATACTATAGTAGTTTTATCTAAATACCTTTTTTTAGATATATTTTTTAAAGGAATTAGTAGTTCTATAGTATTAGGTAAGGAAAGATCCGAGAAACCTACTATTATATACTTTAAGCGCGAGGTTTATATTATTAATAAATTAGTACTTAAGATACTAATTAGTATTAATATTATAGTACCCGAGGATATCTCTCTTAAGCTTAGTAAATTCTACGCTTTTATTAGTAGTTATAGAGTTAATATTAAGCTCTTTTTATAACTAAGATAGAACTTTCTAATAATTCTAATTTATATAAAGAAAGGTATAAAAATACCTTCGAAAAGTAAGGTTCTTATATTTATTAACAAGAGTATCCCTCTACTAAAAGAGGAACAAAGTTAATTCTTAGAGCTAGATAACTATAATATTAGAATTTATACTATACTCTTAGACGAATCTACTACTAGTATTATAATATAAAACAATAATAACTCTACTATTTATATTTCTTATAATTAGGAAATAAGCTACGCCTCTATTATTAATACGGAATAGTACTTTTAGGTCCGCTATAAAGACTCTAATAATACTAAGAGTTAAATTAAGTAGTTAGCTTTATATTCTCTCTCCTATATAACTCGAATAGAACTTATTTAACCTATTTGAAACCTTAATATAGAAACCTAGTACTCCTCTAGTAGTATAATTTATAGTATACCTAATAAAGTTATAAAGATCTCTACTATCCTAGCTAATATACTAGAAATACTACTTTAGGACTAGAGATATATTAATATTCCGAAAGACCTTTAGATAAGGATTTAATTAAAGAATAGATAGTAGGATAAAGTAATAGGCTACGTAAAAGTATACCCTTGAAGTAACTATAATAAGAAAGTTATTAAAAATATTATATTGGATCTACTCCTAGTTTAATATAGAATTAAGCGTACTCGAGGAGTAACTCCCTTCTTATAGCCGATTTTTAGTTAAAAGAGTTATACTAGACAAGACTATAAAGTTTTAAGCTATTATTTATATTTAAGGTCTTAATTCTATTATTTTACCTAACGCTTATCTTATACTAGTAATAGATAATATTATTAATAACCTTTATAGTATAACTCGAATCTTAATAATAGACGCTATATCTTTCTTTTAGTAATAGTAGATCTATCCTAAAAGTTACTAGGTTATAACCTTTATTATATATAAGGGCTAGTTTTAATCCAATTATATAATTATCGGATATAGGAATACTCTAGTATATACTTATAGTACATACATACTATATTTATAGATTTACTATCTATTAAGATTTATATAGATAATAATATTTATACTAGTAGTACCTTTAAGGAGTACTTAGTTAATTTATAAACTATATTAGATTAGTTTATTAAATATAATATCGCTATTAAAAGATTAAAGTACTTCTTTAGTTTTCTATTTATAATAGTACTTAGATATTATATTAATACCTTTAGATATTCGAATATAAATAAGTATATTATCGTAATTAAGAACCATAAGTTTCTACGAACCCTTAAAGATTTAGAAACCTATATTAGTATAACTAGTCGACTATATTATTTTATAAAAGATTATATTACTAAAATTAAGCCCCTCTAGGCTAAGAAAACTTTCCTTTTATAAGGAGCCTTATATAGTAGACTATAGTATAAATAATTCGCTAAGTCTATAGTATTTATTTAGCTAACTACTAAGGAGTTAAATTCTTTTTTAAAGAAGTATAATAAGCTTTTTATTAAAAAATAGTATTAGTTTATATTTTACTAGACTAATAGTTATATATAGATATTAACACTCCTAGTAAAAAGATTAGTACTGTAATTTACTACTCTTCGAAGGAATTAGATATAGAATATATATCTATTAATACTTAAATCTAACTAATTATATTTCTTTCTTATAAGTTAAATACTATAGAACGTAATTATTAGCCTATAGAACTTAAAACTACTAGTTTAGTATAGGTTTTATAAAAAACTTATATTTATATACTAAAAAGAAGCTAATAGTTATATTTATAGATTATATAGCTAAGATAGCTTAAAAGTCGAACCTTACTATTATAATTTCTATAAAAAAGACTAATACTTAAATTATTTATACTTCTAAGTTTATTTCTTATTTTAACCTAGATATTAGATATAGACTAGGACTACGCTATATTATACTAGACGCTTTATTACGTTTAGAGGCTTAGGATTTATATAAGCTCTTTAAAGAAGGACTAGGAGAATTAGATACTCTAGCTATTATAATAGTAGGAGTTTTTATAATAACTTTAGTTAAGATATCTCCTAATTCTAGACTTAATTGTTAGAAGGTTATAAAGATACTATTTAGAAAGATATTAAGTGTAATATCCTATAGAATAACTCTCTTAGCGTAAATAAAGCTATAGTTACTTTTAACGTCTATAATAGTTTAGTATATAAATTACTACCTATTAGTATTAATAGACTTCTATTATAACTTTACTTACCTAGAAAGTTAGTCCCTTAAGTACTTAACCTAATCTATAATAATAACTACCCTAGTTTTTAAAAGATATTTAACGTTTATTTAGGTATATCTTTTATACCTAGATTATTTATAATTATTTAATCTTATCTTTAATCTTATCCTTAATACTAGGTTTATTAACTAAAGTATTACATATTATATAGATTACTTTAACCTTTACTAATACTACCTATTATATTCTATACTTTAATAATTAATTTATCCTTACCTTACCTATTACTTCTAATAGTTATAACTCTATACTATTAGTAATATATAAGAGGTCTAAGAAAGTAGCTCTTATTACTAGAAAGTCTACTTAGACGGCTAAGTAATAAAGATAAGTTTTTATCCTTTAGCTTTTATATATAGATTAGGGAATTCCTAAGGTTATTATATTAGATTAAAACCCTAAGTTCTTATCTAAATTTTAGAAGGGAATATTTAAAAAGCTCTAAACTAAGTTACTTTTTAATACTACGTATTATTCTTAAATAAATAAATAAAGTAAACGTACTAATTAAACGGTTAAGATCGCTATATACTTTTATATTAACTAGTTATATAATACCGCTAAATATAATAAATACCTTCCTTTACTTTAATTTAAGCTTAATAATACGCTATTATCTCTTAATAGTAGAACTCTAAATAAGAAGGCGTTTAGGTTTAAACTAAATAACGCTATTAATCTTTTAGAAGAGAACTTACCTATATAACTATAATCTACCTAGGAGTTAACTAAATCCCTTGAACTTACTTAAAGATATATAAAAGTTTACTTTAATAAGAAATATAAACCTTTATTCTTTTAACTAAGAGATAAGGTATTTCTTAAACTCTATAAGAAATATTACTTATTACTAACTAAGATCTTTAGATAGAAGTTATCTTATTAGTATATTAGTCTACTTAAGATTCTTAAGTAAATTAGATAGTTAGCGTATTAACTTAAGTTACTTACTAAATAGTAAATTTATAACGTTATCTTTATTACTTAAATTAAGCTAGCCTCTCGAGATATAGATCTATTTAATTATTAACTACCTTTACCTAAACCTATTATTATTAAAGGAGATATTTAATATAAGATTAATAAGATTATATATAAGGAGATTACTAAGACTAGCCGCGTATAGTATCTTATTTAATAGAAAGAATATAGTCCTAAGAAGGATTAATAGACTAATCTCGATGTTAGATAATACTTTAGAGTTAGTAGCTAACTTTAAGGCGTAAGTATCCCCGGAATATACTACTATAAAGACTTTCTATTATAGAAAGTAGTATTATTATTAGGTTGTTATTATTAGATATAAACTTAGTACGATTAGTACTTATTAAGAGTCTCCTTATTATAATTCTAAGGGTAGCGTCTTTTGTTTTTTTAGGCGGTAATTATTATAGAATATACTAGGAGCGTACTAGAATAAGCCCCTTAGCTTAGTTAACGTTCCTTTATATACTATATAGCTTGTGCTTTACTTAAGCAAACTTTTATAATTAGTCAAAGGAGCCTTCTAGAACTATCTAACTAATTAGGGTACGGTATATATTAGTTAGCTACTACTATGTCACGAATCATGTGCGCGCACGTGATAAGTGAAGACCAGGCGGCGCCCTGACAGGTTGAGCACTATCATGGCTCTTATAGCAAATAGGGATCGACTAGGCTAGTTAGACGACCCAAGGATTTCCTTTAGTTATTGTCACGTGATCAATTAGCATCAGAGGTGATCGGCCTGACGACCTCTGAGGAGTTAGAAAGGATCAGAGCGACGGGCACTGATCCAGGAGAACGAAGGTTCTATATAAGACTGGCACGTCTGCCATTAGATAGGAGCTTCGTGCTCAACTTAGTTTAGCAATCTAGTTATTAAGTTATTACTTCTTTGTTAACAAGTGACGAGTTTACTGTCACGGATGCCAACAAAGGATAAAGTGTATACAGCTTTTGAATCAATTGCTAGAACTAAAACCGTAGGTACGAAGAAATCAAACTAAAGAGAGAAGAGAATCTGAAAGGAGCGAAGTTATTTAAGTTGTTCCAATGCCAAGTCTCGTCACGTGCTTGGCCAAGCGAATGAAATCCTGTCAAATGAAATCCAGCTCCGTCACATTTACCTCCGAGTAAACAACCCGGCGCATCTGTACTTCTTACCTGCATACCAACCGTCGAAACGATTACCTTTGTCAGATAGTTTGAGTTTCGTCACATACTACTCTTTTAAATAGCATCTTACTTTATATTCTAAACATTATATCTAACCTTATCCCTGATATTTACCCTTGAAAACCCCTCTAAAACACCCCTAAAAACACTCTAAAAAGTACCCTAAAATATCGATGTTTATCGATATCGTTAAATATAATCCGATCGATATCGGAATCGTCGAATATAATATCGATATTATATCGCGATAAATATCGTATCGGCGCCCAAGTCTGCCCAAACCTCTAGTCATCCAACGCCGCTTTGGCATACATCATCTGTGGCTAGAGCCGTGCGTGAATTCGTAGTCTCTTGCGTTACCCCTCACCAGCCACCCTCACCAAGCGCGCTACAGTAGTAGCGTCATTCATCCTCGGATCAGATCGAGTATCACTATGTCATCCATCCCAATTCCCACCTTTCAGCCCTTTCATAAACGACGAAAACATAAAAGATAGGAGGAATATTTCATAATCCCCCCATCTCGGTATCTTCCGATCACCCCGACGAAAGAAAAAAAAAACTAAGAAAAACCTACCCCACCATTGTGCCTCTCGCTTAGCAAGATCGCTTGCAGATCCCCCCTTTTCCAGCCGATTTACCCACGACCCATCGTGGCTGTGCCATCAGACTGTGGCGAGTACCTCGCACGATCAACAAATCAAAGAGAGTGAATTGGTGCTTGAAGCCTTAGCCACTTCTCCCGTCAAATCCATTCCATCCCATTACCCCTCACGAGCCACAGAAAATCTAGACGAGCCATTGAAGATCCTTCACCTACCCAAAAAACTTCGCCCACACCTACCCAACCCAACCCCGCTCGTTTGCGCAAAACCACTTCCTGAGCCACAGATCACACGTGGGGCATCCCCTTCCACGAAGTCCCTTTACCAATAGGAGTAAGGGGGTACATGCCACTCGTCACACAATCCCAACAATCATCTTCACCAAGATCCCCAACCCCAAAAACGGCTGCCAGACCAGACCAGCGTCCGTCCACCCACCCACCCACGCAATGCTGCATGCAAAAGCATCATCCGGGGCCCAAAAAAACACCGTCAATCTGCTGCGCTGCTGTCCGCTATCTGCACACTCTCAAGAATGCGCTGGCACTCCCCATTCCCTGCAACGGAACGGCCAGTCCTCTCTCTCTCCTCTTGCTGTAGCCTCAGGGTCTACTCCGCATATGCAATGCGATCCCTTCCCTTCCCTTCCCTTCCCTTCCCTTCACATCCCCCGTCAAGCTGAACTGTACAGTACCGTACCATCCGCTTCCTAGGGACCGGTCTGCTGCGAGTAAGAGCATTGGCGCATATGCAATACCCTACAGACAGACAGAAAGACGGCCCAAAACGAAAATGTATGTACAGTAAAGTGTGTGGTTCCCGATCGTCTGGGCTCCCGCGCGTCCATTTCCCCTCGTGTGACGCCCCAACCCTACCTAACCCAACCATTCATCGCCGCTCCCTATCACTCGCCACAATCGACACATGGGAAAAGAAGGGTTTGGAACCGCTTTCATGAGTAGAGTACAGAGTGGTTCAACCAATAGAAAAACATCCCATCCGTGCTTCATCTCTCCCATACTGTACTGTACAGTAGTCCTTCCGCCTATCCCGCTACTGAGGCGAGGTCACTGGTGAGTATTAACCCTAACTTAAAACCCAGAAGTGAATCAAAAAGAGAAAGGTGTGGCTGAGCAGTAGCAGTGCAATGAAAATGTCTAGTCATCCTGTGGATCAACTCATAGAGACGTTCCACAAAGCCAAAGCGTGTCCCGCTTTTGTGTACGACAGCACTCGCCACTTCTAACCCCTTCGCGTAATTTGCGTGGTAGATCCCCTCGGATCGTCTAGATCACCTGTGGCTTGACCTCAAGACCTCATCAGTGAATATCCCAATCCAATCCCACAGTACGGAGTATCGTCACAATCTTCATGTGGATAGAAACTCGAAACGAATAGCACATTGGAGGGAATATGTTTTGCTGTGATGTCGTATGAATTGCTAATGCTCAGCCAATGAAACGAAACAGATCGTCACCATACCCAATAGATTTCACATGTGCATGGGCAAATTAATAGATGGTATGTGTAATTGATGGATTGTTCCCTTTTTTTGCTTGCCAATTAATACCAGCTCTGCTGTGAAGTTCCCAATAAACCCCCTGATAGTGCCACACCCAAGTACCTGTACAGATCTCGAGAATAATCCCGATATGCAAATTCATGTATCTCATTGATCCATTAAGTAGCCCTCCAAAGTAACTTGTACATCATATTGCCATGCTCAGAAAAGGGGAAAGTAAATGGTGCGAAGACCATGAAAGAATATGTGTGAAATATGGAACAATGGTCCCTCGAAATGAAATTCAAAAAGCCTTCCCCGGTGGGATTCACCAAATCCTACTACTCCCTTGCGAATGCATACCTCTAGAAATCGAAGGAAGGATATGAGGGCAGGGTATTCCAAAAGCGGAACTGGTATCTTAAAAGAAAACATGGACGCCCCTCAGCCTGGTTGACCGGAAAATGTGAAAAGAAGTTGTGAACAAATACATGACCATGCTGAAAATCATTGGGTATGGTGTGTTTGGTCTCGAAGAAATGGTTGTATCAAAACATTAGTCGAAGTTCATAGCCTTCGGTCGAGGCGGCATTCTGAGGACTGGCGGCTTGGTCGTTGTCATCAAGAGCCATTTGCCATTCTCGCTTGACTGGTGCAGGCTGCCCCTTGATTGCCGAAACCTCCATGTCAAGGTCCTGACCTTCTGAAAGTTCCTGAATGACATCGTCATCCATCTCGACTTCAAGTCCGCGGTTGAGAACGTGTAGAGTGCGCAAAATTCTGCTTGGATCTAAATTCCACTTGGCGGCAATGGCATCTCGGAAATCTTTCAGCGTCCTCTGGGGCAGATATACTGCTCGATGGTATTCTTGTCTCTCTGGCTGAGATGGGTCTCGATGTAGGATATAGAAGCAAGCTACAGGCTTCATTGGTCGCTCGACGACAGGTGCTTTATAAGACGAGTCAACCCCTAGAGCTTCGATCCATCCACTCAGGCCACCTGATTCGTCATTTCTTGGTATCTTAGTGGGCTGATCGGGGGGACTTGCAAGCTGTTGTGGATTGGAAGATATTATGTCTGAAGGTGCCAAGGATTGGAAATCAGCCCAAGGACCAGGTACTTTATTAGAGGCACCAGCAATATTCTGTGATTGCAACGAGATCGAACTTGGAGAAGGCGAAACAAGCGAAGATGTGCCACTGTTGTCTCCACTTCGTTGCTGCCAAATTGTAGCTCCCCTGGAGTCGACCTTGGTCAAGTCCAATGGTTCGCCCGCTAGTGCCACAGGGTGAAGATCCGGGTCGTCTTGTTCTGCGCCTCTCAGGTATAAATTGCTCACTGGTCGTGTGCTTGTAAACATATCTTGCATGGTTTGAAGCTTAAAATGGAGATCTTCTTCAAGAGGTGGGCGAGCTCCACCAGCCGACGAAGCAGAAGACATCGACCAGGTTCTTTTGTGTTTTTGTACCTTGCCTGGTCGTTGGCTGGGTTGGGCCTGCTTGGAAAAGGAACCAGTCCTCTTTCTTTTGCCGAAATCCTTCATACCAGTCTCAGCCTGAGCAATTTGTTGCTTGAGCTTGTCGATGGTTTTCTTGACATGTGCCACATCGTTTGAAAGTTTTCGCTCAGCTCCATGATCTCTGAACAGTTTGACCTTGCAAAAAGCGACCTCTGAGAAATCATTGGAGTGCGGTGACCCGTTGGTGAGCGTCTCGGTCTTGGCGCAGAGACGAACTGGTATTCCCTTCACACCCTTGGAATGACTGAAATCTGTGGAGAGAAAGTTGAAACGGACTGCGATGTTGCATTCTGTCATTCCGTTCAGACCAGGTGTCCAGATAACCGAGAACCCATCGAACGACGCAGTATCAAGCTCCACCCGAGTCTTCTTATCGTCGCTGTCTGCAGACTGGGTCGCTTCGACGTATTCCACTGCTTGAAGCTTACCACCTCGCTGATGAGCTTCATTCGTGCCCCGGCCTTCTTTCCACAATTGCCAGCACATTGCAGGTCGTTGCCGTTGCTGCTCATCCTCGAATGATATTCTTACAAATGTACGATACCTGGCTCCGGGGGGGAGTGGTAGATTTGGAGTTGTGTCAATGATTGATATCGAGTAAGCTTGTCCTTTGTTGAGATAGGTGATAGGAATCTCGTCGGATTGCTTGATCATCGCTGTTGGAGCATTCAAAGTCACATGAAACCTAAAGTTTTCTGCTGAAGGGGGTAATGAAGTAGCCATGCCCATATTGTATTGCGGTTGATAGGCCATGACTGGGGATTGATTTTGAATGGTTGTTTCCATTGCACCCATTCGGCTCTGGTCGTCCATTGGTGAGCCATCATGCTCCATCGTTTCGTACCCAGTATCTTGGTGTATGAATGATGGAGCAAAAGACTTCTGCTGGTCATGCTGTTGTGGCTGTTGCTGATGCTGATTTGGGTGCGATTGACCAAACGGGTTAAAATTTGTGAAATGAGGTGGCATGTGGTGTCCAAATGCAGTAGACACGTCCATCATAGGATTTCCGTGGAGGCCATCATGCGAGCCTAGGTGCGAGAGAGGTGTGCCCAGCCCCAATCCCAATCCCATACCCGGTGTGTGCAAGTCCCCTGCTTGATTGTGGTACAAGGCATTGTTGCCTCCAGGGGTTGAAGTATAGTATCCAGGCGGTTGGTTGGCAAAATTGGAGAAGGCAAAGGAGTTGGGGTCGAGAAGAGAGGGCGTGAATCGCCATTGATCGTTGTGCGCTCTCGGCGTTGGATCGAGGTCTTTAATATCTTCTTGGGTGACCACTGGTCGTTGTTGACTGTAAGTTCAATTTGTCAGTGACTGCGCAAATTCCATAGGCGCAAAATACGGAATGCTGCGAACATAGAAAATCGAGAAAGCATACCCATCTGGCTGTTGCTCATTCGGGGGTTGATCTAGAGAGGGATTTCCACTCGAGCTGGCTGAGGCTGTCGAGACGCCGGGGAAATTCTGGCGAAAGGTTGCGATGAACGCATCTCCCGGCTTCTGTGAGGATGTTCTGTTTGGGGGTCCAAGTTAGCTTTGGGGACTCGAGGGATTCCCAGCGGGCAAGATCGCGGAACGGGTCATCGCGATCAGCGCATCCCGCCATGCGTCCAGTGCAGAAAGCTTACCGATTTCGAAACATATGGAGAACGGGTGAGCTGTATTCAGCTCATGTATTGCGGATTTCGTACTTTCCAAAGTTGCCAACGTTCGTGTCGGTCTTTTGGAGGTTCTCGCGGGTGGTTGTGGTGGAGGTGGTAGTGGTCGTGGTAGCTGTGAAAGGTAGGGTTACGCTCATGCCACTCGAAGTCCTGGGAGTACTAGGTCGTCAAATGTTTCCACGAGATTGACGGGTGAATTTTGATTACGAGTGAATGGAAGTGTCTGGTAGCGAGCGTGGAGTGATCATAGACACTGAATAGGTGATGGAATTTTCCTTTGAGCAGGAGCAAATAAGTGACGAATTTCCATGGGCGGCAGGAAGCTGTTGTTATATGAGGTTTGGCGTCAAGGGAAGGGAAGGGAAGGGTAGGTAGGGTAGGGTAGGGTAGAGTGTAAGGGTACCTCTCTCGGCAACGCAACGGGAGAGGGAGAAGATGGGGGTCCGCAGGTTGGATTCAGCGAGGGTTGTTCCACAATGATGGCTTGAAAGGCTTGAGAGGAGTACTGGAGCATGGAATGGGTACGGTATGGGTCTGGGATGGTTTGGTATGGAGATGGATATGGCATGGCATGGCATGGGCATGCATGTGTGAAGGGGAAGGAGGGGGCGATGGGTCAAGATGAGATGGGAGTGGATACTCGTGTACACTCCCCTACCAGTAGGAGGAGTAGTAGCTACCCATGCAGAATACCTAGCAGAAATACCTAGTAGAGTAGGTATAGTAGATGCTATTCTGGATGTACGGTACGGTGCTATGCAAGTAGCCGACTAGAAGTGTAGGGGACTAGTAGATTAAAGGACTATAAGTGTAAGGGACTAGAAGTGTAGGAGACTACAGGTGTATGTAGGGACAGAATAAAGTAGGTAGGGGCAGTAGGTACAGTAGGCACTAAGTAGTACAGTGCTTTCATCATTACGGACCTATGGCCAGGCAGTAGAGGCGACTACAGTACGAGTGATAAACAGAAGAGGTGCCGTGCCCAAAGCAACACTACACCAGTCAGTAGTCAGATTGACTTTGAGTGACATTGACAGCCCGAAGCCCGAACTCGGTAGGGCAGTAGAAGCACTAACAATGCGAGTAGACGCCTGCAAAGCTGCGGCTCGGACGAGGCGTGCCAGTCAGTGAGTGGTGTGTACTCGGTAGTAAGAGCGCGAGTAGAGTGCAAGTGCGGGGCTATTTCCTCCTCCGGACTATCACGATTAACTGGTAAGGAGTAAGTAAGACTAGGGCACTCGGCGAGGAGCTTGTGCTGCATTGCGGTAAACCAAACAGGCCGCTCGATTTTTGTGGGTCCTGAGTCTGAGTCCTCTCGCCTGGAAGATTCCGCCTAGTCCGCCATCGTCATCGGAAAACACGCGTAAAACGGCACGCCACGGGAATTGTGGCTGTGCATGCATTGTTTGCATGGCACTTCTACAACTCTACACTCTCTACCGCACAGAATCATGGCAATAATGGCAATGGCGTTGAAAGGCCTTGAAAAGGGTGGCGAGATGATGATCATCAAAGGCAATCACGAGAGTCTCGACGACACCCGCCAAAACTCTCCTGAGTTAATTGAAGCCGCCTGGAGATGAGAAAGTTCCGACTCAATGGGTTGTTCTGAGGGACTCAGCTCAGTACCCATCAGCTCATTTACTTCGTACCCTCCCCTCCCACGCTACCCAGACCGCATCACAACACCACATTCCAGAAGCGACCGTGCAGGAAACGACAGAGATGGAGACTTTCTCTGCTTCTCATCCTTGCCTAAACGAACCTGCCATACTGAATATCACGATTGATTTGTTGAATAATAGTAGCAGTCTATCGAGGAAATCAACGTAGATACCTGGCTCGTTATTGGACGTTCCCGTTCATTTTATTCTCCTTGCTTCTTTGGATCCGGGTCAGCTTCTTCATTTCTTTTGCCGTTTAGCGAGCAGTCAGATCACAGCCATGCCGAGCCATGGTCGTTATTCGAAATGCCATGCGCGGATACGGGGAACTCCTCCGCCATACCACAATTTTGATATCAACGACCAAATAAACTCGGTTATTACTGTTCAATTCTAACTTGTTTCACATTTTGACATTTTGCTGGCCCGCTCGAGGCTGCTAGCTAGCCTTAACTATATCGATATTGGTATATTGTGTATCAAATATGGCAAAGGTATTTCTCGGCTCATTCAATCGGTTGTCAGCCCATCAATTTTCTATCCTACTCATCAAAGTCTCGAATACTTCAATGCCCAAACTACTCAGCTCAGCGAGAAACTCAGTCATCGTGAAGTTAAAGTCGCAATATCACGACCACGTTCCAGGCCAGGCTCCTAATCTTTTTGGAACTCCGTGAGCGTACATTTTTGTCGTATTGGCTCACCCAGACACAATTTCCGGGGAATCGCTTTCATCCTGGAGTCTCGACATGGATGGATCTTTCGTACCGGATATTTGTGATGGGGACGAACGGAATCTTACAAGCGAATGCTTCAAGGTGCGACTTACCTATATGATACGCCTTCATTATTCCACAGCTCACCGTCGCCCTATGTATACTCGCCAGGATTACATCCTGTGATATACCCACAATACCTGCACTCTGTAACTTGGTAATCATCGAACTGTACACAATAGCGATTCGTCAAACGGACCTGGATATCGGTGCAGGTCAGATGGTGATCGGCCTTATTCCATTTGAACCGGAACCCGTTACCCTAAGGCCATAATCATCACAATCATACACCAATCAAAAGATGGAAATCAAAGCAACGCAATCATTACCTGCCAATCACCCAATTTAACGATATACTGCAGAGCTCAGCCACAGTGTGGCAAAATACTTTATTTCGATGTGAGTAACCGTACACTTCATCCAGTGGGGATACCACGATCGAGTTGTTGAAACAGCCGGGTAACACGGATCTTATCAGCAATTTGTCAAATCTGCAGATGAGATATCATTTTTTCGAGATCTTTCCGAAATGGGTTTTTGGAGAGGGCGTTGATTGCGTGGCTTGAGGTGTGGCACAGTTGGGGTGAAATGGAAGCTCTAGACTTCGAAAGACCCAAGTGTCGTGTAAATGAGGCTAGGACTAGGACGGCTCCATAGCACAACGGGGAGTTTGAGGATTCAGAACGACGTTGTTAGTATGGGATGATTGGCAGCAGGCTCTTTTCATCTGATCTTACACTTTTTTCGTCCCATTACCATCTTCTTCCTTTCGTCGCAAGGGCAAAGTTACTACGAGCATTATTTACCTGGTGTCTCTTCGCTAAGTATTCCCAGTTACGCCGCATTTTTGTTTACTAGAGATTTTGACAGTTGTCAGCATTTGCTTACGCGTTCTTCCCCAGTCCGTCCATTCCATCAGCATTGATTGAGCGTCTCCAGTCTATCTCCTTCCGTTCTTGCCCTTGTCCTCTCACATCGTGGGGAGTTGAAATCCGCGAGAGAATCGCGAGAGTATGGGCGATATGCAACGCAATCAACTCCAGTACGTGGCACAACGCGGAGGATCCATTTTTGATCTCTGTCGTCCTCTGGAGTGTGACGAGATCTGAAGTCGTCGACCTTTGGAGGGATTCTCAAAGTCTAGACCACTGCAGATGCTTGCGTGACTTGATTGCTACAGTGCACCTGCAATCTGGGGTCAACCCCAGCAGGCCTTGAAACAGCTGCACCGTAACCCGCTTGCTGGGAGAGGAGTTGCAGTTTGTTGTCGTCACGCCTGGCCAAGAAGTGTACTGTCTTGCACATACTATCAGACTTGCTGGAGTTGGAGTTCGGCGATGCCACAAAACTTACCGCATCTTGGCCGGCTTCTCCCTGGACCAAAAGAGCTCTGTCGTCCATCGAGTCCCCAAATGCAATGCCCTGTGGAAATACCAAGACTGCGTGTGCATATCTTCCAGCCACACATGCTGCTTTAGCAGATGCCGTCGTTGCGATACTATACAGCATCGGGGCGTCTCCGACCTCCCGACTCGCACCCATGAGAAGTGACTCTTGGGGAAAGAATCCCGCGACGTGGTCGTCGACGACTCTTGGGGCACTAGTCCAATAGTAGATGTGCTTCGGACCCTGTGTTTTTGATAGCTACGCTAGCTTCGCTAGATACTCCACACCAGATACGCTACTAGTGTACGGTAGCGAACGGAGGACCACGATGAATGCTCGTCGACTGACTCTCCGCGTTCTTGTCGCATCGCATCTCGTTCGGTAGAGTTGCAGTTGCAGCAGCAGCACAAACGCCGCTGAACTACCGCGGCCAAATTCTGCCGTGGTCGCCAGGGTCCTCTTGGATCATGACGTAGGATCTCGTCGTCTGCTTGCGCTGTCGCTGCTTATTTTTGTCTGGTTATCCACAGATCTGCAACGCTTTCGGGTCTGATCGTCAGAGTTCACAGAGTTAATAATTAAGGGTCGATGAGGTCATGTTTCTATTTCCTCACCCTACTAGTGCTCCATGCCGATTGGTTTCTGCTACGAACATGAACACGCCACGCCACGGGGCCACCATGGCGATGTTACTCCGTACCGAGTACCTACTACTTCAACTTCAAAGCACTTCGAAGGAGAAGGGTTATGACCTGCTGGGTCTCCGTCCTCGCAGGTGGATTCCAACCAACCCGATCTGATGGATTCTCCGTTTCCGTTTCCGTCCCCGTCTCCATATCCATGTCCATCCCCTCCCCTCCCCATCTCCGTACAAGTCAATATTACGACGCCAGGCCGTTGGTGATGGCCGTGGCCGTGGCCGTACCGTGGCCCTGTTCTGCCTTGCCTTGCGGAGTACCTTTTAGCCTCTACAGAAAGGGTCTGCGGCCCAGCCCAAGGCCCCAAGCACGAAGGATCTTTGAGGGGTCCTGGAAAGAACACCTGAAGAACAATGTTCCTGTCTATCTTTTACTACAAAAGGCAAGACCCTTAAACGACCCTGGAATCCACCCGGATATATCCTGGTCCAATTACCTCCGAGCACTTCAAATATTCTCCGATATCTTGGGCTTCAATCAATTAGGGTTTTCCTCCCCCAGCAAGTACAGGTAAACGCCCCCACATCATCATCTCTCTCGCGAATTGGAACCTTCTCCCCTCTCCTTTGCAATTCAACCGTAGCCCAAAGTCGATGATGTAACATTACTAATGCTGCCTTCCCAAGAAACCCCCATTCTATAGTGGGGGGGAGGACGCCGTTGCCATTCTTCGCACACCGTTGGCATCAAAAGGAACCCCCTACGGCATCCGTTTAACGTTTTTGATACTCCGCAGTCTTATTGCACAATCCCTCATCCACGGAGGTATATCTGCTCGGAACATGGGCTGTCATATTCATGCCATGCTAAGTTTCGGACGTTTTTTTTGTTTTGTTTTCATGGCAGCATGGCTCTGCCTCTCTTGCGATTTCATATGTGGGGGAGTCAAGGGCCTTGACTTGCCCAGGGTAAGCGATGTTCAGGGTCGTGCTGTGCGTGCAGCATCGCATCGCATCTCCCCCTTCCCCTCCCTTCCCGATCAGAAGTTGCGCGCGCGGAGAAAGGTTTTTAGGTAATGATTTGCACGATGATTGATGGTTTTATTTCGTATTGAGGTGATATACGAGTATGCTCGGCTTTGTGGATACTTGGCCTTTTTTTATTTTCGTTCGGCCTGAGATGGGGATGATGAGATGACTACTTGTAGGTTTTTTATCTATTTGACCTGGATTGTTTTTAACAGTAGAGTGAGTACATTTTGGCGTTTGTGTCTAACTCGGACAGTTCCATTCGTCTTAGTTAGAAGTACCTACTTTGGAGTTTCTCTCTCTACTCGAGCACGAGTGCGTGTAAGACAGGACACTCCCATGTCCAAAAATGTTTACATCAAGCGATTATGATGTCAACGCCATCCACTCACTTTTCACGACCCTATTTTTTTCTCCCCCCATACTTTTCGGCTAGGATATACCCATCCCATCCCATCCCATCAAGATACTTTTCTTTCAGCTTCCTTCAGTCAGTAAGACCCCTACCCCATCACCTCCCCTTTTTCTCTTCCTTTCTTCCGGGAGTACAACTCTATTACAATGTCGGTAGTCCTTAGTGGAATGCAGATCTTTGCTTCCTATAGAAACAGAGTTTGGTTTGTTGCTATTTTTGAGTTTGGGTGGTGCGTGCAGACTGCAGACTGCAGACACACCTAGTGTACTTCGTATGTATGCTATGGTATGGGATGGGATGGGGTGGATGGTGACAAAGATGACCAAAAAACTATACTTGTCGAATACGCTTCTATCCATCTGTCACTTTCTCCGGGTCGTGATTCTTTCTTCTTTTGGAAGAGTGAGTGTTGGTAGTGAGATGATTGCACGATTCATGTGAATTCGCAGCGCTGGTGCCCGGGTTGTGTTGTGTCGTGTGCGGTATCTTACGTGTAGTCTAGTACATCTCCCAAACACCACTTTTCTCTTTTTGATACTGTTGATGTTGGTGTTAGGCGTGTGTACTGTATGTATGCATAGAAGCAAAGCGTCGCAACCTGATAATCCAGGTACAGTACTGGATCCGTTGGTTTGTTATGGAGCCGGTTCGCTGGGATACGGTACGTATCTTCTTTGCTTCTACTTGGTGACTTTGAAGGCGGCCTTCATTCGTCGGTCCTGTAAGCACTACGCACGGCCTATCAATCCCATCTCTCTGTATTTTATATACTTGCTTTGGCCTCCTACGACAACACGGGGATGGTCGAAAGCGGACGGCACAGCTAGTCGGTGCGGTGGGGTGTGCACAGAGGTGGGCCGGGTCCTCTTCTTCTTCTTTCCCCTCTTTCTTTCCGATTGTTAGTCGTTGCTTGGTTTTTTGGTATCTAGATACTCGAGGAGTGTTGATCTCCTTGAGAAGGTGGTAGAGTATGGTATGTAGTACGAATAGAAGTCATTGGCGAGGTTTTATGGAGTTCTTCAATGAGCAGGGAATAATCCGTCCACGGACAGGTGGAGATATACTGTACTGTACAGTACATATCAGATTTTCAAATCTCGCGATATGTCCGATAACGTGGGCTTTCGAAGAATGATAATTGTGGACTATCCTGGGATGCCTGCATTGGTTGTGGGAATCTTTTGTTGTTATGGTACGAGTACTATGCTATTTTCGAATCGTGGATTATTCCCGGTTTTTTTATATGGATCCGTCATCCTGGGTTTGTTTGCTGTGAGTTGTCTGTCGCTTGGAGGTTTTATGGTAGAGTGTTGAGGACTATGGGGAGGGTCTTGAGTGGTTGGATTCGGGTATGTTAGGAGGTGTATTGATATTGTATTGGTGGGTAAGGTAATTTTGTACTTGGAAGTATCAGGGCTTTCTGAGTGTGTTTGAAAATGTCTAGATGTCGATAGTTACTAGGGATGAGAAGCCAAAGGCAGGGTCGGGATTAGGGCCAAGTATGAGTGTAGGGGGGCCTTTGGTGGAATAGGAGTTGAATTTGTTCTTATGGGGGATAGTACACTTGTAGTTAGCATTTCTTTATAAGTGCTGGGACGAATACTTTGGTTTCTGGTTCTCTTTAACTCTTTGAATCATGAATTTAAGTGTGGGATTAGTTATCTTACTTATTTGGAATAACATTATCTAGTTAGCGTTCGTTATTTTTGAAAGGTAATCCATATCCCTTAACTAGAAGGATTCCAACTTATTTAGGTGGTGGTTTAGTTGGAATTTATTCTGTACCCTATATTCTATAGAATTTCTATAGAATGAAATCACGTAACCTCAAAAGTCCGCCTAGCTCGATAGATTAATGAACAGCTTTTTATAGCCTTAGAATATATCCCTTACTACCTCTTTAGTATTCTATTTTTCTATGGAACTCTAGAGTCTATTCGATAAGGAAGTGTTCTAATTTTACTAGTATACTTAAAGGATTCTAGATAGTATAGAATTTAGAATTCTATAGACTTATATTCTAATTACCGAAGGTTTATTTTAGCGAGTTATACCTAGAGTAAGAAGTAGAACTCCTAAATTATTTAATCTTAGGTTACTTTATAGAAAAGCGTAGTAAGCTATCTTTTCTTACGCGGATATATATCCTAGGCCGCGAGAAAATACAAGAAGTTATATTATAATTAGTCTAGAATTAAAGAAAGCTAGTTATAGAATATACTAAGGAAGATCCTAAGATATAGAATCGTATACTAAGAGAGTAGAAGAGTTCTATACTATACCCTCCATATCTTGGAATGAAATCTCTTTGTTACGGAACGTGCTGGAGTTTACCCCTTGTTGTTGTTTAGCATGTGACTCTTGCTTAGCGAGACTCCCTGTACTTTCGATACGGATCCATATGAGTCTCGCTAGCCTTGTCAGGAAGACGCTAGTCTCATTCAGGAAGGATCCATGGTACAGGAGAGCTCCTATATTAGAGTACTCCTTTCCCCCTTTGCTAGCTTCTTTTTATCTATCCTCTTTTCACACAGCTCATTCTGACAGTCTCCTGTTTTGTCCTTGACACTCTTTCAGGTAACCTTAATACTTGTCATAGCTAGTCGCCTTATAATTAGTAAACAACATCGGAATTACCACTTTCTAGATTATCTCAAAGTGTAACCGCTTTCTTTCTATGAAGCTAATAAACTCTCTTGAAAAGACACGTACTTCACCACGGACTTACTTCACTCAGCATATTATGTCACAAGTATAAAGCCTATACTTTTCAAAAGTCTCTCTATTATTCAATGAAATTTCTCTTAATTTAACGTATTAGATTTCCACCTACCCAAGATCTCTAATGTTTTGTATATACTAATTATAGGAGCAAGCGATTAAACCTCATCTTCTTTTTCTACTCTACTAAAATTCATTAGGCGTAATAGTTTACTGTTTCTCGCACTTCGCCGTATCTACCTAAAAGTAGTTGTTATTCGATAAATAATTCCCACACATACTAAGTTACTAACCTATTTTTCTCGATTAATAAAGTGTTACTGTACTTGACAACTCTTCAATTCCCTTTAAACACTCTCTAAAACTAAAGCACCTCAAGTTTGAAAAAACTTCACTATTCCAGGGCAATTAGGAATTTTCGAACATTGACAGCAATATTGTATACACATATTCAGAGTTGTCCATCCAAAAGCATGAATGTTCCATTCATAAAGTAAGTCTGTAAAGTTATTTACTATTAAAAGGTCTTGGCAGAATGGTATATTCGCAAAGCTGTCTCTCAAATAACACTACAATCCCCAAGGTCAAACAGACAATAAACAGTATGCAGCGACGGCAGAAAACCGACGGCGCGAAGCAATAATGGAAACCAAATAAGCCTATACCCCAAACTCCCCCTGACGCTATTTAATGGCCCCCTTGAAAAAAAATCCAAATCAATACTCCTTCAATGCAACTCCAAGAACCTCTTATTTTCAAACTAGCAATGCATTCACGATTCCATCATATGCTCGCTCCACAGTTCTATTTCCCACTCCAGGCACCGCTCGCAATTGCTGTAGATTTTCAATGCAACTTTCGTCTTGTAATTCCAAGAATTCGACCAAATCTCTAGCTTTCTTCGCCCCTACACCGCTAAGTCCCATAATCAATGCCACGTCTCTTGAATTCACAATATCGAGGAGCTGTTTGGTTCGCGGTGTTGGAGGTGCCTTTTCGCCGTCGAGCTGGTCAGAAAAAACTTTGAGAGTAGATTTTGACGATTTGGTCTTGGATTTCTTCGGCTTGGTTTGCTTGTAAGCGAAACTGTCGTCCTCCTCATACTCGTCCTGTACCATTGCCGAGCCGTTGAACTCCTCATCTGAATCGACGTGTACATGCATCTTAGACTTCGCTGGTTTGACTTGCTCCTCTGGTGCATAATCCTCAAAGGAATTCGCTGGCGTAGGAAGTTGGGCGTTTGAAACGATAGGCGCAGTAGCAATGACTTTTCGTTGTTGAACTTGCGTAGCGGCCGGTTGCATGGCAGATTCCGAATCTCTCTTTGCCTGTATCTTTGCCTTCAGGTGGGCGATTTTTTTTTGTAGTTTCTCTTGCGCAGGAAAGTATGGTACTGCCATTTCGTACATTTTTAGTGCACTGGTGTCTTCACCGCGTTCCTTGTGCTGCTTCGCCATCAACAAGAATCTCAAGCCTTCTGCTCTTGCTTCTTCGGCCTCTCCATTCTCAATCTTCCTCTCTAAAGCTTCGAGTCGCTTTTGTACAGCTTCACTGATTTCGGATGGGGGCTTTCCAGATGGTTGTTCCAATGCACGATTTGCCAGTGCTTCTGATACTTTTCGTTCGATCAATGCCTCGATCTTTTCCGCAGACAACTCGGCCGCACTTTTCGTAACGGTAGGTCGAGCTAGTTTTGTCGGGCGAGAATTTCCGGTTGCATCGGACGGTCTCTTTTGTCCAGGATTTGTTTTCCGTACTGCGTTGGTAGTAGTGTTCGCATTCCGTGGAACGGCCTTCGCCTTGTTACTATCGGTATACACTGAGAATGCCTTTGCTGGCTTGTCACCCTTTTGCGCTCCTGCGCTGGGGTAAGTGTTGTGGGCGTTTGCTAGAGGTCGTAATGGTTGTCGTTGTTGTAGAGTGGCACCACCCGGCGCAGTTTTCCTTGGAGGTTGAGTGAAGACTATCTCATTCTCAATTTCTCTAACTTCGATTCGTTTTGCGCGCGAGCTGACATTTAGACTTGAAAGTGTGTCCAGATGATATGATCTCAACGGCGCAAGATTCAGTATCATAATCGTAATTCCGTTATTTTGGCCCAAACTCAAGATCCTTGTCATCTTCGATTCTCTGTATGGTATCCTCTTGTCTCCACGTCCGATGGCGTCTATACAAGAACTCAACACAAATAGCGATTTGTTTATGCTTGCAGACTCGACCATTCTCTCCTTTCCATTTTCGGTTCGTCGATTATCCTCGGAACCTGCCAAGTCTATTGCGGATGCCGTACTTACCAACGTTCCGTCTCCATTCTTCTGGTATAACTTTACCATCAAAATAGCGTGGCTTCGACTCGATTCAGCGTTGAGTTTGGTGCCAGCCGTCGACCGATTATTGTTGGCTTCGATATATAGTTTCTCAAATTCCTTCAGGTCATCGCAAGCCCTTTCAGAAAGCCCCACCACAATCGTCTTCCCATTCTTCTCTCGCAGAGGCAATCCAGCCAAGGACCGTTTTTCTGGCGTTTCGAAGAGGTCGTAAACTTTATCGTTGTAAATTTCGTAATACGAAAGGGTAATGGATACGCTTGTTTCTCCTCCGGAATCCTTTGCAACTTTTCGTCCTCGGCGATAAATTCCACTCAACAAACGGGGAATAACACCCCTGTCAGCGAGTTTCGTTCCTCCTCTCTATTGAAGAGCCTCCGAGTCAGCATTACCCTTCCTATTGAGTTTTCAATGAGAAACACTTGCCATTGTGTGCGTCTTGCCTGTCCCTGTGACACCATAAGCAAATATGGTCACGTCCAAGCCCTGGAAGAGCGATTTGAGTGTCGGCGCGACTGAGATCCATCAGCATATATCCAATTGCACTGGTACGAGAGATCTATCGGACCTTCGTTTGTAAATAGCTCTTCTTGTGTTGTCCCCATGTTATAGACTCCGTTGAATGCGAAACTGAATTCCTCCGCCTCGTTCTTAGGATTCGGTATCCGCACCATGTTTGTAGATTTGCCATCTTGGGTTCCTTCGGTAGTAACAATTACATCTTTGTCTAGCTCCTTGTCGAGCAAAGGACGGAGGCGTGCAACCACTGGTATCGTTATCAGCGAGGAGATTTTCGATCAGGCTTGACGCGGGAGAAATTTACCTCGAACAGACATTATGAACACTACCGATGAATCGCGGGAAAAACAAATAATCACAAAGAGAACCTAAAGAAATGTCCACCGCCAAAATCTGATTGTCGTCGAGCCACTTGCACTCGTGTTGGGTTGTCGAAGAACCTTGTTCATATCGAGGCGCGGTCTGGGTGGCATGTCAACAAACGCCAAAGCTTGGCACAACATAAACCTAATTCTCCACAAAATCATTATTCACTCTATTAACTTGAAAGGCTACCAATTGAAATTGGAAGTGACAAATATTTGCTTTATCACTTGTGATTAAGGTCACATGTAACTTGTATTCCTTTCGTCAATTTACTACTGATTTACTCGTAAACAAATAACACGAAGAGTGGTTATTACTCTCCTCAGCCATGCCGTCGTCGCAATATTGATGACAGCTGCGGTATCCCCCCAGTTAAAGAACCCGAGCTTTCTTGTCACACAGTCGGCAGACTTGTTTCCAAAGTTGCGACATCAAGTAATGATCGAGCGCGCTTCTTGCTATCAAACCACAATACGTACAAGAGACCATCATATTACCGAGAGCATCAAATTGCGGTACATACCCTCTCCTGCGAAAATAGAACGAATGGCTAGAATCTTGGGCTTTGGAATATCTGTAGAAGGAATTCCACAATCCCGTCTGTGGAGACACTGAATGAAAATCATGTCCTTCGCAAAGAGACCTTTCTCACAGAGGCCTTGGAAAAGGAAATGTTTATGTTTCAAGAGATCGCGTCTCCTGTAACCTTAACCTCTGTGGACCCAAAGAGGGCTCTCCTTCCTCCTAGCTACAGTTCTCAACTTGAATGGCTCAGAGGCCTTTTTACACTAAAAGTAACTATAAAGCGTTTGGAGAAAGATCCGTATTATATCCTCTTAGGAATCTTTGTTTAGAGTGACGTTATCTTTATATAGTTTACTAAAGAGAGGATAAACTAGAAATCCTAAAATTCATATATAAAATCGACGTTTTTTTCGGCTAAGAATACGTTACTCCTACGCGCTCTACTGTCCTAAGACCCACTTTAATGATTCGTAAAATTTAGCTTAAAAGACCCTAGGTTTAATATAAATATAGAGAGGTAGAGCTAATAGAATAGAGCATTTTACTTTTAGTTAGACGTAGAATCGCAAGGTAAAAGTAGGGAGTTTTGGATGTTTTTGGTGTTCAGACGGGAAGTGGGCCATTATTTAAAGTCTAGTATTGTATATCATGTCCCGCGGGCTTCACAGTCGCATATTTTTCCAGGATGATATGGTCACGGACGTAAATCCTGGACTGAAACCGGCTTATCGGGATCTGATGGGGGATTCGGATTGGAAAGAACCTCTCTAATACGCCGACGGGTTGGCGCGTCTGTGGAAACAAGGACCATAATATCTCGCGGAGATAGATATTGGAAACGCTTCAACTGGATTGGACCGAAGCGGAAGAGCTAAGTCAGAGCATTGTCTTGACTGGAATCAACGCTTTGCTGGGCCTCCCCGTGGTAATGAAATGCGCGGATTGGGATGTCGTGGTAGCTTGGTGAAGTTTGTTCATCGTGGCTGCCGAGGGGAGGGGAGTGTTCTTTTTCTTTTGCTTATAGTATGGAGATATCGCGGTCATTACACTAAACTAACTGTCTAGGGAGAGTCGTCATTTCATTTTGAGGGCACTGGTTAATGGAATCTTCTTTGTTTTCTTTGTTCAGTCGTGGGCTTCCTGCTTGACTTTGTAGAATGTGAGGAATATCCACATAGTATAGTAAGGGGCAACAATTACCTTTATTTATTTAGTGAATTAAACAAATCATTCCATGGTGAATCTAACAAGTTTTCATTAAGCTCAGCAGCTGCGCTAAAAGCAAACAGTGCCCGAAGAAATATACTAACCCTAGAGAATTTGGGAATGGCAGGGTTGAAAAGCAGACGAATTGAGCTTTTAAGGGTTTCAGTTGACGCCCTAAGTTAGAAAACTTAATTTCTTTCTGTACTTTGGATATGCCGGCTTATTGAATGATTTGGGGGTTGTAGTTGATTAAGCGTATGGTTTTTGTTTGTTTAGGGCTCGCTAATTAAGCGAGAGCGATGTAAGTATAGAGGGAGAAGCTTGGAACGGGCACAAAGGTGATGAGCAAATAGCTATTTTTGGATTATGCTGATCAGTTTTGTATTGTGATATACCTCGAGACCAAGCGACATACCAGTAGTTCAAGTCACGTAAGAAAAGATAGCACCAAGAGGAGAACACGAACTCATAAAGAAAACCAAGCCTGAGAGCCACTTAAAGCTCCCCCTTCTCACAGTTCACAGTATCAGTACATACACTTTCCGCAATATCCGCAATCCTCCAAACTACAAGACGCGAAGTCTTGTCCACCATCTTCGTCGTTGTCATAGTTGTCATTATCATAAGGATCATGATAAAAATCATCCTCTGTCAAATGCTCGATAGTTCTTTTGAAATCTCCCCGAAAAGAGAGAATCTCCTTCTTTGGAGCAGGTGAACCTTGAGTTGGAACTCGCGGGTCAGAGCCAACGACGTCCTTCTTTTGACCAACAATCTCCTTATTGGCTTCATAATCCTTCTCATCAACACCCTCCTTCTCACCAATTCTGTGCTCTTTTTCGTCCTCCTCGTTTTTGTTGGTAATTTCATTCTTCTTCTCCTCGCTGAACTGAGTGACAAGGGTATTGCTGGTAGTCGAGGGGCCAGGGGTACTAGGATTCAAGTCGATATCACCCGCAGGCCTGGCAATGTTGGCACGCCAATGATGTTTATTGATTGGATTCTTCTTGTATATGTTGAGCTCAAAAAATAGATCATGGATTGCACATTTGAAGTTCTTGTACCTAGTAGGTTGAAGCAGAAGGTCAGTGTGGAACTTGGGCAAGCACCAAAGATTACAAAGAGCACAAGCAATGAAATCATGAGAAATAAGCAGACGAAAAAGACATACGTATTCAGTTTCTCGTAGTTCGCCTCGATGAGATCCATTTCGACAACCTCCTCGTAGGCATCACCGCCCTCATCTGTCTCGTCGGCAGCAAAGTATCGCTTCCATTTGACTGGCCCATAGTTAACTTGGCGTACCACTTGCACAGCATACGCAGAGGACTCGGAGAGAAGGGCTGACGGGTTGACAGCGGTGATGTCTTTGGTCATCCTGAGATCTGACCTTCCCACCTAATAAAATTTGTGAACTTCAATTAGTGATCGAGAGTCCTAGGGCGATAAGGACGGATTTGAGTGCAGCAAAAGATTTCTGCCATGTTGAGTTGATTGAATGATACGAGTAACTGGTCCTTTCAGTGAAATTGCACCCACGGGGTCATTTTGAAAAGTTTTGAGGGAAGCACGGGGAAAGCCTTCCCAATAACTTGACACAAATACGGTGATCGATTATGATTCCGGGTATATACGTCTCGTTCCTCTCTCGCCTCTGCTTGTGTAACCCATGAATTCATTGGAGGCCCTGATTTTAGCCCCATGCACAGTTCTACGGTAGGCCCATGTAGCTAGCACTGGTCGCCTTGTTTGCCTACCGTTACTCTAACCACCATCGTTCAAGCTGATATATTATCGCAAGTGATCGAAATATTTCGTTGGATCGAGGAAATCTTTTTTACACTATTGCGAAAGCTCCATGGTTCATATAGTACTTTGTCGTTCTTCCAAGTCGGCAAAATCAGAGAAGTTTGGTGCCGCTTTGTTGTGTGGTCGAAGCGAGGTAAACTCTTACGTACATCACGCTAAAATCAGGGCCTCCAATCATCAAGCATATTCAACAATGATCCCTGCTTCCTGGACTGCAAGCTAGAGATGGGCTCTCGCTTATTTTCTAACCGTCAGATAAGGACCCGAACGCAGAACCACCTTCTTCCTCTCTTCCTTTCTTTTCACTGCACATGTACCCTATTGGGGTATCATATACTACACACTCTCTTAATCCTAATCTCTGTGGGCTTACAGTCGCCCACCTATTTTTCTCACTCACTTGGGCCAAGGCTTTCCTCTGCGGAGAGGAGGAAAGCCTTCAAGTGAGGCCGGACCCAGCTTATTTCGAGAGACAGTAACGAGTGTTCGCATAATCAGAATCACATTTATCTTGACTACGTCGATCCACATTATCTGGATCTGAGGTATGCTCCTCCAGCCTCAGACAACACCTCGGTAGTTCGAGAATCGAACCAGAACCAAGCACAAGAGACTTCCCTCGATACTCTCATTACCGCAACAACCTCTGAGGACAATAATTCTTTTCGGACTCAAGAGGGAAGTTTTCCAGATCCATATCCACCAAGCAACACTATCTTTACCTCAAGTTTCGAGGAAAACAACTCGTTCCAAACACAAGTTACAAGTACACAACAGCAACAAGACCCTTTTGCACACGCTGAAGGCCCACTTCCACCGCCCGATCCCCCACAGCTGAGGTATGTATCCTCCCATTGAAAATCATCTTCACTATATACAAGACTCTGACACAGTTTGACAGAGTTCCCATCGCAACCCATGTCGATCCATTGCAATGCCATTTTGAGTGTTGCATGCAAAAGTTCCGACACAAGAAAGACTTGGATCGACACAGGAGAACTGAGCATGAGTCGGAAGATCGCTTTTATTGCCCCCATAGCTGGTGCAAGTACTCCATAGGAGGCAGTAAGAATTTCAAAAGACGGGATAAACTGAAAGACCACATGCGTACGCATAATAAGGGCAACTAGGATGGTACAGTACAGCTCTGCAGAAAACAATCATAGTTCGTTTGAACGGCTTGGATTGATACTGTAACCGATGAGTAACTTGTCGAGATTTGTAATGAAAGACATTCTTTATCAATTCTTATATCAGTATTCCCTCATACTACTCATTTTGAATTTAATTTACGTTGATCCTTACAATTTTAAAAAATGAATGTTGAGCTTTGTGTTTTCCAAGTTATGTAGCCTTCGTTGCGACTAAACACTTCATTAGGTAACGGTCTCCAAAGGGCCCAAGATTGATACCAAATATATGTTCATGGCTGTCATAACACAAGTGTATACAAGACCGCGTCAGCGACTTCCTGCTTACAGTATCACCAAAAGAATCCTTTAACAAATATTACTCTATCAAAAACACATCCATAACAGCAATATCTTACCTCACGAGTTTACCACATCCCAGACAAAGCCCCCAGTAAGCCAACCACCTATCAACCAACCAACAAAAAAAGCCCGCGTAGTAGAATCCACTCTCCTTCTTGTCGAATTTCGACCACCAACTATCACCAACTATTCATATCCATGAATCAGCCATCAGCACAATTAATAACAACATATGCGTAACCATAGCCCAAACTGTCGAGGTCGCCAGCCCATGCCTATCGGAAAGAGAGACGCGACGATATATATATGCCCATGGATAGGGACGAGCTGGAAATTCGCCTCAGAGAGACTCGTTCACAATCCCATAGACCAGATTTCCCATCAGATACAACGAACTTAACATTCAACCTAGCACTAGCATGTTGTAGTAACTTAAAAAAAAGGAAACGGCATGTTTAGAGATGCGTCGGGAATCAAAACCTAGAGGTTCAATTGTAATCTGGGATAAACAGACGACGGTATCTCGAGGTAGGAAGGGAGGGAAAGTCGGGGAGCCTACTAGTAAATTGGGAGAGAGAGGGGAAACGTGAGCATGTGTATGTGGGACTTATATAAGACCGATGAACCGGGGTAGCAAGAGTGGAAATCCTTAGCGATGTAAAAAGTGGTAGTTTCGGGACGAATTCTTATAAACCAGAGGAAGCGAGGAATTTACAGAACAAGAATAGCCAGTTTCAAATCTTCAGCCAACAAGGTAGATACAAGAAGTCAATGAACAATGAAAGACCAGGATGTAGGATTTAGGTCACTTCAATTCATCGTTTCATAGTTATCAAGAGCTTGAGCTGCAGCCTAGGGTATATCGAAGCTCTTCAATTTCATCTAAAAGTCATACTAAGGTATGGCACCAGGTTTCGCATCATCTTCATCCCATCCCATCATCAAGCCATGTCCATTATACGATCGTGAAGCGACGGCAAGCTCGTCTGCTCTTAAAAGGTCAAAGCAAATCAAAAAAGAATCGAAAACATAACCCTTGTCCGCCAGAATTCATTCATCAAATGCTACGGCTTTCAAACCAGCAGAAATGCCGACTGAAGCCAAAATCCTATATTGGTACATGACGGAGCATATCTGTGGTAGTAAAGTCCAAGCACAGAATTTTCAGGGTTGGCCAAATCTCTCATTCTTTAGAAAGCTGACGCTTGCGAAGATGAGCATCCCGACGGCAGACTCCAGTCGCACAGGAATTATCGGACCAGCCCATACGAAGATCATCCATAAACCAGATTTTAGGTTGACCGCCAACGGTAAGGCTAACACGGATGACAGTAAGATCCTTGAATGCACGGCTGAGGGTAATTGGAACCAATGAACAATTTTCTAGAGCTGGACAGGCAGGAACTCTTGAAATCCCCTGTGCTACTTGTTTATTCGCCCCTGTGACGGAATCGTAGCGAAGGCCAGTAAACTTGAAAACACAGTCAGGACCTCGAGAGTCGCAACCGACGGAAGCTCCGTAGAAATTGAATCTGAAACATCCAGTTCGATCATGATCACCATTCGCAATATCACCGGCGAATCCCATATCAGCGGCATTTGGACCCGTGCTAGGATTTGAAAAATTGAGAGTGAAGTTTGGTACAAACATTGTGAGCTGTGGTGGAGAAGACGGAAGATAAGGGTCAGTTGGAGGCGGGACAACCTCAAATCCATTGGACCAGTCGAATTGGTGATAAGGACTGAATACAGGTTGTGGAGTCACTGTATTTGGGTCTTGATCTCCCACCGAAAGAGGTGGGATATCGTCGAACTAGATGTTATCAGTACTGGGTATAAAATACGAAGGATTTCGACTCACGTTCAGACCGAAGTCCCCAATCTCACCGCAGGCAGTGGCTAATGTGGAGGGAGTAGAGGATGCCGACGTAGAACTTTGATTGAGAGAAGTTACAGAAGTCGAGCTTTGAGCTGTTGGCTGTGCACTAGAAGTGGGAATGATCGTAGGTGCCACAGTGGTGGAGTTCGAGTAGTTTGAGCCAGACACTGTCGCCGTCGAGTTGGCATGACTGGCTGTTCCGGAGCTCGAGACACTGGTGACGAAGGAGCTACTGCTTGGCAACGCAGTAGTGGAGTTTAACAGAGGCAAGGTCAGCGATGGTTTTGACGTGGCAGAAACCGGTTCTGACGAGAGGGTCGAGTAATAGTGGAGACTGTACGAAGTAGTTGCTTGAGGATCAGTAAAGGAGGTATTCGAGTAGAGTGAAGTTGAAGTTGTAAGTGCATTGAAGCCGGACTGGGCAGCCATTGTAGGCAACGGAACGACTGGAACACTGGAGTAGACATCAATAGTCGGCTGGCTTGTCACAATGCTAGGATCAACTGAGACACCACCAAATCCATCCTGGGCAGCGAAGCTAGTTGGAGTGGCTAGTTTCGCCGTGAAGGTATAGTTAGATTGAGCACCAGATGATGCGGTAGGCCCAGAGTGATAGGGTCCAGCGGTTCCGTTCCATCCTCCAGGTGCAGTCAAGGCAAAGCTTGGAGCAGTTGCAGTGGAGAGTGCAGAGCCTAGAGCAGAAAGGGTACCAGTGACTGTAACATGTTGCGTGATATAGATTGTGGTTTCTCCTGAAGACACAACTGTATGTCCTTGGGGGTCTGTAGAGGTGTGAGGAACGGGCTCGACCGTCAAGGTCACAGCATCAGTCTGATAGGAGATGACATCCTCTGAGCTTGCAATATATGAAGAAGGTTGATGGGCATGGTACTCTGAGGCCGGCTGTTGAGCACCAGATACATAGACCGTGTTGGTTGGCGCGTCATGTACGGTGATGGTTGATGGCTCCGACGACAAGTAGATCGTGGTGATGCTGGGAGCAGCAGCGCAATCAACACTGGTTCAAGTTAGATCTTGGACTCAATTGAAGATAAATGTTGACTTACGATGACAGCGCGGGAGCGGCAGCCGCATTGGCAACGATACCCGCAACTGTGAAGGATGTCAAGCGCATGGTGAAGTACGTGGACACGGTTTTTGGGGAAAGAAAGTGCCTCGATCTTCAAATTGGGGGATCTAACGAATGTGGTCAAAGGAAATGGGCAGGAGGATACTTTCAAGGCGATCGTGTGGAATTGGATATTCAAATGAGCGTATGGGTGAGGAAAAGAAAGAAAAGAGGGTATGTAGAGAGGTGGTTGAAGGCAGTAGAGGAGGTGGTGGGTGGTGGATGAAGAAAGGAGATGAGAGGGAAAAAGAAGATAAATTACTTGAGACGCGGACGCGGGCAGGTCATTTCGTTTGTTGACGTCGACGTCACCCTCCACTGCGAGGAGCAGCTTCATTTTCACGGTACAAGTAGATCGGGAAGTCGAAGCGAGAAGCTGAGGCGGCCGACAAACGAAATGGAAGGAGCGACCATCACTATTACCCTCACTTACACTGACACTTACCGCAATCTTCTCGCCTTCACCATCCACGTTGAGCCTTGCATCTGCACCTTACATCGCTACCTGCGCAGGTACCCGTACCCAAATGGCATTAGCGGGCATTCTGTGAAGGTCGAGGCAAGTGCAGCTCTACAGCTCCTTCTTTTACCTCGAATACCTCTCTGAACCTTCCTCACGTACCAGTTGACAAGTCGCAAACGACAGATTGCAGGCAAGCAAAGTAGAGATTGAAGGATGATTCGTACCCAGTTGCGGTCGTAGGCTTATTCTTGAACAAGAGAGATCAAACTTGCTCGGATGCCCGCATATCAGGAATTTTCGTACTTCCCTCCAGCCACCAAGCGTTTCAGCTCAGGTACTAGGGGATACGTTTGGGAATTTGAATGGCCGGGTACATGTGGAATGAGATGTGACAAGGAAGGAAATGACGGTTGTTCACAAACTGTTTTTGGAGATGCAGTACAAGTACGAGGTGGTGTAGCCATCGTGACTTGTGCTATCTACTGGATGAATTCTTTTCTTCATTTCAAGAAGACTCTCCCCTCTCTCAAGGCCTGGCATAACCTTCGAGTGAAGTTGCTCATCCTACGACAATCGGAACCTTTTTCTAATAGCATGGAGTTGAGACTTTCTACCCTGTTCTATCATTAGCCAAGATCTTCAAGAAGAATCGGTGTTCTACCAACGTTGTGGTACAGGAAATCATCCGAAGGATCAGATGTTGCTCTTACCATGGAAAATCTCTTTGATTTTATACAAACATGGACGGGTCCTTGCTTGGTCCATTCCGCGATGTTAGGAGTATCCAAAATTCCAGTCCTCGGGTTTGGAGTGACTGGATATGAAACCATCTCTTGGATATGTATATGAATTTACCAAGTTGAAGCCTATCATGCGTACATGTAAGCTATGGTCAAGTGCTTCGTCCTGTATCTACCAGGAGATGATTCGTCAAAGAGATGGATAATTTGTTGTTTATCTGACGTCCTGATAATGTTAACACTTGTTTACTTTACGTACTCGCAAAGACCAGATGAGTGTCCCCTTCCAGATTTAGAAGAATGACACACTGAGCCATACTCAAGAATGGCCGTTGATTGCAATATTCCAAAGGGACGATGTTGTGTCAGACAAGATTGGTAGTGGCAAGGTCGTTATTCCTGTTAGCTCCTTTTTTGCTCAGCCTTTTTAGACTGGTTTGACGTAATAACTACAAGTTTAACTCCTATTGAACGAGAAAAGTGTCAGACATTCACCTTCTATTCGCGTAATCTGATTGAACCATTCCATCTATTTCACTTAGTTAGAGTAATAAAAGTAATTGACTTGAAGTTCTAGGACAATTAAAATCATTGGCCAAAAATGTTTATAACAATTTTATTATTGAAATTCACTTACGCTAGCAGCGGCGCTAACAGCGAAAAAGAACCTCTGTCACCTTTATTGTCCACTACCTGGTTAGTTACTCGAACTACTTTGGATAATTAGGCAAGAATCCGAGTTGGGTGTTTGAAATTATCGAAATGATAACTTATCCACCTCGTACCAAGGGATAAATTTTCTACCCGGTTATCGCGTCTCCTTTTCCCAACCGCGTGGGGGCGGGAAGAAGGGACGTGGAGACCCGTGGGGTATTGGGCTTCACGGCCGGAGTCCGGGAGCTAGTAGCGAGCGCCCAGGGCTGTACAGTGACGCAACGTGCTCTGGGCTTCGTCCAGCACCAAACCATCGCTGTATGCAGTTCTGGTACACCGCAAATTTTATGTCACGATGCCTCCGAACCTAAATGCAGCAGCTCTCGATCCCATCCGAAATGTTGTCAGCGCTTCTTTTCTCTATCCCTTCAAGGGGATATTGTACTTCTGTACCAAGCGAGAGTACTGGCCTCTCTTCGGTCGACGGTTAATACCTCTGACCATCCTCTCCATCGTTGTCCTCGCCCTCTTATTTACCTTTACATACTTGCCTCAGGCGGCTTTCTTACTCATATTCCATGGCCCTACGGCATGGGTTAGTGCCGTATTTCTCGTCTTGGGGGAGGGCAACCTCTTGATCGCTTTGCTCTTTGAGGGATTTCTGGTTGACGAGACTTTGGTGGATGTTTTCGACGTTTGTCACCTCCGCTCTCTCATCCACTTCCTGCGGGTGTCTGTGGTTAAAACTCATGTTGACTGATCTTTCAGGCCACCTTAATCCGCGAAGGTCAAATTGACCTCGTCTCCCCCTCCAGACTCCTCCACCACGATGCGCCCACGGCCGTGAAAATGCTCGGGAAACCCACCACGTCTGCCGTCTACTCGCCCTTCTCCTTCCGGCAGATCGCAGAGTTCATACTCTTCCTCCCGCTCAACTTGATACCCGTGATTGGTGTGCCCTTCTTCCTGGTTCTCACGGGCGCGAGAGCAGGCCCTCTACATCACTGGAGGTGGTTCAAGTTGCGAGGACTGACCAAGAAAGAAAGGAATAAAGAGATAGCGAAAAGGAAATGGAAATATACTTGGTACACTCCGTCTTCTGGCCGCTATGTCCGGGGAGATGCTGACGAAAATCCAGGTTTGGGACAATGGCCTTGCTTCTGCAGCTTGTTCCTGTCTTCTCCATGTTCTTCCTTTTGACATCGGCATGTGGCTCGGCTTTATGGGTTGTGAAGCTTGAGGAGCAGAGAAGATTGCTTGAAGAAGCTCCTAGATTGACGGATGACGGAGCACCGCCTCCTTACACTGATGATCCTATATAGATTACACTACTGACACGTGATTATGAGATTATGCAACGTTACCTATTGATGATCGTCCGAATTCATTTTTTCTTTTCGTTGTGCATGGAAGATTGTAGGCAAGCAATTGTCGTTTTGCTCTACCAGAATATCGATCATGCCCTCGGTTAATACATATCTGAAGGATATTCTATGGTTCCAACCTTAAACCTTAACAAAAGAAGACAGTATAGGCCAAGACACACAACCTTTCGCTGTCTCACGCCGGGTCAATCAAACTATATTTCTTAGAAGTATAATAATCTACTTTTTTCCGGACCTATACTGTACTAATACGGTCTTGTAACTATTTCCCTACTTTTAGTAATAAAGAGTTTAGAAATATAGGTATGTAAAATAGGGTAGAAAGAAGGTAGAAAAAGATAGGTTCTCGAGTTAGAGTAACTTCTAACTACTATACTAGGTAGCTTTTTGACTCTTGACTTATAAGATTAATCTTTTCTCTTAGTGTTTTAACTTACTCGAGTTTTTTTAGAAGAGAATTCTTGAAGTAATAAAGAAGTCTATTAGAAAGCTTAGTCATTAACTCTAAGGGGTTACTTGTATATTAAGTTAGCTCAAGAGTCCTGTTTTTCTTTTGACTTTACCTCCGTAGATAATATCTTATCTCAGGCTCGTCTAGTTGATCGACAGTCGGACTTGTCCTTTCTTATTTCCTTATTATGCTTTCTCTTCCTTGAGAAACGAAAAGCTTAGGTCACGGGATACGGGTTATTGTTCGGATGAAAGCTCTGCCGCGGCGAAAGTGGACGTACCCCCTGGAAACTCATTTGGACTTCTCGTTGCATTCTTCAACGCCTTCTAAAACTCACTTCCCAGGTGGACATTGCATCGACTTCTCCTTCCCCAGAGGTCTTCGTACCGGGAGTTGTCAGGGAAGGTTGTGGACGGAACGATGCACCAAAATGGATTCAGCCATGCTGATACTACCCTAGGCGACTAGGCGACTGCAGTGTGACCTATACCCTGCAAATAAAATTGGCACCTCTACGCGTTCCCTAACCCCCTCTGGCATCCCCTGGAGATCACGATGCATCATTGGTCCGGGGAAGCTTTTTAGAGAAGTTGGACAAGATAAGCCTGGTATTAGTGGTCCTGGGAAGAGCCGTCAAGGACAGCCGTTGCCCCTTCAGTGTTTGGCTTTGGACTTCCCTCCCCCGCATTTCTCCACGATTCATTAAGCGGGAGCCAGCGGAAGTGTCTTGCCACAAAGACCCTGAGTCTCTAATAAAGATTCTCTTAAAAGAGTTCCCATGCCCCCCCATCCGAAGTTGAGAAGCACAATCTTTGATTGAGAAGTTGCATCTTTCGTGTGTCTTCTTCCAAAGTCGATTATTGTAAAGATGGCGAGCGCTGACTATGGCGCCGAGGAGAAAAGAGCCGAAAGCATCGTTCCAAATTCTGATAAGAGTGACGATGGAGTAAACCAATTTGAAAAGAAAGCAGAACAGACGGCCCACGATGCAGCAGATGATGGGCATGCAGCTACTGATCGGTTTGTTCATTGTGCTCCTCACAAGTGGATCAGTTTTTGACAAATTACAGATATGGAGCTGCACTCGTTCACATCGATCCAATAGCCGAAAGGAAACTTACACGAAAAATCGATTTCTACGTTGTTCCTACAGTCGCCCTGTTATATCTTTTTTGCTTCATCGATCGAGCGAATATCGGTAAATAGATATACTCCACACTACTCGTATAGCTTCTGATGAACTCACAGGTAACGCCAGACTCAATAACCTCGAAAGGGACTTGGGGCTCAAGGGTGATGATTACAACAAAATCTTATCCATCTTCTACATATCATATATTCTTTTCGAGATTCCTTCGAACATGGCCTGCAAGTGGATTGGGCCCGGATGGTATCTACCTGCTATATCTCTAGGGTTTGGAATTATTTCGGTTTGCACAGCTTTTGTTCACGACATCCATCAGATCTCTGGAGTGCGCTTTCTTCTTGGTGTTTTTGAAGCGGGAATGCTACCAGGAATCGCGTACTATATGTCGAGATGGTACACCAGAAGGGAATTGGCGTTCAGATTATCTTTATATGTAGGTGCTCGATGCTCCCTTCACATGTCGATTGCCAAGGTGGAAATCGACCACCCCTCTTCAGGCTTGAATTCCAACAAGAAATATCGTGCTAACATCTTGCAGGTCGTTATGGCGCCTCTTGCCGGCGCATTCGGGGGTCTTCTTGCCTCTGGGATCTTCAAGCTCCCCCATTTCGGTGGCCTTCACACCTGGCGTATGCTATTCGCCATCGAAGGGATCATCACCACCGGCCTCGCAGTGATCTCCTTCTTCACTCTTACAGATCGACCGGCGACAGCGAAATGGCTCTCTCAAGCGGAAAAAGAAATGGCAGTCGCACGCTTAAAGATCGAGCGAGTAGGAACAACCGAAGTCCTGGATAAGTTCGACAAAGCCAAAACACTCAAAGGCATCTTCTCGCCAGTCACCCTTGCTACATCTTTTATCTTCTTGCTGGATAATATTACTGTCCAAGGACTTGCATTCTTCACGCCCACCATTGTCAGGACAATTTATCCCCGTGAGACTGTTGTTCAGCAACAACTTCATACGGTCCCTCCCTACATAGTCGGGGGATTTTTTACATTGCTCTTTCCATTTTTGAGTTCGAAGATGGATAAGCGCAATATCTTTCTTATCGTCAGTGCGCCTTTGATGATAATTGGATATATTATGTTCTTGGCCAGCGACGCTCCTACGACCCGGTACGGGGCCACCTGTAAGTTGAATTATTCCTTCACAAGCATTTCATAATTCCCTGTCCATTATATCCCCGTCATATTGGGAGTCGAGATATGTTCAAATCTCCACCCTTCACAAAAACCCAAACTAATAACCCAAAAGTCCTCATCGCCTCAGGAGCCTACTCATTCGGCGCCATCTGCAACGCCCAAGTCTCCGCCAACGTCGTCTCCGACACCGCCCGCAGCTCCGCAATCGGCACCGTCGTCATGTTCGGAAACATCGGCGGTCTAATCTCCACCTGGTCCTTCCTCCCCAACGACGGACCCAATTACCCCATCGGGAACGGCCTCAATCTCGCTACTTCTTGCACGGTGCTCCTCACTGCCATTGCGTTGTTGTTCTGGATGAAGATGGATAACCGGAAGCGCGAGAAGAGAGATGTCGATAGTGAGTTGGCGGGCTTGACGCCCGTGCAGATTCAGGATCTGGATTATAACCATCCGGCTTTTAGGTGGAAGCCCTGAGTGGGTTTTTTTGGGTGGGTGGATGGGATGAGGGATTGGGTTGGATTGAACTGGCCTTGGGCTTGGATGAGGTTTGTATATTGATGCTATTCATTGTATGGATATGAAGATCTGGAGTTTTAATGATGATACGTAATGTTAAAATCTTGGGTTGTTTCTTACTAAGTGCCATGGTACTGCGAGCCATTGAAATAAAGTCAGTCGAGGTTGTAACAAATATAATTTTGTTATGAAATCAGCTTTCGACTTACCTATTATTAGTGCAACCGGAAACTAAACTTTTCCACTATACCCCTCGATCTTTGTGTATAAGTTTTACCCTGTAGAACTAAATCATGCTCCGTATATAAAACCCTCCCCCACGCGTTTCGGTAAGCCTGTGCTCTGTTGAACGAGGTGAGATGCATGGGTGAGTGTTCCCTGGTATACAAATGGTTCACCTCACCTCGCGCTGCCGATCTCAAAACGAGGTTGCACGACCTGAGGGGTGTGAAAGGGGAAGCGAGCCGACCCCATGAGAATCAAAACCCACCCAGTGCGAAGTGGCAAGTGGCAAGCGATTGAAGTCTTGATGGGTATTGTAAATTGTGACTTGTCCTCTAGGTTTTTTTTTTCGTAATAAGATGGTTTTTAGGGAATAGGTGTATGGAGATGGAGATGAGAACCAAAATTTGTTTCCGAAGAGAGAGACGGTGCCGCCAGTCTTCCGGTACCGGTTAAAATTGCTTCTCGATGTTTTCTCCTGGTTGTCAGGGCAGGAGCGGGGGAAACAATGGATTTCTGGGAGTATCTTATTTTATCTGAGTTTAACTGGAGTAGTGTGGAGGCCACCTCGGGTGTCCCTTTTAACTTCTATATAATGGGTTTTTTTGTCGAGACTCGAGAATGTGAGAGGAAGAGGACCTATTGATACTGTATATGTAGCTTGCGTGAAGTGATAGTAATTAGTGCCCAACATAATTTGAAATTATGACAGATAGAGAGAGGCTTTAGGGCTGATGTTATATTACTGTACTAGCTAGCATACCTACAACACACGTAATACATGCTAGAGCGGGTTTACTCCTGAGCACATGGATTTACCTCCGTAGACTTGTATGTACATAGTAAATTAAAGAGATTCTGCCTGCAATTTATATACATAAGCACCGAGATCTCGTAGCTGGCAAATCTCGCTTAACCTTAAGCGAACTGAAACACAACTGACGCAATATAGGTATCCACTGTGGAAACTCGCTATTTTATAACGCTAGAGTATATTTTTTATGAAGAAAATATTTATTTTTATCCTTTGAGTTGTCTGTTCTTGGCAATTGTTTTGTTATAGTGATGTTTTCGTCTGATTTTAACATGATGTAAGGGTCCCTTGTTGTCTTGTGTAGACTAGCCTCCAGTTACAAAGACGTTTAAAAAGAAACCTCGCTCTTCAACCAAGAAGATTGCTCTAAAAACATAGCGACGTATTACTAAGCTGTTTCTGCTTTACGTTCAAATTTGTTCCAAGTAAAGTCTTGGGTACTTCTGCGTATACTCCTTCGCGAATATGTACCACGCTTTTGTCATCTCAATTCTTCTGTGCTCCGATAGTAAGGAGACACAAGCTTCAAAGTTCCCCAAGATGAGATCTCAAAGCATTCTTCCCATACTTTCCTCTATACTTAGTTTAGTAAAAGTAGATTTATAGGAAGCCACCCGTTGACACTATCAAACCATGTAAACCATTTCCCTTCTTAGATTCAGCAATTCTACCCAACACTCAACACCAAACTCTCATATCAGCTATCCAACGAACAAGTAACCAAGCATATATTACGGCGGAGCCAACACATTCTTGTGGTCGGACGGGCGGAATACCAGCGACCAAAATCATTTTCTTCAGCTGATTTTCCGGTTGTAAATCTCCAAATTCAAACTGGCTTTTCAGTCCAACTAATAATGTATGGGATGCTTCACAATATGCTTGTTGTGGTTGCGACATCGATGATGGAATAGAGAAGATGCCCATCACACGATTCAAACTACTAAACTAGCAGACTGGGAGGATGGCAATCCACTTACTGACGAGGGCTTGGGTGATGTTGTAAGTCCATCCTCCAATAACAATTTGCTTCCTTCCCAATCCCATCTCCCCTATGTGTAAAGCACAAGTCTAACGAGCGGGAGGAGAGAAAAGAAACTTTGTCCCTGTAAATATAATCCAACTCGTTTTTATATCACATACATCATACACAGAGATCAAGACGATGAATCAATTGGCGTCCGAGACGACCACGGATACTGAGATCATACTCCTGCAAATAAGGCTGATGTGTGGGGTCCTTATTCTGCACCACCGGACGTAACACAAGGTATTCAAATTTTCCGTTGTGTAACACAGTTGAGGATACTTATTGCCAAGAAGAGAAGATCAGTAGAGAAACGGCTTGTCTCTTAGGCTGGCATATGAATTAATTCTGTAAGTATCTCTGCTAGTTGGGATTTCCTATTTGGGTGGTATTTGTCAATGGTAGCACCTATGATTCTGGATAGGTTAGGATCTTGGGCAGGTCGTTTAGGTATTTCGGTGTGAATATGGCTAACGGAATGGGTAGTTCTACGTAGTCAAAATAAGCCTTACATCTTCCACAAAAAGGAACGGTGAATGTAACTCTGAAATAAACTGTAGGTCTCAACTCAGCTTTTGGATTGAGGCTTTGATACAAGTGTTTCATGGGCTTTTGAGAGAGCAGTAGAATATTCTGTTTCTGGGGCTGTAAACGAGGTTGAGCCCTGATCCGCTTGATTATACGATACTGGTAGGTGTTCGATTTAACTAGTACTTTAAAGAATATTTGTTTTGGTACGGAAACAGACTAGATTCCTTTCTGGCCCCACTAATGATGGGAGTCTGGCGAGGTGGTTGGTCGAGAAATTGTGGTTGAATTGCTTATTGCATGCAAAATGGCTTGGGACGTGTCTTTCTTTATCGCCGGGGCGTTATGAATTTAGTTAGGGGAAACACCGATCTGAGCCAGCAACAAATATGAGCTCGTGGTTTTCTTGTGATGCCCACTGTAACCGAAGACCCAGTGAGGATAGGCGAACGACATCCATCCTTCATGGTAATTGTTGAATAAAAACTTGAACGAAGGTTATAGAGGGCAGAGGTATGTTGACATACTGTGCGAGCAGCAGGAGAGAGCAGATTTAAGCTCGACAAAAGAAGCTGAAAGAGGTCCTTACTTAATTGGTTATTTTTGCGCAGCAAACGAAGAAAGTAACCGTGTCGCACTTGACTTGGGGGCCGTTCGGCCCCTCGGCGGCGCTTTTTGTACGTGAAACTTATACGCCATATCCAATCATCATCAGCAGTGCTGATTTGAGACTGCGGATTTCAGATAATTTCCATGGCTGTCTCGAAATCTCTTAGTGAGATTAAGAGGCTCAGCATGAAGATCCTTCCGCCACTAACTATACTTGGAATTTGGCGAGGGGCACCTTACCCACGCCGTATTTCCATTACAAAGCTGATACCATTCCTTCTATGTCCTGCCGTCTGTACATCTGCTCAACTTTTCATTGAACCTTGAAATTCTTGTTTCATTTTGTCAATTTGTTTCATACCTTTTTTTTGGTGGATATTTCTCTAGCTTTGCAGTCAGACTGAGAACTGGTTAGGAGGCAGATTAAAAAGAAGACGAAGCGAAATTTAGGTCTTATTCGACGAGTTGTAAAATGAATAACCAATCGCATTACAGCACGCTGGAGCCGGTTGTAGGGCATTCGAATCAACCCGGGTTGGAAGCCACTGCGGATCATATACCAAGCGATGTACTGCACAAAAACGAGTACGATAACTTCCCAATCGAGGGCACGGCAGGGAAAGATGAGAAAAAGATATTTGGTCTAAAGAGGAGATTATTTTTCATTGTTGCTGGTTTACTCGCTCTTCTTGTCGTTGGTGCAATCGTAGGAGGAGTAGTAGGAGGTACAAGACCGAAGAGCAAGGCAAAATCCAATCCAGAAACCTCAGAGCCAACGCCAACTCCATCGACACAACCTCCTACCGCAAACAACACCGCGCCACCATCAGAATCGAATTTGATGGAAGGCTCGCAGTTGGCATCAGTAAGCATAGAAGTCGTGAAAATTATCTAACTAAGCTAACATTAGGAAGGCAAACTGGACAGATAGCAAAAAGAATCAACACCACGCAGTATTTTATCAAAATAAAACGGGAGGGTTGATGGCATCACTCTGGGACTCACAGAATCAGTCATGGGTGTCTTCAACCGTGTCCATACCAACTCTTCAAATCGACCCTGTTTTAAATGGTACCGCAATTGCAGCTGACGTCAAGAACCATGACTTTCAGCTTAACGTCTATTTCTACACCACCACGCATAAGATTGTCGAATTCTATACAAAGGACCAACAGGCTCGGACTTGGTCAGAGGGGACTTTGACCGATAAAGCCCACGAAGGACATGCTGGCTCTAAACTCGCTGCATACTTTCAGAAGTGCGACTCTCCAAAGTGTTCCAATGCCACAGTTCTCACTTACCAGGATCCCAACCAAAATGTTCGATATGCGAATTCCTCGGATTGGTCAAAAGTTGGGTATGTGTTCAAAGATAAGGTGGCACCAGGGACAGGATTGGCTTTAATGCCGCTCGGAGATGGGATTTTGAAATTATATGCTGAAACAGATCAAATCACCCAAGAATCAACGAAGAATGGGATTTCAGCATGGCAGGCAGGTATGTAACGGTGGTTTCTCGTATCATTATGCTGGTAAATATCTTGATTAGCGCTGACCTATCTCTATGTTATAGTCACTTCATTGGTAACGAAAACCGAAGTGGCTAAACAGTTTTCCGCCATCCCAATAAAAAACAGAAATCAAGTTTTCGGCGATATCTTCGTCACATCACTTTTTCCGAATGGTACGGTATCAGGTCAATGGTGCCAAGATAGCAAGTGGGGTAGTACATCGCTACCTAGAATCAGCGGATCCGAAACAAGAAATTTCACAGCTATTGCTACGAACCAGGACCAGCGATTTTATGGTATCTCAGGAGGACAGATTCATGAATACACGATCGATGGGCAGATTCCACTGAACTGGAATTACAATGGTGTCATACTGTCATGAGCCTATTTTTGAATTGGATCGAGATGTTTATTAGATGTTGTGATGGATACCCCCTTTTTTGTATATTAGATTAATTTTGACGGCCGAGGAACGACGAGTCGACGACGACATATAATTAGAGAGAGTAGTGTTTGATTTTGGAGCTTGAATGTAAATGAAACAATTCTATTGTTTGTGGATAGGCTCGTGATACCTCGGGGTTTTCGGATCCTTAAGTGAAGAGTATCTCGGTGCGGTGACATTCGCGGGGCGAGAATCTCGCTAAGCGAGAAGGATCCAGTTTCAAGTGAAAAGAGGTGGTGGGGCTCGAATACCAACCAGCATTGATACCCCGTAAATAAACCAAAGGTGTTCGGTTGTTACTAATGAAGGCTACCAATCATGGCTGCTATGGGGAACTATACAAGGATCTACTGGTAAGGACTGATTCAGCCACTTTGCGGCGCTGCCGAATTACGATCCAGCCACTCAGCCCTGCTTACTGCGCCTTAATGTGACTAAATATCACCCCCAACTACTGTATCCCAATGACTCCAAATATCAAATCGCAGGTATCATTTCAACACCGGTAACACATCATCATCTTTCAAAATGTCCTTCAATGACCCTTTTTTCGATCAATTCAGACATGACAAAGATCCAGAATGCTTGAATCGCGCTCGATTTATGAACACACCATTTCCACTACCATTAGCAGCAATGCTCTTTCTAAGCATAGTTGTCATTTGTGTTACCCAGTATATGCGCTCGATTACCCCAGGAGTAACATACATTCCTTTCTTGAACAATGTGGGACGACTTTCGATAAAACAATACGATCCTCTAGCAACTCAAAACTTCCTAGGAAACGAAAATGAAGCCAGGTACAGAGAATCAGGTGAGGAAGAAGAGCTTCACAACGAAGAAGGCAGACCACCTCCCTACCACGAGTCCCTAGAGCCAAATACCAATTCCACTCAAGTAAAACCAACCAAACCTCGAAGTTCAGCAGAACTTTTCGTCATAGGTACAGCCTGTCTATTAGTCATAATTTTCTGTCTCGTCACCATAGCATTCGCAACTCAAGCCACAATATTTTGTCAGGATTGGTCGCCGTTATCAGTCGGTCTCCAGGTGTTCTTTTGGTTCTTCTATCTCATTCCGCTCCTAACTTCTACCCAAGCATTTGGATGTTGGACTATGCTTTTGAGAGACTTGTGGGGTCTGGCTGCTAGGAAAAAGTATCCTGTTTCAGAAAATTGGGTGTTCATACCCTTTGGTATAATAGGGAGGGGAGTGGTAATGATCGTTGAGAAATGCCAGGAGCGTCTATGCGGTGCCGGCATAAATGGAGATGACATCGAAGTGATTGGCCTCGAGGATGGCCCAAGAGAAGATATTATAGCGGAGAATGTTGGGTTGATGAGTGGTGCAGGAAAACGATCAAGAACATAGTTTCTGTAGTTGAGATGTAATAGTCGAATTTTAGGAAATGTTGTGATACATCCTACTTTCTTTAAAGTGAGCCAATTACGCGTAGCGCAGATCTACCTCATCTGTCTCTCCTATAAGATCAAAGACCGCTAAGGCTAAACATAGACCCTTGTACCTACACAGAATACGGAGTATAGACAAGCCATAATCGTCTGATTTTCGAGAATAAATAAGGAGATTTTACTTCTATTACTGAGCTTCTGAGTTGGAAAGTTTTCGTCGGGAATACGAAGAAAGCGATTATTGCTTGCTTATAGATAGGCCCAGTCTCAGGAGTCTCTAGAGACCCCTCCCGTGCAGCTTGTCTACATCAAACGCCTACTCTACTAAGGTACATACTCCCCACAATTCAAGCTTCTCCATTGGCTATAACTAATGAAATGACCTCTGAGCGATTTTGCAACTGTAGATAATAAATCTACTCGGAGCTTGCGATATATAATTACAACAACAACTTCAAGCAGCCATCCAACCAACCAAAGAATAAAAGGAATCGTTTGATCGCTATCGGATTTTCTCACCCCTCAAGTAGCTCCCCTTCACCCTGACCAAATAACTTAAAACTCTTCCACCATCAAAATGACTTGATGACCACGATTAGCAAAGAATCAAAGATCAAGTACCATTCCTTGCAACTCTCCTCACAAGAGCGTCAAATATTACGAATCCTTCCATACAACCCTCATTGCCTCGTTGCCTCGCAGCTATTCATTGGCCCCACCTCGCTTACCGCGGTACCCACCCATCCTCCCGAGGTTTCCCCTTCACAACCACAAATAAGACATCAGGCTTACGCATGCAACCTGATGTACCAATCACGTTCGCATTGCAACTGGGAAAGCGCCGATGACAAGGCACAAAATTGTGACCCCGTGGCCTATCGGAGCGAAGTAATAAACACGGGTAGTAATAGTGTTTGTGTTTCCATAAGATCCTTGTGCAGTTCTTGTATGGCTGGTAATTAAGTTTTCGCAATATTTTTTTGTTGTTTCTTTTTCTTTTTCGCTGGTTTTGTGTCGTGCTCTCTTTTGGGAGTAGCTTTGGCTGTGAGGTACTGAGTCCAGGTGAATGGACGCGTCGCTTGCTTGACCACATGACTTTGCTAGCGAAGCACGTTCGCGATGGTGAGTCTTCCTTATCTCCTGGACTGCCCAAGGGGTTTCCAACAGGGAATTAGCACCCCGTCATTTTTCACACCAAAATAGCCGTGCACGCTCTTGATCTATGTGAAAAGACCCCCGGTGGTGCAGGGAATATACGTACCCATACTCAAATTTCAAACTTTAAGTGAGTAAACAGAAAAACTCGCTTAGCACGCCAGACCTCACATTACCGCACCATCCCAACATCTGCGATAACTCACCACACACATCACCGAGCCCCGCCCCCTCATAGATACCACCTCGGTGACATGATTCCTCACTAACTGCACCAGTCAGCAACCTTCCCTTATTTCGCGATCCAAGGCGATCGGTCGAGGGGCATGGTGCAAATTCCCAACTCCCCCATTCCGCTCATCATGTCAACACCTTCTCCCACTACTCATAACCTCATATTTGAATGCCATCGATTATAATATGAGCGTAGTTGTCGCAGAAACGCTAATTATGATAGGGTTATCCAAGTGTGTCGAATACAAGAGAATGGAGGGTGTAAGTAGGGCGTCACGACGTTTTCAAGTATTATATCAAAGTCTCGGCAACTACCGATGATTGCAGGATATGAGGAGTAAAAAGTAAGCGATATGGAGGTTATTAACGCGAGGGTTTGGGAAGGCGTGTGCTCGAGTTTTTTGGGGCACTGTAGTAGACCTACGAAAGTGCATCGATAGGGGTTACGTATAAACAAAAAGATATCGAAGCTACTCAGAGATTACATAACACAAACAGTAATCTTACAGTAATCTGAATAGGATTTCTCTTGGTACTCGCTGCCTATTAATTTGAAAGCTTCTAATCTCAACACCACAAGAGCCCCATCATCATCATCGTACAATTCCCAGAACCCAAGAGAAGTCACTTACTCGCACAATATCAATATCTCACTCAATTTGCACGTCAAAAGTCCAAGTAACCCACAACCCATCATGCGGAGCATCTCGACCTCAGAGATACCTTATTAGCTAACCCTCGGTCCTCAAATAACCCAAGGCCATCATATCGACACCCCTTGATTACCCTCTCATTCCCAGGAGCCCACACTATCTACACTACCTACCTACCTACCTCCCCTCCTCACAACCAACATCTGCAAAAACTCAAAATCCAACAAGCCCCAACAACCTGAACAGACCCCCACCAACCAAGGCAACATGCTGAAAATTCCCAAGATCAAGATGAAGATCAAGATAGCGCAGGTGGGAATCGGGATATAAAGTCACAAATTATATCCTTACCTATAGGTATCTTACCCAAGTGAGCGATCACGAAATCTACCCATTGCATACTATAATCATCCCTCGTCGCCTTGAGATGACCAATCCAAGATATGCTACAGTCACATCGTACTTTCCTTTCTTATTCTCACCTTACCTCACGCCGTGACGACCCTGACACAGACCCGAGTTTGGAAAGGCAGGTACGAACAACCGGAAGGCCTTACCCACGAAAACACAATACCTCTTCTCCCTCCCGTCAGAACGGGCGACATGTATGTCTTAGCAAGAAGATAGTATACAAACAATGAACCAGTGGAGAGGAGCAATAGAGAAAAAAATACATTAACTAGGAAATATGGTATTGTCAGCCCACGCTATGTACGCATCACCAAGCGACCTACCAACAGGCCGCTACACAGAAGAAGAAAAAGGGAGAATCAGAAATCAGAATCAACGCCTTCAATCCATCCATCTTCCCATACAATACAAGTTTACCGACCGTATCCAAATATACAGCCAATTGACTGAATCTAATCGCGCACCCACTCCACTACTCCTTACTGGGTATCTATCGGTCTGTGATATCAGCGAACACCTATGTATCGCCTGATCATCCAACCACACCCTCAGCAGGCGACTCGACAATCGGAACCTGAACACTCTCAGCCTTGACCGCACCTAGAGCACCCTTTTTCCTCCTGACAGATTCTTTGAGAACCTTCAATTTCTCTTCCGTGACCTTAATCGCAGCATCAATCTCCCTTTCATCCATCTTCTCACTCCTCAATCTCTCCTCGGTAGTCTTCGCTTCAATTGGCATCTTTGAGATATCTCTCAGTCTTCCACTGCCTACTCGATCCTCAAGCCACTCCCATAGCTCACTCTCTTCCCTTCGCCACATTTCTTCGTAAGCAGCTACCCGTTCCGGCGTACTAAGAAATCCCATATTGGAACTTGTCGCGTTTCCTCGGCCAGTAAACCCATACCGAAACCAGCTGGCAACCAGTAGACCGACCAGCAGACCGTAGAGGATGTTGCCAGTAAGTAATGGACCCAGAATATCCACGACGGGTCCGAAGATTCCATGCAACGGCTCAAACAGGCCCCAGCTGTCCGCTGTTGGTTTGGGATCAGCGGCGCCATCGGTGGTTTTGTTAAGATTTCTCGACTCGCGGCTTTTCCGTCCTTTTTTCTTGCCTTTGCCTCCTGTCGTGGCGGTTGGACGGCGTGAAGAGACACCAGCTTTCAACGCCGCAAGGAGATCTTTAGCATATTGAGTTTGTCCATCATTGGTTCCTTTTTCAATAGGACCTAATGTTTTGTCAGTAAACATTCCATCATCCGACAGCCAGAGAAAAGTTAGTACCTTTAAGCCAACTTTTTCCAGTCCACTCAATGATGCAATTGATCTGGATTCTGGTGGCGTTGTTCTCAGCCCACGTAAGACAATACCTCGTTTTGACACTGAAAACATTGCCACTAGGCACATCAGGATTTTGAGTCGACACAGTGACGGAGACAGCCCTTTCCAAGTCCAATGCGTCCAAAGTTTCCATGTTTATACATTTGGTCTGCTTGGGACCAATAGCACCAGACAAAGGCTTAATATACGTGTAATTTCGAACTTTGTTGTCTAAAGAGAGAGGCTGCGCATTTGTCCCCTCCATCGTCAGTTCGAAACACTTTTGGTCTACGGTAAGGAAGTTCTTCATCCATATGGATCCTGGACCAAACATCATACTGTATATCTTGCCAAGAGGGGCAGGAACGACTTCATCGGCAAGAACTTTAGGGAAATGAGCAGCCTGATCAGCACATGACGTAGGACCATGGGTGGCAGGACCAGGAAAGTCGCCAACGGGGGCGGCTGGAGTGTCGTCTTTGGATTTTTCAGCAGGACCGTTGAGCACAACTGCTCCGGAAGCCTTCCGGCTTACAACCTTTTCTGCAACTTCGCTGCCGGCAACACTTCCCTCCGCTTGCTCAAAACTCATACCATCCTCGTCTTCTTCATCTTCATCATAGACCTCGTCCCCGTCTTCATCAGATTCAGAATCAGACCCACTCTGGCTTGCTGCAACAACAGGAGCATCTCCGTCATATTTCTCCGTTTTGTCACCACCACCAGTCTCCTCTATACTCACTCCATTGAGAGAACTTCGCAAGCTGGGATGCCCAAGTTTCCAAATGCCAACTATCAAGTCGTAGGTAGAGTCTCGGCTGGTAAAACTGGCAAACACGTTCTTTGCATGTAAAGTAGATATCATGAGTCCATTCTTGAACAACAAGGCAGTACTTCGTTTTTCCACCGAGACAATTTCGTCGAAGCTCATCACTAAGGTTGTGACCCATCCAAAAATGTTGCTGTAAAAGCATAGATGGCCTTCGGAGACGTATAAGCGCCCATGAGCAAGGATTTCTCGTTGCAAAGCGCAGCTGTAGTCTTCAATCAAATAATCATCTTCCGGCACACTTCTGAAAAGATTGTGGAAGTCCCGGTTTCTCTTTTTGCTTGCGACGGCGAAGCCGGTGACTTTTGGGGTAGTGCTACCACCAGGACTGGTCAAAGATGAATGCGATGCTACGATGGCGGCCCCAATGGTTGTACCGGTCGCGGCAGAGCTGCCTCGCTTCCTGCGAGTACCATATCCTGCGCTCCTAACACTGCCACTGCGGTGAACAGCACCTCTACCCTCAAATACACTGCCATTAGGCGGAGTTCGATCTCCGGCGGAAGGATCATAATTTGAACGCGGGGCACTGACTGTAGTATCTTCTATAACCGGTGCCGATGTATGGTCAAGGGGCTCGGCTGCAGATACGGGTGCCGTCGAGGGCCTTCCAAATGAATCCTCGGTTGACAAGTCATTCTTGAACTTGTTGTCCTCGGGGCGTTTACGAGCATCATCTGGGAATTTTGAGGCAATCGGGGTAGTTGATGCACTGGCCGTCTCTGTAATGCCAAGATGGCTTAGGCTGAGGTCCCCCATACCTAAGGTCTTTACTGCCAACTCCTTCTCCCCTTCTGCGGTACTCGAATTCGTCTTATCCGCCAGTGTTTCAACCTCTGGACTTTCCACGATATCCTTCAATTCTTGTGTGCTGCCACCTTTGTTCTTGTTCCCGTTTGGCGCAACCGAGGTGTTGGCGATACTGTTGCTCAGTGTGTTCGCAGCGTTTTGGGCAGCAGAAAAGACGGTGGAAAAAAACCCTCCTTGACCTGGGGCTGGGGTTATTGCAGCGTCCTCAAATGTTGGTGTAAGAGGTGCAGATGTGATATTCGATAGTTTGCTGGGGCCTAGAGCAGCAGAGTTTGATCTTACTCTTCGATGTGATATCATGTTCCCCGAGGGGGAAATCACCACATCTGGGCTGGATGGAACAGGATCAGAATCGCGCCTATCTCGAGTCGCGAAGCGGCGTGCTTGTTCGTCAGTTGGTGTTGGGGGAGTGTTAACAATTAATGGGGCTGCCTTGTCTCCCGGGGGCGGTGTTTGTGGCCTCGCATTCGTGTCTATTGGCTGAGGTCTTGAATTGCGTCGTGGCCGCTCAGGCGAGGAATTAACGGATCCTACTTGTTGGCCTTGTTTCTCAAAAATTCTCGAGACTACACTTCCACTCCCACGTCTATTATGCCCAGTATTATTATTATCTTTGTCTTGTACTGCCGGGAGTCCAGCGTTGCCAGCGTTTCGTTCCGGACTTCGATTGGGACTAGGATTGGGACTAGCTCCCCTCCGCCCAGTCAATTTCTCCTTCAATCTGCCGACGGGTGAGGGCGATCGCTTTTGTGGTTTAAAAGGGGCTTGGAGCTTGTCAGAGGCTGAAGCGGTTGAGTCTGAGGCAGCCACGATGTTAATCGAATCCGCCGACTTGGAGGTGGTACCGTCGAAAGTATGGATGTGTGACGTCTCGGGGATTATGGAGCTCTGCACCAGGGGTGACGACGTGGTCAGATACCCAGCGTGGGATGGGTGTGTTGACAGCGGCGGTGGTGTTTCGAAGGGTCTGTGAAATCAAAACGATCGAATTAGAGGGAGCGTTCAATTAGTACACGCCACTTTGTGAAGGATTAACGATGCACACTGGTCAGGCTGGTCCAAGCAAAAGTTGCAGATGCAATTATGACGCCAGCACGAGTACACGAGTTGGGTATACTTGTACGAGAAGTGGTATAAAGAGCATATGGAGTACGCAGAAGCATGGACCTGGAGTTTGTACGAAGTAAAGGGTGAAAAGCTGGAGGGGAACCAAAAGCTGAGCTGTGCTGTCATGTCTTGGCTAGCTTCCGCGACAACTTCACCAAGTGCAGCAAATTACTGTAGCTACAGTGCCATGACACTGCAGCAGGATGACCACCGCAGCGCCAGGCATTGCAAGGCATCACCGCATCGCAGTGCAGGGCAACTTGCATTGCAGTACGTTCAGTATACGAGTACAGCACAGCCACTGGGAAAAGAAAGGAGCAAAAGCAAGACAATGGCAAATGAAAGAGACACGAGAACTTACGACTCTGGATCCGAGTCGATTGTGATCAAGCTGTTCTTGGAAAGATTATAATTGCCCAACTCGTCGACATCGTCCTGGCTCAAGGTCAGACTTTTGTCACTGTCGTTGGCCAGCCTCCCACGATTCGCAATGCTTCGACCTCGCTCCGCCTCTGCCTCCTCGGTCGCAGACGCCTCTGATTGCTTTCGTCGTCGTCGCTTCGACACAAGCCCTTTGGGGATGAGCTTTTTAATGCCTCCCGCCGATTGATCAGGATCATGACTATCATCGTCCTCATCCGATCCCGTACTACCTTTCAGCCTTTCGATCGCACCCTCCACGGAACCTCGGACGCCATGGCTCTGGTGGCTGTTGTCGCTTGTCTCGCTCTTGAGGGAGTTCGCAGCGCTCCTTCGCTCGCGCGTCCTGGCCTTGAATAACTTGGTCACTCGTGATGGGGGCGATGGAGACCGTTCCGACATGATGATGTCCACTCGGGTATGTGATCGCGTAGATAATCAGGAAGCTATCGATAGGAGGGCGAAAGTTTAATGATCATTCGGGTGCGAATCGGCGCATGTTGGAGGAGGGGTGTATTCCGCAGATTCCGCGACTTGGTCTGCGTGTTGGAATGATCGAAGTGTCGAATAGTGAATGTGAATGTGAGTTTGGGGTGAACGATCCGAAGTGCAAGTGCAACCTCAAACTCAAGTTCTTGGGAGTATGGTTGATCGCCAGGCCGCAATTATGTGGAAGGCGGGTTGAAGCTTCTTTGAGAAGTATTGTACCGCGTACGGCACCTGCACCTGCACCCGCACCTGCTGCGGCACATGAACTGGATAGCGACGATGGTTTGAATTGTTTGCTATGAAAGAAGTTTGAGAGAAGGCAAAGCGAGTCGTGGTCGTGGCAACCTGAGTCTAAGTACTCCGTACAGCAACGGAGATCAGAGTGATGGGATTCCAAGAGTTACATGCAAATCCTATGCCCACTCGGTCTGCCTATGGAGATTCGTGTACTCGTACCATATTCCGTCCCCGTCCCCGTCCCCGTCCCCGTACCCCCAGGCCAGGACAGTGGCGCCTTCCTACATCATCGTCATGTTCCCCAGATTCTCTCTCACCTCAAGGTGATGACGCAACGCACTTTCCACGACCAATCCTCCTCTTGCTCCTCACGCTCCTTCACCTGCTCCGTAGAGTAGGACCCGTTTCCTTTGTACGAGGACGAGTACCGTATATCAATACAAACCATAGGTACAAGTCTACTACGAGCATGACTCTCATATAAATACTTCCTTCCTGAACCTGTAATCACTCACATCTGTCCTGGACCATAATCAATACAAGTGGTACAACCACTCCAACATGCCACAAACTGTTCCAAGTTTTTTCGAAAAGTCTCCTATCGGAGTCGGAATCGGAATCGGTGCTGGAACCGGGATCGTAGTCGGAGCTGTAAACCTTATCACTTATCGGGTGGTCCGTCTGATAAGCGGACACAGCTGGACACACCAGACATAAACACGGTCGTGGCAAGCGAAAACTGCCCGAGACCAACTCTACCACGTATACTCGAATTCTAGCTAATTAGACGCCAGGAATGCTCAGTGATATATGCCCAGGCAATGCGCAATCCTATATGTATATCCTTTTCACATATCTCTATCTACCTAGAATACGACAAATCTAAGTAGGAAAAGCGCCAATTTTCTACTATACTTCCGTACTACAACCCTTTCTCTTATATATATAAAAGGGGTATTTATCTAGCATACTCGGGTTAGGGTTAGGGCCAGTGGTTAGTAGAATATGAATAGAAAATGCCTTTTTTTTTATAACAAATGTACTTGGAATACGCTTTAATTCGAGGGATACTTCTAGGGACGAATATAATTTTGTTGTGCTGGGTCTACTTTCTCTTTTGCTCCACTTCCTTATTTGATCCACTTATAGTTCTGCTGCCTAAATGCTTCATGTCTGCCTAGACCTTACACTCTTTATATAAACACCTTAGATAGCTAGCTACCTTTTACAATGTAATCAATTCTCCATGACCTTCAGTACCCAATACCCTTTCAACCCAATAAATTTGAATGTAATTTAATTCAAAGGACGAATACACTTTGAATACACTTTACCGTAGTAAATCGATGTTAAAAGAATGCTAGGGTGGGTGAGTGGAGTACTGAGACGTTGGCAAGACTACTTTTGGGCTATTCAGAGAACAGCCTTCTACGGGTCGCAAGGTAGAAAAGTCCGATAACAAGAAGATCCCGTTGATCGAAATCATCTACGTATGAGAAGACGGATTCTGACGAGTAGGAGCCTCTAATTCACACTACGCCGCACTACTCCGTACTCCACTCGCCTACCCCAGCATTTCTTTCAACATCGATTTATTACGGTAATTCAAGGGACGAGTATACTTCGAATACACTTTAATTCAAGGGACGAATATCCCTTACTCTGATTTTCACTTACCGGTAGGTAGATCGCTTAATTTTGTATAGCTAGTAGTATCCCGCCAGTTTGATTGGCGAGAGTACTCGGACCAAACCCTTTTCAGCATTCTGTCTACCGGTAGTGAAAATTTACAGAGTAAAGGATACTTCGAATACACTTTAAATCGAGGGCCGAATATACTTCGAATACACTTTAATTCGAGGGCCGAATGTACTTCGAATACACTTTAATTCGAGGGACAAATACACTTCGAATACACTTCAATTTAAGGGACAAATCCAGGGTACTTCTAGCTAATAGAACTAGGGATAGAAAAGCGCGTAGTTATAGACACTTCGTAAAACTACTACGCGAAAGTTGCTATTATAATATCGATCGGTAGCCTTGTTCCCAACCTACAATTAAGCGATCATTTCTATTAAAAAACATCACATTTGTAGTGTGTAGTTATTTAATAATTAATTATAATAGCGGAGGTCGAGCTACTATTTTTTAATAGGGTGCCGAGCAGCTGCCTAGCGCCGATTGCCACCAACCCCCCCCCGATATATGCTCTACATCTCACCTGGTGTGGCTAAAAAAAGTAAACTGGTCTGTGCTACTATACTATGAGCTTCTGTCATCACCACAACATCACCATCATACTTCGTAAGCCACTTGCACACACCACAGACCATCCCAAGGAATTTCACCTTTAGAGTTCAAACCTACTCCGCATAATCTCTTCCAACTCCATTTCTCCTACCCAACCAGACGAGCCACCACGGTCCACTTTACTGGCGCTTCGTCTTTCACACCCAATCCCAAGGAAATCCCTAGACATGCCCAAGACATTTCCAAAAACTGGAGTCTGTAGGCATCGTCACCATCACTTGGGATCCTGAATTTTCTCCGCACAGCAATTCTCCGTACTCCTTACCACGGGATTCATCCCCATTCTGAATCATGAACTCCCATTTTCTAACCTATCTATCACCACTACTACGACAGCATTTACTAAGACAGGTCCAATCCCAACGTTTTCTCTACATTCTTTGCCATGGCGGGCCCATTTCAGAATTCCGAACTTGACCCCATTCTTGGTGGGGCTTCATCTTTGCCAACCGAGCACCGGCCATCCTCCACTACTTACGGGTAAGCCTACTGTAAGGTAGCGTACTCGTAGTCGTACTTGTAATTACTCACCCAGGTTAGCTTACCCAGGTCGTCTCGTCTTCCCAAATGCTCCATATATGAAGTACTTTCTTAGCTACTTCGTACCTGCATCGGCAGTGCAGATGACTATCAACATGTAAGTGTCTGGCTAGATGCTGTGCAGTGCAGTAGAGAGAAACGGCGGGACGAGTCGTAGCGTCGCTAGTAGTCGTGACGTTTAGACGTTAGGTGGATATTTGCTCGCTTGTACAGGCATTCGAACGTCGATACTGCAATTAAGGTTTATGTCGAATGCGGCTCTTCCTCCGTCCAAAGTACTTGTACCTGGATATCTCAATCAAAGTCTCGTACCCTCCACTTTCATATACGGGCACATAACCCAGTCAAGTACAAGCCTTCAAGTCGCGCACGTTCAATCACAAAAGTCCACCAAGCCGGTGGAATTCAGCAAGTGGGAAGCTTGTCATTTTTGGTTGGTTGTCGTTGCTTCATACATCCATTACAGAAGGATCGGCTCAAACCCTTTTTCGAAAGAACCATGTGTGAGTCCGAAGAAATTAGTTGCGGTAGTAACGGTACCTGCCTCCTCCTATTTTAGCCCCATCTCCGATTTCGTACTTAGTTACGACTACCCCAATCATGTTAGCCTTTTCCTTGTCGTGTCTATTAGATGCTCTCAGTGTCCCTCGTCGAGTTTCTGTGCTTTTCCAAGCTTTGGTCCCAAGATGATTTTCCCCATTGTCCTCTCGTTACTCGTATCATCCACTGTTGCATCATTATACGATCCAAATGCTGTTGCTTGTCCTTCTGAGTCTCTGGTAAGAGATGCAAGAGGATTGTCGAATAAGGAAGAGGAATACAGAGTGAAACGAAAGGCTACAGCGGATGTGTATCTGAAGGCATGGCTGAGAAAAACACACCGAGAATTCAGTACCTCTGGAGAACTTCCCACTGTCAGTCGTCTCACTCAATAACTAAATGCATAACTAATGTGAATAGATTGCCTTGGCAAGCAGTGGTGGTAGTTACAGATCTATGCTTGCTGGTGCTGGCGTGGTCCAAGGATTGGATGCAAGAGACTCCAACGTCAGTACCAGTGGCTTGTTTCAAGCATTGACATATCACGCTGGCATTTCTGGAGGTAGTTGGTTGTTATCATCCCTTGCTGGAAACAACTACCCCACCATAAGTTCTCTCAGAGATGGACTCTGGGCCCCTGCTCTCGCCAACACCCTTCTACTTCCCGGAGGTGCTTCCTTCGCAGGGAATATCATCAACATCATCCACGACATGGTCTCAAAAGAAGCTGCAGGGTACGATACCACTATCGTAGACTTATGGGGTCGTCTCCTCTCTTATCAACTTCTTTCAGGCCCCAGTGGAGGAGCGGCCAAGACTCTCTCTGGAATAGCTTCTTCCAACAGCTTTATCTCACATGAAGTCCCTTACCCTATCATAACAGCCATTGGCGCCAGAGTCTGGGACGGCGAGTGCGTCCCAGAATTTAATGGAACAAGTTATGAATTCTCCCCATATGAATTCGGATCCTGGGACAAGGACGTAAGTGCTTTCACGCCCACTCAATACCTAGGAACCTCGCTCCGAGGGGGGAAACCAAGTACTCAAACTTGCACCACCAATTACGACAACCTAGGCTATATCTTCGGAACCAGCTCAAATATCTTCCCCGCCCTCTGTAAAAACTTCCCCACATTGGGCGACGGTGTGGATCTGGCTTTCAAGGCGGAAGCCTTGCTCAATCAGATCCACCAAATCGTAACACAGGAAAAATACGCACACTACAAGAATCCCTTCTACGAATACAAGTCCGAGACTCAAACGTTCAACTCAGCCAACAACGTCTCCGCCCACGAACAACTCTCCTTGGCCGACGGTGGAATCACCGAACAAAACGTTCCTATCCTCCCCTTCCTCCAACCAGCACGAAACGTCAGCGTCATCATCGCAAATGACAATTCAGGCGATACCGAAGATAACTGGCCCAACGGACTCTCTCTATACATCACCTACATGGAATCCGCCGCCCTGGGTCTCGACCGCATGCCGTTCATTCCTCCACCCGACGAATTCATCGCCAAGGGCCTGAACAAGAAAGCTGTCTTCTTCGGCTGCGAGGACATGAAGAAAGTCACGATTGTGTACCTCCCAAACCGCAATTGGACGACGGAGAGCAACGTCTCAACCACGGATATGCAGTACAGCTACCAGGACACGGCGGCGCTCATTGAGAATGGGCTTAGTATCGTGACCCAAGGGAAAGATGATGAGTGGGGAGTCTGCATGGGCTGTGCGATCATGGGGAAGAGTACTACGGCGAACAAATTGCCGAGGGAATGTAAGAGTTGTTTTGAGGAGTTTTGTTATGTGGCTGGGGTTTAGGGGACTTGAACTTGAACTTGCATATAGAGTTGGTGGCACTTTTATGATGATTATGAGGTTTGGGAGGGCTTGGGATGGGGTGGGATGGGATGGAGTTTGGGTGTCTGTAATAGGGTTGTGGGGGGATATCCATCTATATAGCCTGAGAGTTTATATAGGTAGTTATACCTTGCCAGGCAAGGTTCAGATCTTAGTTAATTTAATTAATTGCTTATACTTGTACACCATAAGGAACTCATTTGTCTCCCATTCTTACCTGGAAAAAAAAAATGAAAATGAAAGGGAATAACGTCTTTATACAAGTGACGTTGTATTTAAAAGCGTTGCGAGTAGCTAGTATTACTGGCCGAAGCTACTGGTTCATAGTACTGGAACTGCTTAGCACACGTTCGTTGGGTTTACAGACTCTATTATTTTATTTATCTCCTGTACTGCCCGGCGGTAACTTTGAATAGGATTAAGTACTCTCTCGTAGAATCATTCAAAGTACGAATATAGGTCTATTCTAACACCTTAACTATCAAATTAGGCTAGATTTTAGTAAGAAAACAATGGAAAGGTCGCTTAACTAGAACGTTGTTATTATTTATATCTAGTCTATCTGGGTATGGATCGTGTTAGTTTACATAGTACTTGTACGAGCAGTGGAATAGAGTAAAGCTACTAGTCCTTGATTTAGTTTTTAATTTCTTGGAGAAGAGAAGGTAGCTAGAATGTATATACTAATATGGATGCTGGTGTTAGGTCACGTGAATAAACATGTGAAGATGTTACGATAGGTTGTGTACTATAAGAAGAATTGGGAAATAGCAGAGATTAGAGGGTAGAGATTAGTAGAGGGTCTGAGGTTTATTAGATGGGATTGCTGTTTTCGTTTTATAAAGGTGGGTTTTGTTGGGGTTGTCGCTAGTAAGGCGTTATAGTGAACAAAGTGTAGTAGCTCGCTTAACTGTGTACGTCCCATCTAATTAGTTGTTCATTATACCTTGGAAGGGAGGATGGTCTCAAGGGGAATAGGAGCGAGGAGCGAGCATTGATACGAGCATTGATAGATGATAAATGTTTATTTCTCGGTAAGCAGCACGTTGTAACTTTTGTGCAAACATCTTCTCAAGTCCTATCGTACCTCACGACTGCTTGAATTAATTTGGGGTTCATTAAAGAAATGGATTATCGCTGTTATCGCTACTGATCACAGCTTTGTTACACATTGAAGTTGAATTTAAGAAATTCTGTATTGTGTCTTATTTACGTCTCTAGATTAATATATACCAGGAGCCAGAGCCCCCTTTTTTTACCTCCGCCTATTAATTTCCCAGCAATCAAAGCGCCCTCCCATAAAACTCAGCAAGCTGTTGCATGCCCAATCCATGTAGGATACTACGGATATCACGCTCAGCGGAATGGTTGCCCTCCCTCTTCAGATGATCAAGCAGAACATCCTTATCAACAGTATCAGCAAACTCCAAGAGTCCCACACACAGTTTGATCCAGTTATTGACAACTTCCGGATCCAGAGTTGGTTTGTGCCCACGGAATTCCACAACTGTTCTCGCCTCCGTGGCTCCTGGACGGATTCGTATGAAGCCATCTTCGCCAAAATACCCTACTATCTGCTTCACCGAGGGTGACTTCTCGATCTGGTCTGCCCATTGACGTAGTGGACTGAACTTGCCCGGATGGATCTTCTGGAATTGAGCCTCAAAGGCGAACATGGTGATGAAGAATTTCTCCAGTGTCTCGCGAGAGAAACCCTGTATACTGCCCACGCGCACGACAATTTCGCATGTAGGGTTGACGTTGAGTCGGAAGTTACTGGTGAGAACACCACATACCTCCGAGACGGCATCTAAGGCCACTTGGTTGAATCTCAAAGAAGGAGAGGTGGTTGATACGCCGATGTATTCGTAGGCGGATGGAGCGGGGCTTCGAATGGAGTCTTTCCATTTTATGAGCCATGAACGGGGGTTGGATGGGTCGAAGGGGATGTTGCTTTTCCCGAAGACTCGTGCGATGTTCTCATAAACAATGTCATCGAAATTGCTGTAGCCGGATTTATCTGAGACGAGAAAGGCGTTGCGTTTATCCTCTGGGTGGGGATCTTGATCTGCTAAGTCGAGGGTAGCTACTGCCATGTTGAGGTCTACACCAAAAGACAAACGAGGGTTGGGAATGTATCCAACTTTTGAAATAGAAGCATCAATTAATAAATCATCTGAATTTGTTGGCTTTCCGATCGGAATAAGAGTATGACCGCACTCTGTCAACGCCCAAGCAATGGCCTCAGAGATCCCAGGAACGATCACATCCGGCTCGAACTCAGGCTCATCCTTAGGATTCCAGAAGCCAGATTCTACAAGAATCGTGTTCCATTGCGTGCCAATCTTGCTTTGAGTCTTATACTCATTGGGGCCTCTGACATCGTTGCCTGGGTTGTCACCAACACTGTAAGCGCGATCGAGGGTGGCGACACCGGTAGCAGCCATAGCTTTGAGAAGAACTTGTTCCGAGTAGTCGTAGCTCAAGGCAAAGGGTTTACCGACGGTTTCGCTCGAGCGAAGGGGTTTTCCGTTGGTGCTTTCGGCCCAGATGCCTTCGGTTGCTGCCTTAAAGCTGCGTTGTGCGAAGCGATGAATGGGGTTCGAGGCTCGCCATGTCAAGCCCTGGTTGCACCAGTAAATCGGGGGCCGGATGCTCTCCTTGTCAGGCTCGAGGGAGGCAAGCGTGTTCAAGGTTCCAGATCGTGCGAGGAGGACGTCCATCACGATTTGGAGATCAAGTCCGAAGTCTTTGGGGTTATCCCAGAAAATGACGGCGGAAAATTGGATGTCTTTGGGGACTGTTTGTCTGGCATTCTCCTTGTGGTATGCCGCGGACAACTCGGCAATGGGATAGTTGTCGGGGTCGGATACATAAATATCACTCGTCGTGTACACATTCTTGAACCCATACTCCAGAGAAAGATTGCGAATGAGTTGACCAGGGCCACCGACCATGAGAACATTCTTGTCGCCATGTTCTTCGACAAGAGCTCGGTATGGGGTATGGCGTAGGATGACTTGGCGAGTTTCCACCTTGGTACCGAATTTCTCAGAGAGCTCCTCGGCTTTCGCCTCTTCGGTCATATTACCTCCATTCGAGAGGAAAGTAAAGGGGATCTTGTTGTGGTTCAGAAACTTGATGGCATCTACTGCCCCTGGAAGATTTTCATCGTAACGATAGAAAACTCCATCAAGGTCCAAACTGAAGGCTAGCGAATGCGTACCGGAGGCTGGGTCTAAAGTGCGAGGCTCTCCAGCGATACAAAGTGGAAAGGCCGCTGAGAGGTCTTTGGCGTTGTGACGTTTATTGTAGATCGACATGTTTGACAAGCGCGCGATTTGGTAAGTAATCTATATTAATTCTCTTTAAGGCAAGTGTTTTAATTGGAAACGTAGAATGAATACAAAAAGTAAAGAAAGTGAAAACGCGCCAGGCGTAGTACGAAAAGAGAAAAAAAAGTGTGAGCGAAGAACGTAAATTGAGTGAAATGCTTATGGTCCAAAACACGACTCACGCTCGTTATATAGATGGTGAATTAGGCTTTGTATCAATTTAAGCCTCACGTGGAAAAGAAGCTAACTAGAAATAAATGTGCTGTGTGTAACTTCTTTATCCCTGACAATCATAACTGAGGACCTAATATTGAGCGCGGGTTCTTTGACAGCAAGTAGAGTTAAGGCATTACAAAGAAATAGTTTAGCGAGATGTGGAAACTAGAGCTGGTTGGAGGAAGATATTACTAACCATCATTTTGTCACGATACTATTTTGGGCTTCGCGGTACCGCAGACAAAGAGTCTCTAATTAGTTGAATCGACGCCTCTTCCACATCTTTTTTGTTATTATTTTAAGCTCTACTTGCTCTACTTGGCCAAATAATACAGTCGAATTCGACTAAAAAGTCCGTACTTAGAACCACCCCTTTTTACTACCTCACATAAGTGATTATTTGTATTTACTACGCTATATAGCCCTAAGAACATCCGCCAACTACTTATTTTGTCTATATACGACTACCTAGCCCTAGGAACACCTACAAACTAACTGCTTCTACAAACTAACCGCTCTCCTACTTCGTAATATAGCGCTACGTATCACCCCTTAAGAACAAAACGAAATTATCGCGGCTTTCCTAGACATTAATAACTTAGACCTCTAGTAAATCGTAGACAAGTTTAATAGAAGTAAAGAACGTATCCGCCTTATATTTAACGCGTACCTTAAAACCCGGGATATATTGTGACGACACGTACGCAAGGCCCACGGTGTAGGTTGTGGAATCGTAGAACTGTCAATTAAACAAAGATTCTAAGCTGAGGAGAAGAGGAGAGCTCGAGAGAGCTTCGATCTAAATACTTGGTGTGGGTCGCTAAGCGAGACCACGTGATCCGAATGGTGGTGACGGTTAGAACCGTCACATATATAGTACTAGGCGATAAGTCTAAGCTATTTAGCCGAGTACCGATTTCCCCTACTATAACCACTCCTACATATACGGATATATCACTATTAATACGTACTGGAATTTAATAAGAATTGAATGAAAAGAATCACCTAGGTTAGGGCTATAAAATGTACTATTTAAATCTAAAATCGGATAAAAAGCGTACCCTAATATTTAGTATACTAGCTATCCGCCGCGATATATGCCTTTATTCTAGCTAGTATACTCTTATAGAGAACTTTAAAGGACTCTTTATCTAAAGTATCCTACGCTACTTATAGAGTACTTTTAAGCCTTTACCTTAAATCCTTACTATTAGATTTGTTTATAGCTATTATAGGGAATATCTTAAAGACTCTTACTTTAAGTAACTACTAGATATACTTAATCGGGTTAAGATTAGGGGAGTAGGGTAGCTATCCTTTTAAAATATTAATCCTATAAAGCGTAAACTACTCTCTAATCTTTCTAGTAGTATAAATAGAGGTATTATCTTATATAAAGAGGTACTCCCTACCCCCCTACTCTAACTTCTCGAATATTAGAGCAACTTCCGCTTCGAGGACCTTAAGGCTTAAGGTAGCTCTCTGCGTTATACCTATACTTCTTAGACTCAAAATCTCGGTCTATAATATATAGGTTACTCCTCCCGTAGTTCTAAAAGTACCCCTAGACTATAACCTTTATATTCTTCTTATAGTCGTACGTTTGGATTATCTCCCGATTCTATACTTACTTAGTAGTACGAAACACCTACTCGGCTCGCTTACCCCGCCCCCACTCTATAGAATACTCGTTACTCTAGTATATAAGGCTCTATTCCTCTTCGGTAATATACCTCTATTTTAGATACTAGGTAATTCGGGTAGCTACGTAAGCTTCTATAAGAGTCGGGCGGCGTCTATCCCTCTAATTAGTTATACTAGCGTCCTTAAGGATTATCTTTAGGGTAGTAGTCTTAAAAGAGAGCTAGTACACTATAATAACTTATATATAAGTGTCTTTTAGGTATTTAGACACGTGTCTAAGTATATATCGTACGTCTAAATCCGAGTATTCTTTTAGTCTACCGATATGTAGTAGAGTCTCGCCGTCGGTTTAGAATAGCTTTAGGGAAATGGTATTACGTACTATCTGTCACGAATCACGTGTAAGCATGTGACAAGTGAAGACCAGGCGGCGCCCTGACAGGTTAAGCACTATCATATCTCTTATAGCAAATAGGGATGCTTAGGCTAGCTAAGCGATCCAAGGATTTCTTAGCATAGGAAAGATCACGTGACCATGATCGCCCAGATCGCCCAAGTCGCGAGCGACGAAAGCGATGTGTGCGATCCAACAGAGAACGAAGGTTCTATATAAGACTGGCACGTCTGCCATTAGATAGGAGCTTCGTGCTCAACTTAGTTATCAATCTTATCATATTAGTTTGACATCTTTGATACAAGTAACGAGTTCACTTCCAAGTGAACAACCCGATAGTCTTCTTCTTATCATAGCATACCAACCAGCGAACACCCAGCCAAGTTTAGTTAGCCAGTTTGAGTATTCGTTACACTATCCTTCGGGTAATATCGAGGACCGTTTCTATCTCTGTAGATTTAGCGCCTTTATAGGTTATACTAACTACCTAGCCCCTCTAATATAAAGTTAATTCATAATTATAAGCTCTTAGGAGCGTAATATTACATAATAGCGTACGAATTAGAGGTATATTAAAAAAGTTGTTATATAGGAAAGAAGAAGGGTTAGAAACGCGTCGCGTTATTTAAGTAGATTTCGTCGGTAGTCGGCTAAAATAGCTTAGACTTTCCGACGGGTACTATAATATAACAATAGGAAGTACAACGGCTATAAAGGGAGCTTTAAAGGTAGGAATAGGAACGTAAAGTAATCGAGGATAAAGAGAAGATATTAAGGGAGGTATACGAGGTGCGTATTTAGAGAGAGTATAGTAGGAGTAGGAGATTTAGAGGGTTAAGTGTAACGAATACTCAAACTGGCTAACTAAACTTGGCTGGGTGTTCGCTGGTTGGTATGCTATGATAAGAAGAAGACTATCGGGTTGTTCACTTGGAAGTGAACTCGTTACTTGTATCAAAGATGTCAAACTAATATGATAAGATTGATAACTAAGTTGAGCACGAAGCTCCTATCTAATGGCAGACGTGCCAGTCTTATATAGAACCTTCGTGTTCCGCCGTCGCCTACATCGCCTGTCGATGCTGTCGACATATCGCCAGCATCGCCTGTCGATACTGGCGATGCAAATGGTCACGTGATTACAATGTAATGAAATCCCTGGATCGCTTAGCTAGTCTAAGCATCCCTATTTGCTATAAGAGATATGATAGTGCTCGACCTGTCAGGACGCCGCCTGGTCTTCACTTGTCACATGCTTACGTGATTCGTGACATTAAGGAGCGAAGAGAGACAAGGAGATAAGATAGACTACTTAAAGAATAGAATAGGGTAGCTCTAAGGGAGGACGTATCCTATAATTAGTATAATATATATAGTATAAGTAATTCTAGGTTAGAATTCTCTAATTCTCTAGGGGAATCTAGTTCCGAGGGGCAAGCTGTCTAATTCTCAGGGGTTAAAGTGCGTTATTCTAAGTATAGACTTTTTAAACTTTTTAAAACTTTTGAAGCTTAAGTCGAATTCGACTGTATCCCTTCAAGCCGTAGAGCGACGAATTTTACGTAATGGTAGAAACTAGTGGAAACAAGACTAACAAATCGCAAACTTCTATATAACTTTTCAGTATATAAGAAATATCCTGTAGATTTCTTTCTGTTGTGCTGGGTCTACTTTCTCTTTTGCTCCACTTCCTTATTTGATCCACTTATAGTTCTGCTGCCTAAATGCTTCATGTCTGCCTAAACCTTACACTCTTTATATAAACACCTTAGATAGCTACCTTTTACAATGCAATCAATTCTCCATGACCTTCAGTACCCAATACCCTTTCAACCCAATACTTTCCTATTAGCTTACCTAATCTGACCTATTTTATTATTCTACTATTTTAGACTGATAATAAATAATTTACCGAAAATCCTACCGCTCTAGGACAGTCGTAGGATTTCATTTCTTCATCAGTTCTTACATAGGAATACACTAGGAAATCAATGAACAAAGTACATTATTCTACTACTACTTACTTCCTACCTCGTAGTCCACTTAGAGTTGATTTTGGTAGAGGTTAAGTCTAGTACCCGTTGCCAACTCGTAGAGCTTCTGGTACATCTCCAAAGGCGCTATTCGCACTAGCTTCGTCTTGTTGCGCAAGTTGATTTTTTGTGAGTAAGCCGCTTTTAAATACGGTCTCGGTGCTTTGGTATCTCTCCAAGCTGGTGTGGTAGTATGGTTGTAGTGGTGGCGGTGGTGGTGGGAGAATAGATAGTGTTATAGTAGAGAAATCAGTAATAGTGCCAAGAAGTAGTAACTCTGATTCACTAGAAAATAGGTGTATATATATAAAAGTGGTGAATGTTGACTGACAGAAACACTGGACAACTAAGTCAATTATGCCAAACTCTTAGCAGAATTACGCTCTATATATCGTATGCAGAGTAATGACCAGGTCTCTTATATTAAGACAGATTGCATGAGTATTAAGCAAGACCCAGAAGGCCAAAATTGGAGAATTTTACTGTCTTCCAGACCCAAAGGATTCTAGGCTTTCTTACTTATCACGGTTTACGCTTTTACTATATACGGCTAAAACTGAAATGTATCTCTCAGATCTTATTGCATCTCTTCTTAAATTACACCAAAAGGGCTAACATGGCCATCGTTCGCCTCTTCTCTTCCCCATCCTTGTTCTCTCATTTGAGGCTAGTATCTCCCTTCTCACTATCAACCTTTTCTTGTGGGCCGGATTGAAGGAAGAAAGCTCGGCTCCAGAAATAAGTACATCCTCGCCTCGCTTTTTCGGGATATAGAGATGCAAAAAGGCTGAACGCTGCGATACAGGCCGCTGAAATTGTCGCAATACTAATAATTGCACTCAAAGCTTTTCTTGACAGGCTTTGACTATCGGTATCTGTGGTTTGTGCGGGAGCCACAGAAGGGAACGCTTGTGTATTTGAAGGTATGGGTGATTTTGAAATAGCGGTTAGTATTGGCGACGTATTTGGAGGTATTGGTGAAGGGGAGATAGCAGTCAAGCTTTCGATGGCTGATGATTTGGAAGTAATATATGGTTGTGGTCTACCCCATTGAGTAGGAATAAAGTGAGCTTGGGTAACTGATGGTTCTGTTGAGGGAAGCAATCTTCCTGTGGCAAGTTTCCTAGGCGCGACCATGAAGAAAGTGGATGAATCACTTTCTGTGGTATGCGTCAGGTTACATGAAATTGGGTGAGTGCGATCAGTGTTTCCACACTGCCAAAGATTCTCGGAGCCACAATATGCCATATATTTGACAGCTTTGTAAATCTTAGATTAGGAAAAAGTCATTTTGCTGGAGAAGCGTCTGTACTGACCACAATTTGAAGTACATTCGGGGGACGAGAATGTTGAATCTGTACAGTATGCTCCGTAGTACAGAGGATCTTGTCCTTCATTTGCAACCGGCATTATTTGGCACACTCCGTTCGACAGACATTGGCCTCCTATGATACAGCAACTCTCGACTGTTCCATTACCGCAAGGTTCTTGTCCAGAAACGGGCCACGCAAGAGGCATGTGATTTGCAACAATACTTGGTGGTCCAAAACACCCGAACCACCCTCCTGGGGTATAGGTAGGTGGGTAAACTGATGTAACGGACATGTTTGACAAGTGAAGCTATTACAAGAAGAGAAAGTATCTATCGTGATAGACAAATACCCTTTTCAGGGGGTGCTTTCGTGTCAAGCTCTACAAAGGCCTTGTTTGCCCTTGGATGCACGCAATCATAGAAGATGGTGGGCACTAACATGGGAAGAAATTAAAAGTGTATATATGAACCGTCATGTAATATGCACGTAAGATGGAAATCTTGCCTTATTTTCAGTTGTAAATCCTGTTGAGAGTTTATTTATAGTTAATTTCTTCGAGCCTTAACAGCACAAAAAATGAAGTGTGGCAGCCATGCCCCCAAGCTTACTGAAAAAACAAAACAACTAAAGGATTGGTTTTGTTACGCCAAAAAGTTAGAGATGCGACGCCAATCTTGACTGCAGCTGCAGCTTACTGCAGAAAAGCCGATCCATCTAATGCGACTGTTTCAAATACATAAATGCAGCCTATCTCGATCGAGATATGAAAAGTACGACAGTTAATGATAGATCTGAAAGCGGAAAGTGGGGTTACATGTACCATTTGTTCAGCCTCCCCCATAATCCTTGGCGCCGCTTCGCCTCCGAGCCTTGAATCCTTCTATGTAACACAGCTTTTGGGGCTGCGGGGGCCTACAATAATCAATAGTTTAAGAACGGGAAAAGGCAAAACCATTCATTAAGCCGAAGCTTTCACTGTGTGCAAATCAAATAAGGCATCTCCCACCGTAAACATTCTCTTTATCTCTTCCCCTTTTCTTCGAAAAGTTTCTGGATTCTGACCAAATCTGTACCTCATTTGCAAAGATCATTCTTTTTATTTCATTTATATGGCAAGATTGGAAAGATTGGAAAGATATCATCTAACCAATTATTCAAATAATATGTATATATAGCGGATATTTATTAAAACAACTCCTGTGCTCAAGCACCGGAGTTATAGAGGCCAATGAGATGTCTTTTAAGCTAAGAGCAATATTATTTAGTAACTAGCTAGTCTATTAATCAAAATCGAATACGTATAATTAAATTGGTGAAAAATAGAATTTACTACCTCCCCTACAAACTATAGCGTGTACCCACTTTGCACAAATACAGTAACCTTTTATTTAGTAGGGGGGGAAGGGGGTTAGTAATTATCGCGTACTTCACCTCTTAATAGCTCCCGAGGTTATCCAGTGCTCTTATGGAAACAGTCGCGTTTAGCTTTATCTAGATTACAAATAAAGGGTAGCTCTATTAGTATCGCTTAGAAAGAGGGGGGGAATTTCTATCTATATATAAGAGCTATATACTTCCATTGCTTCATACTTTTCCCAGCTTAACATACCCAGAACCAACAAACAAAATAAATCAATCTATTATCCCTACTTCCCACCTCGTAGTCCCCTTCTAGCGGAATGTTTCTATTGATCCCTTATTTATTTTGTATTAGCAAATAGATTAGCGTGGGAACAAAATAATTAACTTAACTAATTAATTAATACTCTAAATTATTCAGATTTGATTTAATTTAATTTAATTAACTAATTTATTAATCAGGTTATTAATTAATTAATATAGACTATAAATAGTAACTAAAGTACAAAGTAATTATCCTTTAATAACGCGTTTTTTAGTAGTAAATCCTCGTCCTTGTTTATAAAACACCTCTAGCTTTTTACCTAGACTTATTACTAGTATAGCCTCTAGAGTCTCTTTTATTATTATATTCCTATTCTATAAGACATTTAGAAGTAGGCTCTTCGGGTCCTGAAAAAACTTCCTATTTTGTTCCTCCTAAATCACACTTGTTGTCGCACCTTTTAAACATTAAATTATAACAACGTAACTAAAAAGATACACAAGTACTAGTAAGAATATAGATAGGTTAATTCTGAATCTACTAGTACTTTTCATATATTTTTCTGAATTTTGTAGAGTAAGAAACCTGTTGTTTAAAATAGTGTCTCCTCGGTACGAATTCGGAAGTTTTTTCAGGACCCGAAGAGGTAGGTTATGTGATTTTACGTGACCTACTATACTAGTTATAACAAATAATTAGTACTATAATTATAAGCCTTCTACTAAAGTAAGGGAAGAGTCCTATTATATAAAAGTTTTATAAGCTCTACTTATACGTTATATAGGGAGGTCGGACTACCCCGGACTCTGTATTAATCTGTATTAATCTGATTACTTAGCGATTTGATTTGATTCGATTAAGTACTATTAATTGAATCAAATTAAATCATTTTCCACGCTGATTTAACAGATACTGTATCTCTACATATGAAAAGTGCCAGTAGAGAATGCTAACCGACAAAACACGTGTACCCCCTATTTACAACTTTACCGACTAAACCACCCCCCCTGAAAGTGGGGAAAACAAACTTCCAAAGGTACATAATTAGATATTCTATATGCTGTAGATAGTCTTTCCTTGAATATCTCTATCAAACCCACTATCAAAACCCATCAAAACCCAACAAACCCCATCAGAAACACAAAAAGAGGTTGTATGTTAAAGTTCACCCACACTTACAATATGCCACAATATAACAAAATAAATACCCTCACACCCCAAAGAAACACTGCTTTCTCACTCAATTCCAATTCCAATTCCAATTCCACTTTTGATTTCAATTTCAATCCACCGCTCCTACCACACACATACTCTTTGCATGTACAGGTAGGTACTATAACATACACCATACAATACCCACCACACATTCACGTACCATCCACTAATCTACGAAACAACCAGGAAGGAAGATCCTGAATACAAGTAAGAGTAGGAGTCAAGGTAAGAGTAAGAGTCAAGGTAAGAGTAAGAGTCAAGGTAAGAGTAAGAGTCAAGGTAAGAGTAAGAGTAAGAAGAGTATATNAATCTACGAAACAACCAGGAAGGAAGATCCTGAATACAAGTAAGAGTAGGAGTCAAGGTAAGAGTAAGAGTCAAGGTAAGAGTAAGAGTCAAGGTAAGAGTAAGAGTCAAGGTAAGAGTAAGAGTAAGAAGAGTATATACACCCTACCACCCATCCCACCCACCCACACCTCAAAATCACGACCACACGCACATCCACATCCACAATCTCACCCCACTCCACCCCATCTATCAACAAAAAAACCTCATCCACATCCACCGCCTACAAAGTCAAGGAACTACTTCGTCTTAGCCCTCAATCAAGACCACTCCATCTAAACTGCTTCAACAAGACCAACAGCATCGTCACTATCAGGATAGGGACACCCAGCTAAGCGACCAAGCGTCCACAACGACCAACTACCAACCATCTCCCATCACCACTTTACACAAATAACCACCAAGACATCATAAACTACACCCCACATACACATTCTCAGAAGGGGGTCCTGGAAGAAGAGGGAGAGAGAAAAGAGGATCATGTTGATTTAAGAGAAGAAAAAAAATCGAATGAGCGGTAAAACGCCATCGCTGTGCTACACCCAAAGAGAAACTAATTTCCCCACCCCCCAAAGCCCACCTGATTTCCATAATAAACTAAGTAGCAGTAGTGCTTAAAGCACGTTATTACCCATGCACACACATACACACAGACAACACACAGAATTTCTATTCCTGTACACCCTAACAATGAGAAGAGAAGAATAACACAAGGGTAAGAAGAAAGAGAGATAGGAGCCCCCACAAGCTATGCTGCAGTACCCAAGCGAAGAAAGAGAAGTATAAACAAGACTTGGTGAATTCGGGTCCCAATCAACGATTGCGATCTTCTTGTGGTGGAGTCGGTCGTGGACTTCGTGATGAGCCGAGACTATTGGCGAGAATACCCCGCCAACTACCTGATCTGGGACCCCTTCCATGTCGTGTTGGACTGGATGAGAGGCCCCGTTCGATATCATCGTCTGAACCCGTGGGGATCGGTAGAGAGGACGACGCACGGCTCAAACCGTCCTGACTGTCGTCGTCACTATCATCGTGATATGCGTCATATCGAGGGCTTGAAGGAGACCCTCGGGCCAAAGAACGAACGACATCCCCTTTACAGATGGGACATGTCCTTCTTCGAGTAGTCAACCATGGGGTTCTAAAACGTTGTTAGCATGAACCACTAGCACTTTAGTAACATAAACTTACATGCAATCGACATGGAACTCGTGGCCACATGGTAGACTCATCACCCGACTGACTCCATCAACATATTCTTCTAGACATACCACACACTCTATTTGTTTCCCCATATACTTCCTCCATTCACTAGTGTGACTACCTTGATGATTCTCATGTTCTGGGGACCGAGGGGGGATTGATGATACTTGTAAAGGATTCGAATTTGCTCGAGCAAGGTCTCCTGGCTCAGGTATTCCAGTTGTCGTCCTCGATCGCGGACGCGGTCTTGTCGGTGGGGATTGAAGAAGGGGTGTAGTGATTGAAGACTCAGTAGTGGTTGGTATACGAGAAGATGAAGGGGATGGTGTTGTGGGAACAATGGTTTGGTATGTTCGTACGGGTAATCTTTCAACCACTGATTTCGGTGCTCTCCATCGACGACGGCGAATTCTCGATCGAATGAGGAGTAATGCGTACACAACACATAGCGTAACTAGGGGGCTTACAACCAAGACTAGCAATGTATCGAGAAATGGACTAGCTCCGCTTGTTGGCGTCAAAGTTACCCATAAACCTTCATACCCTTCATCATCTGAATCTTCATCATCTTCATCATCAGGACCAGGTACATGTGGAGTCAGAAATTCGACGTCCTCCTCGTCATCGCCAAAAATAGCATTCAAAAGTCCCTTGGACTTAGTCTTACTCTCTTCTGGTGTTGAGACATCTTGATCGACTGACGGCCCACCTGTTCCATACTCACCACTTCCAGGGGTGATACTTCCGCCTCTCAGAGACGGAACATATTCGGGAATTTCCTGAAGAGCACCTCCTATATGTTTCTTTCCTCCTGGCTTTATTTGATGAGTGCTGTCGCTTTTTACACCTTCTGGTTTTGCGCCTTTTGTATTTGGAGCCTTGCCGGCGGTTTCTGCATCAGAGGCTCCGACTAAGTCCGGGTCTCTCCAATCCTGCACACCAATGACAAAGTCATCTCCAGAGGGTTGCTTCGAGCCTGCCTTCTTTTTCGAGGCATTCTTGTCAGTCTCCGTCTTCCTTTTAGGCTTAGCTTGGATCTTTTTGGACTCCACGCTTCCATCATCCTTCCAATCGTCAACCAGAACCCAGTCCAACTGGCCACTGCTGGGCGGTCGACTACTGTCTGATTGTGAGTTTCCTTTGCCCGTACTGAAAAAGAGGGACCTCAACCAACCAGACCTCTCTGTTTTGACTGTCCCTAATTTCTCATCTGCTTTGGCTGCTGGTCCCTTTTTGCTTGCCGCCTTTGTGGGGGTTCGGGAAATTGATGTTGGCTTTCCAATGGAGCCTGCAGTAGGCGTGAAGGTAGGGCGAGAATGGTGCTTTTTCCCGGTCTTCTTGATTTTGTCTGTATGGTGGACCGTCAAAAGAGGCTTTCCATTCTCATCTAGAGTGTCTTCCAGAAAGCTGTCTGGGCCAATCAGGGAGGAGAGTAGATGGGCAGTAGTTCTTGAAGTGAAAATAGAAGGTATGGTGACGTTTGACGTATCCCCTCGCGCATACATTTGTATCAGAGGACCACCCTTGACGTCGTCGCCCACAATCAACGCAATAGCTCCTCTTCTTTGAGCCCATTTCACCTTTTCCAAAAACCCACACCCACCACGACTCAGTAATACCACTTTTCCGGCAATCTCCGCTCCTTCTTGTATAGACTGGATATCTGCGTGGTTCGCTTTGGAATCGGTAGGTTGCGCATTTGTTTCTTTGGATACAGTCGATCCTGGTAGAGGATGGTGTAGGTAGTCATCAGTACCATCGTTCACCGGAGGACCACCCAAGCCATCTCTATGTCCAGAATCGCCCGCACTCTTCCGCTCATCTGCAGATTTGGTCGCTTCACTGCCACGACCTTGGACCTTTGAACTAGAGGATGCCGCAGATTTTCCGTCGCCCAACTTGACGCCATCCAATGCTGGGCTGTTCAAACTATTATATGATTCCCCTCCACGCACATCGCTACATCCTAATTCCCCTTCCGCACCGGTCACTGCCGGACCTTGCCGAATGCCATCATCTCCAAAACCACTCCCTATCCATACCCGCCCTTTCAGACCCTCGATAGGTAATGGTGGCCCAAAAGCAGCCGGTCGCGCTAGGAAGGCGGTCGAGTTTTCGTGGGTCAAGGTGATGATGGCGTTTGGCGGGAAGAGGGAGAAGGGCGCTCGGAAAGAGAAGAGGGCGGAGATGCCAGTCTTGGGAGCGGCGGCCGACGTACCGTCTATTATGGGAGGGGCATGTTCGGAACGGAAAGAGAGGATAGTTAGGAAGACGGCTGTCACAAAAAAGACGACAGCTATGATGATTCTTGGTGGTCGCATGATGTGGTTGGCAAATGGTAGAATGGCCGCACCAGGCCCGACTTATGGGGTAATCAGCTCCTCAGCTGCTAGGAACCAGGGGAGGGCGGCATCCGTTGGTGTTGGTGAGGAAGGTGAAGTCGCGTTCTAAGGGTTGCGCAGGAGGAAAAGGGAGGATGAAGAGTCGCATATGTCGTGTTGGTGAAGAGAGGAAAGTTGGAGAAAGGGGAGGATTTTAGAGGAATCGTCGTTTGTCGTGGTGATCTCAAGAGGGGAGTCGGGCGGGATGGATGCGATGGTCGGTCTGTCACCTCACGGGTTGCAGATGGGTTGGATTGGGTTGCTACAGTATACCGCCACACCCCCCTCCAAACCATCGAATTCACAACGTCAGAGGTCAGAGGTGTGGCGTTGCGTTGGCAAGCAACACCATTCACTAGAAACAAGATGATACTGGCACGTTTGTCTCCTACTACACTACGTGACTACGTGACTACATGCCCGTGACTACTTTTTGTCTGGGAGTCTCGAGTAGCTGTACATACGGTATCTATCTATATATAGATATGTGATCTAGTCGAACTTTGTGGAGATGGCAAAGGCATTGGCTGATATTTGACCCATCCCGAAAAGCTTCTTCAGTTCCAAGGTTAAAGGTCACAACCACGACACACCACCATCACCATCACCACCACCAATAACTCTTGAGCTGGTGTCTGGAGGTGTCCAGTGTCCAGTAGTGTCCAACATGTGCATGTGACAGCATATGGTTCGTGAACAACCATCGATAGTAACGGCTCAGATATCGTATAATCGTTCCCGCGTTGAGTCAAGTGCCCCAGCATCATCCTGTATGGTCCCGGTACCGTCCCACGCAAACGGTTGACCAGCAGTTAGACCTTATTCAGCCTCCATGTTGTTGAAATCGAGAATACCGTATACATCATAGTAAAGAGTGACAGGACCTCCAGAATATACACTCCCCACTCCATCCGGAGATGACAGCGACGCCCGGAATTCCAAACGATCATATCTCGAAAGTCATCACGTCACTGATTCAGCCACAGCAGTCAATATCACCCTTCTTCCCCAACTCCTCCGTCTCTAACTTCTACCACGGACCTCAAGGTTTTTACGTACTTGTAGCTTCCATCAAGCTCAAAGCATCACGGGAGGTCTTCGGTGCCGCCTTTGTGGCGTTCTCACAGTGAGCCTCGAAGCATCAATCAACACAAAGCTTACTTCCAATCGGAGAGCTGACGAGGATCGGGGTCGTATGCTATACTACTGTAGGTGCCCACCTATATTAGCTTGGTGGTGGTTCAAGCTAGATGTTGGAAGCTCCTACCGAGGATCTTCACGAACTATGCGGCTGGAGCAAGCGAGGGAGGTTGGTTGAAACTAGACCCTGTGGTGCTCTTACTTTGGAAGTTGATAGTATTCAACTACTATTAGTTTTGAAGGTAGTAAACACTTTAGCCTTTCCTACATGCAAAAATCAATACGCCTCAAATGGTCTTGGCTTGAGCTAGACAAGCCATTGTAAGAGAAGCTTTTTGTCTGGTTCTAATCCCACTTTGCTGCTATGTTTAACTGTATTGCTATGCTTTTCGTGTTGTACTTACTTGCAAGTTCTTATTCCTCGGTGTACTTTTCTTCTTCTTTTCTTCCTCCTTCTGCCTCCTTCCGTTACCTCCCCCTTTTTGTGCCCAAATGAATATTAACGAACCTCGAAAGGGGGGTGGCTTCGTGCTGCCTTTCGTAAATACTGGCGAACGAAATCGTCCAAGTTCTATGAAATCAAACCGCATCCCATTTCTCAGATGGGTACCTGATGATGTGAGTAAATTGCTATTGGCACCAGAATTACAATTGACATAATCCAGGCGCGCAATCACTTCGTTGCTACAAGCGCAGAATATACAGGCACAACTCTGTTTCTTCTCTTTGCGTTTTCTGGAACCCAAGTAGCCCTGCTAGCATCGCCACCGAGTTCTGAAAATACTGCTGGCGCTCAGAGCAATCCTTCACAACTCATGTATATCGCGCTGAGTTTTGGATTCTCTCTGGCAGTCAATGCATGGGTGTTCTTCCGAATCTGTGGCGGGCTCTTCAATCCAGCTGTAAGTGATTCTTCCAAATGGTTGGACTCGCAATTGACAAGATTAGGTTACCTTGGGAATGTGTCTGGTTGGCGCCCTTCCATATACCCGTGGGGTGTTTCTCGTAGTGGCTCAACTCTTGGGTGGTATCACAGCGGCGGCAATTTGCTCAGCGATGTTTCCTGGGCCACTTACCGTGCGAACAAGTCTTGGGGGAGGGACTTCTATTGCTCAGGGGCTTTTTATTGAGATGTTCTTGACTGCCGAGTTGGTTTTCACCATTTTCATGCTCGCAGCGGAGAAACACAAAGGGACTTTTATTGCGCCTATTGGCATCGGGCTTTCCCTATTCATTGCTGAGCTTACTGGTGAGCTGGAAATACATAGGTCGTGCAAATTTTATTGGAGCTAATTCTCCCCTAGGTGTATACTTTACAGGTGGCTCCGTTAATCCCGCACGTTCTTTTGGTCCTTCGGTGGTAGAACGTTCATTCCAGACATACCACTGGATATACTGGGTTGGCCCGATTCTAGGTTCCCTGCTTGCGTCCGGTTTCTATAAATTCATCAAGAGACTAGAATATGAAACCGCCAATCCAGGACAGGATCACGATCATCTGGACAGCCTTCGTTCCCGTGTAGCTTTCACGTCGGTAGACTACTCCATGGAGGAAGGGACGGCGAAAGAAATGGCGAACGGCAGGATTGGAACACCCAGAGAATACGGAAGTGGGCACAGGCCTTACAGCAATTCTCCTGCCCCGCCTCACCCCAACGATCAGTTCACCGGCTTGCGCGATGGAGGAATGCATGCGACTGACATTGTCCAGCCAAGACGTGCAAGTACAAGTGCAGCAAGTAGTCATACTCTCGATGGCATTGCTTCGAATACCAGTACACTTCACAATAACACCACCATTTTTGATATCTCACCCGCCAGTTCTTCCTCACCTGGTAGTCCCAAAGCTCAAAAACCTGGTTCCGACGGGAGTAAGGAAACTGGCAATACCACGGGCCCGACAACAACCAATGGGGCCGCTGCAATACGAAAGAGTTCCATGAAACCTGGGTCCCATGGTATTCAGGAGCCGGGACAGGAAAGAAGTGTAAAGGAGACTACTTATAATAATAGGAATATGATTAATAGTCCCAGGGACTCGGTTTTCTTTTGATAAGGATTAGGTCACGTTAGGGACGTGTTTAATAAGTGCTTATATGGCGTTTGGTGGGTTTGGCTGGTATACAGTACAGCATAAATTTACGTATTGGAGTTTGGTGACGAGATTATTTTTATGAAATGCTGATTTTATAAGACAAAACTGAAAGTTTCGCGAAGTAAACATTCATTGGACTAATAATTCCACCGCTATATTTTATGGGATCGTCACAATAAGTATCTGAAGTGTCAGGGAATTACTTTTGTTATTCTTCCGTAACTGGTGAACAGAATATATCGGCCCATATAGCTATCCAAAAAGGTAAAAACTATCCTAAGTCTTACTTGCTTCAGCCAAAACACTAGGATCAATAAAAGTCTCCAAATCCGCCCTCGAAACCCCAGCCCTTCCATCACTCTTCGCCAAATACGCATCCTCCCTAACCAAAAACTCCAGTAAATCCCCCGGCATCCCCCCCGTCCAAATATGATCCCCCCAAACACTCCTCACAACACCAGGATCCATCCCAACCTTCTCAGCAACATACTGATACAAACCCTGATCCGGCCTCCTAAAGACCTCCAACGTCCGATTCAACGCCTTCAAAAACGCCACCAATTCCCCTCTCGTCCTCGAATCCGCCAGCTTCTCAGTCGTCGTATAAAGACTATAAACCTCGCGATACAAACTCCCATTCTGGAAAAGCACCGCGTCGCCCCCGAGAGCTCGCGCGCCTAGCTCCACGCTCGGCTCCCAGATCCCAAAGGCATCCACCTGGCCCCCCTTAAGCATACTCGGTAAAGTCCCCGTGCCACACGGGCTCTTCATACACACATCCCCCTTCACAACCTTATACTCGCCCTTCTCAACGCCCACACTGCCCATCATGTAATCGACAAACACCTCCGCGCTCGTACCGGGAAAGGTGCCGATCTTCTTGCCCTTCAGATCTGCGAGCTTGTTTATGGAGGAAGTCTTGTTTTTGTGGGCGACGAGCCGGTAGGGAACTTCGACCAGCACGTAGATGAGACGCAGGTTCTTGTGGACGGCGTATTGTTTTAGGCCCTGGGTTTCGGCGTTGGCGGCTAGGTCGATGGTGTTGTCGGTGGGGAGGTTGGCTACCCCGCCGGTGATTAGGACGGAGGGGGCGTGGTAGAAGTGGGTGAGGATGTAGGGTTGGGGGGTGTGTTCGATCCATTGGAGGGAGGAGGCTATTTTGAGGGAGTGGACGAGGAGGGGGAGGAGGGGGAGGAAGG